TCATTAGTACGGCGGTGAGCACTAACGAATTACTATTTGTTTACAGATAGGTCTCCCGTAAAGAAGGCAACCGTCTATGTTCACGTTATAATTATAATTTGGCCCCTATTGTTATTGTATTTCTCTCCACAATAAAATGACTTAAACGTACGACTTGTATATAAAAATACAGTTAAAACAGGAAGTGAAGTGAAATGTGGAGAATGCAAGACCGAGGAAGGTTCAGTCTGCCAAATTAATACAACGATAGCTCATGAATAAATCAAAGGATGGGGAATAAACGGCATCAAACAAAATGATTCATAAGGATAAATATTCAACAACAACAAAACCACACGTGATACAGTTTGCTCATGTACAATAGAAGGCGCTTCGACCGATTAAAACGGCAATTTTAAGCTAGAGCCCCATAAAAAACAAGCAGATATTGCGAATTAACAAGCAATCTGGCAAAACCTGTACATTGGTAATTTACAATACAATATCAGGCCATAAACAAATTAATAGTCGGTCTCTGGTTCCAGAATTGATACGGCGATATGCGTATTTTTTATTTATTTATTTATTTTTTTGCTTTTTTTCATGCTTGGATTGTACAGCCGACACATTACACAATACCGAACGGTCTAAGAATGTTCACTCCACAAACAACGGAGATGGAAATAAGCGGCATGTTTCATGTATTTAGACACGATTTAATTCACAATCACAATTGCTCACATCGCATGTCATCGTGTCTATACGTGTGTAGTTGACTAGCCGCCATTGTTGTTGATCAGCTGGCAGCAACTTCGTACCCATGGGCTACAATCACTCGTTCAACATCAACCTCGTACCGGATCTATCACTGCGTACGAGATGTCCACGATCATTTGACCAATGTTTTCTATTTAACCATTTTAGCATCAACAACCACAGCAGAACTTACAACCACTGCTCAGCTAACAACCACTACTGAACCAACAACCATTGCTGAACCAACAACCACACCCGAACCCACAACAACACCTGAGCCACCAACCACTGTTAAACAAACAACCACACCTGAACCAACAACCACAGTAGAACCAACAACCACTGCTGAACCAACAACCACACCCGAACCCACAACAACTGAACCAACAAACACACCAGAACCAACACCCACTGTTGAACCAACAACGACACCAGAACCCACAACAACACCAAAACCAACAACCACACCAGAACCAACAACTGCACCAGACCAAACAACCACACCAGAACCAACAACCACACCTAAACCAACAACCACTCCCGAACCAACAACCACACCCGAACCAACAACCACTGTTGAACCAACAACCACTGTTGAACCAACAACCACTGTTGAACCAACAACCACTGTTGAACCAACAAACACTGTTGAACCAACAACCACTGTTGAACCAACAACCACTGCTGAACCAACAACCACTGTTGATCCAACAACCACTGTTGAACCAACAACCACTGTTGAACCAACAACAACACCTGAACCAACAACCACATCTGATCAAACAACCACACCTGAACCCACAACCACTGTTGAACCAACAACCACTGTTGAACCAACAACTACTCCCGAACCAACAACCACTGTTGAACCAACAACCACTGTTGAACCAACAACTACTCCCGAACCAACAACCACTGTTGAACCAACAACAACACCTGAACCAACAACCACACCTGAACGAACGACCACACCTGAACCATCAACCACTGTTGAACCAACAACCACTGTTGAACCAACAACCACACCTGAACCAACAACCACACCTGAACCCACAACCACTGTTGAACCAACAACCACTGTTGATCCAACAACCACTGTTGAACCAACAACCACTGTTGAACCAACAACCACTGTTGAACCACCAACCACTGTTGGACCAACAACCACACCTGAACCATCAACCACTGTTGAACCAACAACCACTGTTGAACCAACAACCACTGTTGAACCTACAACCACTGTTGAACCAACAACCACTGTTGAACCAACAACCACTGTTGATCCAACAACCACTGTTGAACCAACAACCACTGATGAACCAACAACAACACCTGAACCAACAACCACACCTGAACCAACGACCACACCTGAACCCACAACCACTGTTGAACCAACAACCACTGTTGAACCAACAACAACACCTGAACCAACAACCACTGTAGAGCCAACAACCACTGTTGATCCAACAACCACTGTTGAGCCAACAACCACTGTTGAACCAACAACCACTGTTGATCCAACAACCACTGTTGAACCAACAACCACTGTTGAACCCACAACCACTGTTGAACCCACAACCACTGTTGAACCAACAACCACTGTTGAACCAACAACCACTGTTGAACCAACAACCACTGTTGAACCAACAACCACTGTTGATCCAACAACCACTGTTGAACCAACAACCACTGTTGAACCAACAACCACTGTTGAACCAACAACCACTGTTGATCCAACAACCACTGTTGAACCAACAACCACTGTTGAACCAACAACCACTGTTGAACCAACAACCACAGTTGATCAAACAACCACTGTTGAACCAACAACCACTGTTGAACCAACAACCACTGTTGAACCAACAACCACTGTTGAACCAACAACCACACCTGAACCAACAACCACACCTGAACCAACGACCACAGTTGATCAAACAACCACTGTTGAACCAACAACCACTGTTGAACCAACAACCACTGTTGAACCAACAACCACTGTTGAACCAACAACCACACCTGAACCAACAACCACACCTGAACCAACGACCACAGTTGATCAAACAACCACTGTTGAACCAACAACCACTGTTGAACCAACAACCACTGTTGAACCAACAACCACTGTTGAACCAACAACCACTGTTGAACCAACAACCACAGTTGATCAAACAACCACTGTTGAACCAACAACCACTGTTGAACCAACAACCACTGTTGATCCAACAACCACTGTTGAACCAACAACCACTGTTGAAACAACAACCACTGTTGAACCAACAACCACTGTTGAACCAACAACCACACCTGAACCATCAACCACTGTTGAACCAACAACCACTGTTGAACCAACAACCACTGTTGAACCCACAACCACTGTTGAACCCACAACCACTGTTGAACCAACAACCACTGTTGAACCCACAACCACTGTTGAACCAACAACCACTGTTGAACCAACAACCACTGTTGAACCAACAACCACTGTTGAACCAACAACCACTGTTGAACCAACAACCACTGTTGATCCAACAACCACTGTTGAACCAACAACCACTGTTGAACCAACAACCACTGTTGAACCAACAACCACTGTTGATCCAACAACCACTGTTGAACCAACAACCACTGTTGAACCAACAACCACTGTTGAACCAACAACCACTGTTGAACCAACAACCACTGTTGATCCAACAACCACTGTTGAACCAACAACCACACCTGAACCCACAACCACTGTTGAACCAACAACCACTGTTGAACCAACAACCACTGTTGAATCAACAACCACTGTTGAACCAACAACCACTCTTGAACCAACAACCACTCTTGAACCAACAACCACTCTTGAACCAACAACCACACCTGAACCAACAACCACACCTGAACCCACAACCACTGTTGAACCAACAACCACTGTTCATCCAACAACCACACCTGAACCCACAACCACTGTTGGACCAACAACCACTGTTGAACCAACAACCACACCTGAACCAACAACCACACCTGAACCCACAACCACTGTTGAACCAACAACCACTGTTGAACCAACAACCACTGTTGAACCAACAACCACTGTTGAACCAACAACCACACCTGAACCCACAACCACTGTTGAACCAACAACCACTGTTGAACCAACAACCACTGTTGATCCAACAACCACTGTTGAACCAACAACCACTGTTGAACCAACAACCACTGTTGAACCAACAACAACACCTGAACCAACAACCACTGTTGAACCAACAACCACTGTTGAACCAACAACCACTGTTGCACCAACAACCACTGTTGAACCAACAACCACAACTGAACCAACAACCACACCTGAACCCACAACCACTGTTGAACCAACAACCACTGTTGAACCAACAACCACTGTTGGACCAACAACCACTGTTGAACCAACAACCACACCTGAACCCACAACCACTGTTGAACCAACAACCACTGTTGAACCAACAACCACTGTTGATCCAACAACCACTGTTGAACCAACAACCACTGTTGAACCAACAACCACTGTTGAACCAACAACAACACCTGAACCAACAACCACACCTGAACCAACGACCACACCTGAACCCACAACCACTGTTGCACCAACAACCACTGTTGAACCAACAACCACACCTGAACCAACAACCACACCTGAACCCACAACCACCGTTGAACCAACAACAACTGTTGAACCAACAACCACTGTTGAACCAACAACCACTGTTGAACCAACAACCACACCTGAACCCACAACCACTGTTGAACCAACAACCACTGTTGAACCAACAACCACTGTTGATCCAACAACCACTGTTGAACCAACAACCACTGTTGAACCAACAACCACTGTTGAACCAACAACCACTGTTGAACCAACAACCACTGTTGATCCAACAACCACTGTTGAACCAACAACCACTGTTGAACCAACAACCACTGTTGAACCAACAACCACTGTTGAACCAACAACCACTGTTGAACCAACAACCACTGTTGATCCAACAACCACTGTTGAACCAACAACCACTGATGAACCAACAACAACACCTGAACCAACAACCACACCTGAACCAACGACCACACCTGAACCCACAACCACTGTGGAACCAACAACCACTGTTGAACCAACAACAACACCTGAACCAACAACCACTGTAGAGCCAACAACCACTGTTGAACCAACAACCACTGTTGAGCCAACAACCACTGTTGAACCAACAACCACTGTTGAACCAACAACCACTGTTGAACCAACAACCACTGTTGAACCAACAACCACAGTTGATCAAACAACCACTGTTGAACCAACTACCACTGTTGAACCAACAACCACTGTTGAACCAACAACCACTGTTGAACCAACAACCACTGTTGAACCAACAACCACTGTTGAACCAACAACCACAGTTGATCAAACAACCACTGTTGAACCAACTACCACTGTTGAACCAACAACCACTGTTGAACCAACAACCACTGTTGAACCAACAACCACTGTTGAACCAACAACCACTGTTGAACCAACAACCACTGTTGAACCAACAACCACTGTTGAACCAACAACCACTGTTGAACCAACAACCACTGTTGAACCAACAACCACTGTTGAACCTACAACCACTGTTGAACCAACAACCACTGTTGATCAAACAACCACTGTTGAACCAACAACCACTGTTGAACCAACAACCACTGTTGAACCAACAACCACAGTTGAACCAACAACCACTGTTGATCAAACAACCACTGTTGAACCAACAACCACTGTTGAACCAACAACCACTGTTGAACCAACAACCACTGTTGATCCAACAACCACTGTTGAACCAACAACCACTGTTGAACCAACAACCACACCTGAACCAACAACCACTGTTGAACCCACAACCACTGTTGAACCAACAACCACTGTTGAACCACCAACCACTGTTGAACCACCAACCACTGTTGAACCAACAACCACTGTTGAACCAACAACCACTGTTGAACTAACAACCACTGTTGAACCAACAACCACTGTTGAACCAACAACCACTGTTGAACCAACAACCACTGTTGATCCAACAACCACTGTTGAACCAACAACCACTGTTGAACCAACAACCACTGTTGAACCAACAACCACTGTTGAACCAACAACCACTGTTGATCCAACAACCACTGTTGAACCAACAACCACTGATGAACCAACAACAACACCTGAACCAACAACCACACCTGAACCAACGACCACACCTGAACCCACAACCACTGTGGAACCAACAACCACTGTTGAACCAACAACAACACCTGAACCAACAACCACTGTAGAGCCAACAACCACTGTTGAACCAACAACCACTGTTGAGCCAACAACCACACCTGAACCAACGACCACACCTGAACCCACAACCACTGTGGAACCAACAACCACTGTTGAACCAACAACAACACCTGAACCAACAACCACTGTAGAGCCAACAACCACTGTTGAACCAACAACCACTGTTGAGCCAACAACCACTGTTGAACCAACAACCACTGTTGAACCAACAACCACTGTTGAACCAACAACCACTGTTGAACCAACAACCACAGTTGATCAAACAACCACTGTTGAACCAACTACCACTGTTGAACCAACAACCACTGTAGAGCCAACAACCACTGTTGAACCAACAACCACTGTTGAGCCAACAACCACACCTGAACCAACGACCACACCTGAACCCACAACCACTGTGGAACCAACAACCACTGTTGAACCAACAACAACACCTGAACCAACAACCACTGTAGAGCCAACAACCACTGTTGAACCAACAACCACTGTTGAGCCAACAACCACTGTTGAACCAACAACCACTGTTGAACCAACAACCACTGTTGAACCAACAACCACTGTTGAACCAACAACCACAGTTGATCAAACAACCACTGTTGAACCAACTACCACTGTTGAACCAACAACCACTGTTGAACCAACAACCACTGTTGAACCAACAACCACTGTTGAACCAACAACCACTGTTGAACCAACAACCACTGTTGATCCAACAACCACTGTTGAACCAACAACCACTGATGAACCAACAACAACACCTGAACCAACAACCACACCTGAACCAACGACCACACCTGAACCCACAACCACTGTGGAACCAACAACCACTGTTGAACCAACAACAACACCTGAACCAACAACCACTGTAGAGCCAACAACCACTGTTGAACCAACAACCACTGTTGAGCCAACAACCACTGTTGAACCAACAACCACTGTTGAACCAACAACCACTGTTGAACCAACAACCACTGTTGAACCAACAACCACAGTTGATCAAACAACCACTGTTGAACCAACTACCACTGTTGAACCAACAACCACTGTTGAACCAACAACCACTGTTGAACCAACAACCACTGTTGAACCAACAACCACTGTTGAACCAACAACCACTGTTGAAACAACAACCACTGTTGAACCAACAACCACTGTTGAACCAACAACCACTGTTGAACCAACAACCACTGTTGAACCTACAACCACTGTTGAACCAACAACCACTGTTGATCAAACAACCACTGTTGAACCAACAACCACTGTTGAACCAACAACAACTGTTGAACCAACAACCACTGTTGAACCAACAACCACTGTTGATCAAACAACCACTGTTGAACCAACAACCACTGTTGAACCAACAACCACTGTTGAACCAACAACCACTGTTGATCCAACAACCACTGTTGAACCAACAACCACTGTTGAACCAACAACCACACCTGAACCAACAACCACTGTTGAACCCACAACCACTGTTGAACCAACAACCACTGTTGAACCACCAACCACTGTTGAACCACCAACCACTGTTGAACCAACAACCACTGTTGATCAAACAACCACTGTTGAACTAACAACCACTGTTGAACCAACAACCACTGTTGAACCAACAACCACTACTGATCCAACAACCACTGTTGAACCAACAACGACTGTTGAACCAACAACCACTGTTGAACCAACAACCACTGTTGGACCAACAACCACTGTTGGACCAACAACCACTGTTGATCCAACAACCACTGTTGAACCAACAACCACTGTTGAACCAACAACCACTGTTGAACCAACAACCACTGTTGAACCAACAACACCTGAACCAACAACCACACCTGAACCAACAACCACACCTGAACCCACAACCACTGTTGAACCAACAACCACTGTTGAATCAACAACCACACTTGAACCAACAACCACACCTGAACCCACAACCACTGTTGAACCAACAACCACTGATGAACCAACAACCACTGTTGAACCAACAACCACTGTTGAACCAACAACCACTGTTGAACCAACAACCACACCTGAACCAACAACCACACCTGAACCCACAACCACTATTGAACACACAACCACTGTTGAACCAACAACCACAGTTGAACCAACAACCACTGTTGGACCAACAACCACTGTTGATCCAACAACCACTGTTGAACCAACAACCACTGTTGAACCAACAACCACTGTTGAACCAACAACCACTGTTGATCAAACAACCACTGTTGAACCAACAACCACTGTTGAACCAACAACCACTGTTGAACCAACAACCACTGTTGAACCAACAACCACTGTTGAACCAACAACCACTGTTGAACCAACAACCACTGTTGAACCAACAACCACTGTTGAACCAACAACCACTGTTGATCAAACAACCACTGTTGAACCAACAACCACTGTTGAACCAACAACCACCGTTGAACCAACAACCACTGTTGAACCAACAACCACTGTTGATCCAACAACCACTGTTGAACCAACAACCACTGTTGAACCAACAACCACTGTTGAACCAACAACCACTGTTGAACCAACAACCACTGTTGAACCAACAACCACTGTTGATCCAACAACCACTGTTGAACCAACAACCACTGTTGAACCAACAACCACACCTGAACCAACAACCACTGTTGAACCCACAACCACTGTTGAACCAACAACCACTGTTGAACCACCAACCACTGTTGAACCACCAACCACTGTTGAACCAACAACCACTGTTGAACCAACAACCACTGTTGAACTAACAACCACTGTTGAACCAACAACCACTGTTGAACCAACAACCACTGTTGAACCAACAACCACTGTTGATCCAACAACCACTGTTGAACCAACAACCACTGTTGAACCAACAACCACTGTTGAACCAACAACCACTGTTGAACCAACAACCACTGTTGATCCAACAACCACTGTTGAACCAACAACCACTGTTGAACCAACAACCACTGTTGAACCAACAACCACTGTTGAACCAACAACCACTGTTGAACCAACAACCACTGTTGATCCAACAACCACTGTTGAACCAACAACCACTGATGAACCAACAACAACACCTGAACCAACAACCACACCTGAACCAACGACCACACCTGAACCCACAACCACTGTGGAACCAACAACCACTGTTGAACCAACAACAACACCTGAACCAACAACCACTGTAGAGCCAACAACCACTGTTGAACCAACAACCACTGTTGAGCCAACAACCACTGTTGAACCAACAACCACTGTTGAACCAACAACCACTGTTGAACCAACAACCACTGTTGAACCAACAACCACAGTTGATCAAACAACCACTGTTGAACCAACTACCACTGTTGAACCAACAACCACTGTTGAACCAACAACCACTGTTGAACCAACAACCACTGTTGAACCAACAACCACTGTTGAACCAACAACCACTGTTGAAACAACAACCACTGTTGAACCAACAACCACTGTTGAACCAACAACCACTGTTGAACCAACAACCACTGTTGAACCTACAACCACTGTTGAACCAACAACCACTGTTGATCAAACAACCACTGTTGAACCAACAACCACTGTTGAACCAACAACCACTGTTGAACCAACAACCACTGTTGAACCAACAACCACTGTTGATCAAACAACCACTGTTGAACCAACAACCACTGTTGAACCAACAACCACTGTTGAACCAACAACCACTGTTGATCCAACAACCACTGTTGAACCAACAACCACTGTTGAACCAACAACCACACCTGAACCAACAACCACTGTTGAACCCACAACCACTGTTGAACCAACAACCACTGTTGAACCACCAACCACTGTTGAACCACCAACCACTGTTGAACCAACAACCACTGTTGATCAAACAACCACTGTTGAACTAACAACCACTGTTGAACCAACAACCACTGTTGAACCAACAACCACTACTGATCCAACAACCACTGTTGAACCAACAACGACTGTTGAACCAACAACCACTGTTGAACCAACAACCACTGTTGGACCAACAACCACTGTTGGACCAACAACCACTGTTGATCCAACAACCACTGTTGAACCAACAACCACTGTTGAACCAACAACCACTGTTGAACCAACAACCACTGTTGAACCAACAACACCTGAACCAACAACCACACCTGAACCAACAACCACACCTGAACCCACAACCACTGTTGAACCAACAACCACTGTTGAATCAACAACCACACTTGAACCAACAACCACACCTGAACCCACAACCACTGTTGAACCAACAACCACTGATGAACCAACAACCACTGTTGAACCAACAACCACTGTTGAACCAACAACCACTGTTGAACCAACAACCACACCTGAACCAACAACCACACCTGAACCCACAACCACTATTGAACACACAACCACTGTTGAACCAACAACCACAGTTGAACCAACAACCACTGTTGGACCAACAACCACTGTTGATCCAACAACCACTGTTGAACCAACAACCACTGTTGAACCAACAACCACTGTTGAACCAACAACCACTGTTGATCAAACAACCACTGTTGAACCAACAACCACTGTTGAACCAACAACCACTGTTGAACCAACAACCACTGTTGAACCAACAACCACTGTTGAACCAACAACCACTGTTGAACCAACAACCACTGTTGAACCAACAACCACTGTTGAACCAACAACCACTGTTGAACCAACAACCACTGTTGATCAAACAACCACTGTTGAACCAACAACCACTGTTGAACCAACAACCACCGTTGAACCAACAACCACTGTTGAACCAACAACCACTGTTGATCCAACAACCACTGTTGAACCAACAACCACACCTGAACCCACAACCACTGTTGAACCAACAACCACTGTTGAACCAACAACCACAGTTGATCAAACAACCACTGTTGAACCAACAACCACTGTTGAACCAACAACCACTGTTGAACCAACAACCACTGTTGATCCAACAACCACTGTTGAACCAACAACCACTGTTGAACCAACAACCACTGTTGAACCAACAACCACTGTTGAAGCAACAACCACTGTTGAACCAACAACCACTGTTGAACCAACAACAACACCTGAACCAACAACCAAACCTGAACCAAAAACCACACCTGAACCCACAACCACTGTTGAACCAACAACCACTGTTGAATCAACAACCACACCTGAACCAACAACCACACCTGAACCCACAACTACTGTTGAACCAACAACCACTGTTGAACCAACAACCACTGTTGAACCAACAACCACTGTTGAACCAACAACCACACCTGAACCGACAACCACACCTGAACCCACAACCACTCTTGAACACACAACCACTGTTGAACCAACAACCACTGTTGAACCAACAACCACTGTTGAACCAACAACCACTGTTGAACCAACAACCACTGTTGAACCAACAACCACTGTTGAACCAACAACCACTGTTGAACCAACAACCACTGTTGAACCAACAACCACTGTTGAACCAACAACCACTGTTGATCCAACAACCACTGGTGAACCAACAACCACACCTGAACCCACAACCACTGTTGAACCAACAACCACTGTTGAACCAACAACCACTGTTGAATCAACAACCACTGTTGAACCAACAACCACTCTTGAACCAACAACCACTCTTGAACCAACAACCACTGTTGAACCAACAACCACACCTGAACCAACAACCACACCTGAACCCACAACCACTGTTGAACCAACAACCACCGTTGAACCAACAACCACCGTTGAACCAACAACCACCGTTGAACCAACAACCACTGTTGAACCAACAACCACTGTTGATCCAACAACCACTGTTGAACCAACAACCACTGTTGAGCCAACAACCACTGTTGAACCAACAACCACAGTTGATCAAACAACCACTGTTGAACCAACAACCACTGTTGAACCAACAACCACTGTTGAACCAACAACCACTGTTGATCCAACAACCACTGTTGAACCAAAAACCACACCTGAACCCACAACCACTGTTGAACCAACAACCACTGTTGAACCAACAACCACTGTTGAACCAACAACCACACCTGAACCAACAACCACTGTTGAACCAACAACCACAGTTGATCAAACAACCACTGTTGAACAAACAACCACAGTAGATCAAACAACCACATTTGAACCAACAACCACTGTTGAACCAACAACCACTGTTGAACCAACAACACCTGAACCAACAACCACTGTTGAACCTACAACCATTGTTGAACCAACCACCACTGTTGAACCAACAACCACTGTTGAAACAACAACCACTGTTGAACCAACAACAACAACTGAACCAACGACCACACCTGAACCCACAACCACTGTTGAACCAACAACCACTGTTGAACCAACAACCACTGTTGAACCAACAACCACTGTTGAACCAACAACCACACCTGAACCAACAACCACACCTGAACCCACAACCAATATTGAACACACAACCACTGTTGAACCAACAACCACTGTTGATCCAACAACCACTGTTGAACCAACAACCACACCTGAACCAACAACCGTTGTTGAATCAACAACCACTGTTGAACCAACAACCACTCTTGAACCAACAACCACTGTTGAACCAACAACCACTGTTGAACCAACAACCACACCTGAACCAACAACCACTGTTGAACCAACAACCACAGTTGATCAAACAACCACTGTTGAACAAACAACCACAGTTGATCAAACAACCACTGTTGAACCAACAACCACTGTTGAACCAACAACCACTGTTGAACCAACAACCACTGTTGAACCAACAACCACTGTTGAACCAACAACCACTGTTGATCCAACAACCACTGTTGAACCAACAACCACACCTGAACCCACAACCACTGTTGAACCAACAACCACTGTTGAACCAACAACCACTGTTGAATCAACAACCACTGTTGAACCAACAACCACTCTTGAACCAACAACCACTCTTGAACCAACAACCACTGTTGAACCAACAACCACACCTGAACCAACAACCACACCTGAACCCACAACCACTGTTGAACCAACAACCACCGTTGAACCAACAACCACCGTTGAACCAACAACCACTGTTGAACCAACAACCACTGTTGAACCAACAACCACTGTTGATCCAACAACCACTGTTGAACCAACAACCACTGTTGAGCCAACAACCACTGTTGAACCAACAACCACAGTTGATCAAACAACCACTGTTGAACCAACAACCACTGTTGAACCAACAACCACTGTTGAACCAACAACCACTGTTGATCCAACAACCACTGTTGAACCAAAAACCACACCTGAACCCACAACCACTGTTGAACCAACAACCACTGTTGAACCAACAACCACTGTTGAACCAACAACCACACCTGAACCAACAACCACTGTTGAACCAACAACCACAGTTGATCAAACAACCACTGTTGAACAAACAACCACAGTAGATCAAACAACCACTGTTGAACCAACAACCACAGTTGATCAAACAACCACTGTTAAACCAACAACCACTGTTGAACCAACAACCACTGTTGAACCAACAACACCTGAACCAACAACCACTGTTGAACCTACAACCATTGTTGAACCAACCACCACTGTTGAACCAACAACCACTGTTGAAACAACAACCACTGTTGAACCAACAACAACAACTGAACCAACGACCACACCTGAACCCACAACCACTGTTGAACCAACAACCACTGTTGAACCAACAACCACTGTTGAACCAACAACCACTGTTGAACCAACAACCACACCTGAACCAACAACCACACCTGAACCCACAACCAATATTGAACACACAACCACTGTTGAACCAACAACCACTGTTGATCCAACAACCACTGTTGAACCAACAACCACACCTGAACCAACAACCGTTGTTGAATCAACAACCACTGTTGAACCAACAACCACTCTTGAACCAACAACCACTGTTGAACCAACAACCACTGTTGAACCAACAACCACACCTGAACCAACAACCACTGTTGAACCAACAACCACAGTTGATCAAACAACCACTGTTGAACAAACAACCACAGTTGATCAAACAACCACTGTTGAACCAACAACCACAGTTGATCAAACAACCACTGTTAAACCAACAACCACTGTTGAACCAACAACCACTGTTCAACCAACAACCACTCTTGAACCAACAACCACTGTTGAACCAACAACACCTGAACCAACAACCACTGTTGAACCTACAACCATTGTTGAACCAACCACCACTGTTGAACCAACAACCACTGTTGAAACAACAACCACTGTTGATCAAACAACCACTGTTGAACCAACAGCCACTGTTAAACCAACAACCACTGTTGAACCAACAACACCTGTTCAACCAACAACCACTGTTGAACCAGCAACCACTGTTGAACCAACAGCCACTGTTGAACCAACAACCACTGTTGATCAAACAACCACTGTTGAACCAACAACCACACCTGAACCAACAACCACACCTGAACCAACAACCACTGTTGATCAAACAACCACTGTTGAACCAACAGCCACTGTTGAACCAACAACCACTGTTGAACCAACAACCACTGTTGAACCAACAACCACACCTGAACCAACAACCACACCTGAACCCACAACCACTGTTGAACCAACAACCACTGTTGAACCAACAACCACTGTTGAACCAACAACCACTGTTGAACCAACAACCACTGTTGAACCAACAACCACACCTGAACCAACAACCACTGTTGAACCAACAACCACACCTGAACCAACAACCACACCTGAACCCACAACCACTGTTGAACACACACCCACTGTTGAACCAACAACCACTGTTGAACCAACAACCACTGTTGAACCAACAACCACTCTTGAACCAACAACTACTGTTGAACCAACAACCACTGTTGAACCAATAACCACTGTTGAACCAACAACCACTGTTGAACCAACAACCACTGTTGAACCAACAACCACTGTTGAACCAACAACCACTGTTGATCAAACAACCACTGTTGAACCAACAACCACACCTGAACCAACAACCACTGTTGATCAAACAACCATTGTTGAACCAACAGCCACTGTTGAACCAACAACCACTGTTGAACCAACAACCACTGTTGAACCAACAACCACTGTTGAACCAACAACCACTGTTGAACCAACAACCACTGTTGAACCAACAACCACTGTTGGACCAACAACCACTGTTCATCCAACAACCACACCTGAACCAACAACCACTGTTGAACCAACAACCACTGTTGAACCAACAACCACTGTTGATCAGACAACCACTGTTGAACCAACAACCACACCTGAACCAACAACCACACCTGAACCAACAACCACTGTTGATCAAGCAACCACTGTTGAACCAACAGCCACTGTTGAACCAACAACCACTGGTGAACCAACAACCACTGTTGAACCAACAACCACTGTTGGACCAACAACCACTGTTGGCCCAACAACCCCTGTTGAACCAACAACCACTGTTGATCGAACAACCACTGTTGAACCAACAACCACTGCTGAACCAACAACCACTGTTGAACCAACAACAACTGTTGAACCAACAACCACAGTTGATCAAACAACCACTGTTAAACCAACAACCACTGTTGAACCAACAACCACTGTTGATCAAACAACCACTGTTGAACCAACAACCACTGTTGAATTAACAACAACACCTGAACCAACAACCACACCTGAACCAACGACCACACCTGAACCCACAACCACTGTTGCACCAACAACCACCGTTGAACCACCAACCACACCTGAACCAACAACCACACCTGAACCAACGACCACACCTGAACCAATAACCACTGTTGAACCAACAACCACTGTTGAACCAACAACCACACCTGAACCAACAACCACACCTGAACCCACAACCACTGTTGAACCAACAACCACACCTGAACCAACAACCACTGTTGAACCAACAACCACTGTTGAACCAACAACCACAGTTGATCAAACAACCACTGTTAAACCAACAACCACTGTTGAACCAACAACCACTGTTGAACCAACAACCACTGTTGAACCAACAACCACACCTGAACCAACAACCACACCTGAACCCACAACCACTGTTGAACCAACAACCACACCTGAACCAACAACCACTGTTGAACCAACAACCACTTTTGAACCAACAACCACACCTGAACCCACAACCACTGTTGAACCAACAACCACACATGAACCAACAACCACTGTTGAACCAACAACCACACCTGAACCAACCACCACTCTTCAACCGACAACCACACCTGAACCTACAACCACACCAGAACCAACAACCACTGTTGAACCAACAACCACTGTTGAACCAACAACCACTGTTGAACCAACAACCACTGTCAGACCAACAACCACACCTGAAACAACAACCACACCGGAACCAACAACCACAGTTGAAAGAACAACCACTGTTGAACCAACAACCACACCTGAACCAACAACCACACCTGAACCAACAACCACACCTGAACCAACAACCACACCTGAACCATCAACCACTCTTCAACCAACAACCACACCTGAACCAACAACCCCACCAGAACCAACAACCACTGTTAAACAAACAACCACTGTTGAACCAACAACCACTGTTGGACCAACAACCACTGTTGAACCAACAACCACTGTTGGACCAACAACCACACCTGAACCCACAACCACTGTTGAACCAACAACCCCTCCGGAAACAACAACCACACCGGAACCAACAACCACTGTTGAACCAATAACCACTGTTGAACCAACAACCACTGTTGAACCAACAACCACAGTTGATCCAACAACCACTGTTGAACTAACAACCACACCTGAACCAACAACCACTCCCGAACCAACAACCACACCTGAACCAACAACCACTGTTGAACCAACAACCACTGTTGATCAAACAACCACTGTTGAACCAACAACCACACCTGAACCAACAACCACTGTTGAACCAACAACCACACCTGAACCAACAACCACACCTGAACCCACAACCACTGTTGAACCAACAACCACTGTTGAACCAACAACCACTGTTGAACCAACAACCACTGTTGAGCCAACAACCAGTTTTGAACCAACAACCACTGTTGATCCAACAACCAATGTTGAGCCAACAACCACTGTTGAACCAACAACCGCTGTTGAACCAACAACCACTGATGAACCAACAACCACTGTTGAACCAACAACCACTGCTGATCCAACAACCACCGTTGAACAAACAACCACTGTTGATCCAACAACCACACCTGAACCAACAACCATAGCTGAACCCACAACCACTGTTGAACCAACAACCACTTTTGAATCAACAACCACACCTGAACCAACAACCACACCTGAACATACAACCACTGTTGAACCTACAACCACTGTTGAACCAACAACCACTGTTGAACCAACAACCACACCTGAACGAACAACCACTGTTGAACCAACAACCACACCTGAACGAACAACCACTCCCGAACCAGCAACCACATCTGAACCAACAACCACTCCCGAACCAACAACCACATCTGAACCAACAACCACACCTGAACCCACAACCACTGTTGAATCAACAACCACACTCGAACCAACAACCACACTCGAACCAACAACCACACTTGAACCAACAACCACACCTGAACCAACAACCACACCTGAACCAACAACCACACCTGAACCAACAACCACTGGTGATCCAACCACCACAGAGCTACCAACCACCACGGAGCTACCAACCACCACGGAGCTACCAACCACCACGGAGCTACCAACCACCACGGAGCTTCCAACCACCACAGAGCTACCAACCACCACGGAGCTTCCAACCACCATGGAGCTATCAATCACCACAGACCTACCAACCACCATGGAGCTACCGATGACCACGGTGCCACCAACCACCACGGTGCTACCAACCACCACGGCAGGACCAACCACAACGGTGATACCAACCTTCACGGAGCTACCAACCACCACGGTGCTACCAACCACCATGGAGCTACCAACCACCACGGAGCTACCAACCACCACGGAGCTACCAACCACCATGGAGCTAACAACCACCACGGAGCTAACAACCACCACGGTACTACCAACCACCACGGAGCTACCAACAACCACGGAGCTACCAACAACCATCGTGTTACCAACCACCACGGAGCTACTAACCACCATTGAGCGACTAACTACCACGGGGCTACTTACCACCACCATGGATATCGGTAACACTTGTTTTCTTGAACCTTTCTGACCTGTCCATCATTTCTCGCGACTCAGAGTGTCCAAAAACTGACGAAGGCACATTGCATGTCGTTTTTTTCTGTAAAAAAGTCCTTTATTTGATTCTGTTCTAGAGTTCAAGCTGCTATTAAATGGTGGCTCGTTTGATGTAGAGTATTGTGAGTGTGTCTGCCCTCTTACTCATCTTGGAGCAATGTGTGAAAATAAGAATGACTATTTGAGATTCATTTTAATCAACTGTTGTAGCTACTTATCATAACGCTATGTACCCCATGCGGACCCGTTAAAGACTGAAGAAAGCGCATAATGTGCGAGGCCAAGACATTTCAGACTGAAATTCATTCAATTAAAAAGGTCCCGTTTCACTCGGAATTTTTAATGGAGTGATCCTTGTTTTTAAAAGTACATGTATTTTAATATAAATATCAGACTTATTTACTCTCCAAATCGCCTGATCATTTCCCTGTTTTAAAAATAATAAAATAAACGTTATTTTTTTTCACCACACATGCAATGCAATTCCAAAAGTAAAATGCAGTAAACTGTACATGCATATGCATCTCTGCGTGATATTGTTATCCTTTACGACTGAGAACTTGGAACAATGGGGGATTTGTGATAACAATAACCCCCATGAAATGAGCCAAATCATCAGGAGGTTTTTGTGTACAACGTTATGTTGAGAAAAGAATACAAACAATGGGAATAAAAGAAGGGAAGAATATGAGGTCCTCATATGGGTATAAGATAACACGACGGGGTGGGTCAAGCAAACCTGAAAGGAACTTCACAAAACTCTCCAGAGATGGAATTTGCATTTTTTTGTCTTTTCCAATTCCACCTGCAGGGTACTAGGTTCAGTGTGTTATCAATTTCTTTTTTTGGGGGGGGGCGGAGATTTTTTTATAATTTTTAATTGTACTTGGTCCCACAATAACCTCATCAAGCAGGGCTTCAGAAATTGCAGATTTTATCGTCATTATCTTTAAATACTTTTCCTGCTAATTTTGAGTTGGAATTAGATTGTTACAGCTGATGGCTAATTGTAAACTAATGATAGGCCTATAACTTTTGTTTGTTATTAAATGCATTCAGATATCGATGATTGTGAACCCGACCCTTGTCTGAATGGAGGAACGTGTTCTGATGGCGTCGATAGCTACACTTGCACATGTGCACCAGGGTACACAGATAGTCGCTGTTCCTCTGGTAAAAGCACAAAATCACAATTTCCTTCGATTCATATAAGTTAGACCTGTGATTTGTAGTGTCGAAAAATGGAATATGTTTCTGTTATGGTAATTCTATAAATGTTGTTACTTTTGAAAGAATGTTGTATTCAGACGACACTTCTTTGGTTGTGTACAAAGTCTATGGAGAGTTGAGTTCATTTTGAAGTATAAAAGCTCAAAGGTATCTCTAAATTCCAAAAAGTGAAACTTCTCTCCATTCGAGTGAATAATTTACTCCCACAGTCGGAAACTAGGGACCACAAGTTTTAGAATGAAATTCCTTTCACTGTAGTGATCGAGTTTTCACTGGAGCTTTGACTGAAGTGGTTCTTCTTTTTTTTTCAAACTATTTCAATCTAAAATGAGAGGGATTTCACTCTTAAACGTCTATAGTGCCTAATGTCACTCAGCTTTTTTTTTTTACCGCGGTCACTCACTCTCCGTAAAATCCAAAAGTTGGGGGCTTGGCGGGCGGGGGAGGACTTAACACAATCTTCCTATGAGATGCCCTTATAGCGGTGGCTATTGCTGACAATAGGCAGCACTTCATTTTCATGGTGGCCCAATAAAAGATGACAATCGAGTGACGTTGGAAAAGGGACTACCGTCATAAAAAAGGACTACCAAATTTTCAGGGGGAGGGGGAATGGGCACCATTTAAATATCGGAGGCGCTGTTCAAGTCAAGCAGTCAGTTTTAGACACATTTTGACCATTAATTACTGGCCAAGCTAATTCTGATCAAGGACTTTGTTTTGTTTATTGATTTGTTTAGATGTGGATGAGTGTTTAGAAACTCCATGTTCAGATACCGCAACCTGTGTCAATCAGCCTGGTGGTTATAGCTGTGTGTGCCCTGCTGGATATCTCTGGAATGGAACATCTTGTGACGGTAAAAAAAATTTAAACTTAACATCCTGAAGACAGTTGTTCTCAATTTTATTACAGTGTGCCCAAAACCATTTGCATTATGGGGGAGGGGGAATGGGCACGGGTATGTTCACGTATCCCCTGAGCTGTTATGAGAGAGAGTGAAGGATTAAAGGATTGTTTGCATTTATCCCAATAGAAACCTTAAAAATTAACATTAATAAGATGGAATTCGGCGTCGGGGTGATGTAATTCAAATTAGGTTTTTATACGTCGGTGAAGGGCAAAACTTAATTTGATTTTTTTTTTTAATGATACATGTACTTAGATTAAAGGGTGTACCTGTACAAAACACCCTGTGAACTTACTGCATCTGGCTTGCTGTCATTTAGAAGAAATCAAGAAATGCTGGTGATTTCCAATGTTCGGACAATTGACAAATATATTTTTTAATAAAGAGTCATTATTAGGTTTGGTGATCAAAAGATTGTGTTTGTTTTCTCATTTTTTTGTACAATACAGTCATAACCCCTAAGCTGAAACAAGTTAAGTTTTGAACACATTTCTTTGGATTATGCGTGGTGTATTATTGCAACCAAACAAAATACTGAAAAGTAAATGATCCTATTAAACTTTTGCCGTGGGCTCGTTACAAAATATGCAGGGGGTCTTCAGGTAAATGTTTGATGGATGCCAAAGAAAATCCTGAATTTATGCAAATTTGATGAAAACATTGATACGCTTCATTGATTGTCATTTTGTTTCAATTATTTTGAAGATATGGACGAGTGTGAACAGGAGAGCTCGGTCTGTCCATCCACGTCGCCTTGTCAGAATACGATGGGGAGCTATACTTGTATCTGCACTGAAGGCTATGGATGGAATGGGACTCGGTGTACAGGTATATAGGCCTATATAAATATATATTGTACCTCTATACAATGTTAACATTTTATTAGCAACGCTGTTAAGAGAGGAGTTGAGGAGGAGAGTTGGAGTGAGCAGATCAGTATCGTGTTGAGGAGGCATATGCTGAGGGGGTATACATATGGTCACATGGTGAGAAAGGATGATGCCAGCTTGGTCAAGAGGTGGCGCGGTTTGGCCCACACCCGTTGGCCGACCACGCAAGACGTGGCAGAGCTCTGTGACAGATGACATGCGACTGCTTGAAGTCAATGCGAGGGATGCAACGGACAGGGCCAAGTTGAGAGGAGCCATAGGGAGAACGCAGACCAACCCAGAACAGAATGGACAACGGACTCAAAACTGACAATGATGATGATGATGCTGTTAGAATGTTGATTCTTCATATTATTTTTTGTTTGGTTTTGCAGATGTAGATGAGTGCCAGAGTTCTGAGCCAGTGTGCCCGTCATTGGCTTCTTGTACCAACATTCAGGGCTCGTTCAGATGCCATTGTCAAGATGGATACACACTCACCGGACAGCTGGGATCCAGTTTGTTCTTCTGCATGGATATTGATGAGTGCCAGGATGAGGCGTTGTACGATTGCCATAGCAACGCTACATGCACCAATGAGCCTGGTGCCTACCGTTGCATGTGCTCAGAGATGCAAGGTTACCGTGGCGATGGGACAGTCTGCACTCGTAAGTTGTTTTCCTTTTTGCAGACCATCTTAAGAGCAAGATGTTAGATTGGAGATCCTGTGCACTCCACGCACCAACAAAAGGACATTTTTTACCACTTTTGAGAACCCCGTCGACGGGACACAAGGCGTGTGGGCACAGTACTCCGCACGAAGTCTTCCTGAATTTCCCAAAGCTATTAGCCACAGCATCTTCGCGTGAATGTCAGGCATCGGCGTCGCGTGAATATGTTAAAATTTAACTTGCGATGGTTTCCCAGACTACTCCCCGCCCCCAAGAACTTTGGATCATTCAAAATACGCAGTGAAACTGGAACCAGTCTAGGTCTCCCCAACTTTCCTTTTCTGACCATTGAAGGAGTAGTCCCCCCCCCTACTTGTGCATGGAGCCCATAGGGTGTTAGCGAATCTCCAACAGGGATTTTCCATCCATTTTGTTTCAAATGCTTGACAATCAGATGAGAACATCATATCCCCCTCCCAAAAGAAAGATTATCCAGTTTGTTAGTGTGATATCAATTCGTTTTAAACCACTCCCACTTGCCATTAAGTAGCATTGGAACCATTGGAACCGGAAGTTAACGTAACTTGACTGTTTATCCAATGGGCGCTAGTTATCAGTGGTGCGCGCACGTATGACGTTTTTTTTACTAACGAACCGGATAGTCAAGCCCAGTAAAAACAGTCCCAAAATCCACAAAATTTGTTTCAATTGATGGCTATTCAAATCTTTTCATGCATCTAGTGTATACGCAGTGGACCTGCCCAGTCATTGGGTTACTGGGCGATCCTATACAATGGCACTGCCCGGCAATCTTCACCAGTATACAACCAGTCTAAGTTACAAGTGAGAGTCAGTCAGTCTGTGAGTCAATCTGTCAGTCAGTGAGATAGATACAAAGCGGATAGTATGCTGGCTCTCTAGGATCAGCAAAAGCCCATGAGGATATATTACTTTCAAGTATAACTTTCTAAAGCAGCGTAATTGTAAAAAAAAAAAGTTAAAGATGTCCAACCTGTGTTAACAGGGAACGGAGTGCCCATCTCTCTTTCTTATAGCGATTGGCTTAGACTCATATGCTGCTGCGGGGGGATCGCCACACCTCCTCCACAGCGAGTCTGTTACCTTCCAAGCATTGAATAATGCCGGTACCCATTCAACACCTGGGTTGAGAGGAGTAATTGAGGTAAAACGCCTTACTCAAGGGCACAACACGCATGGCCACGGCGGGGTTCGAATCCATAAACTCGCGATCATGAATCCTGTGCTCAACCGCTAGACCACACTTGCCCATGTAATGGACTTTGCATATTATATTATTCTCTTTTGCAGCATTTGATCTGTGTGAGAGCGGACCTTGCTTGAATCAAGGCCAGTGCACCTCATCTGTAGGAAGTGGCAGCTATGAGTGTGTGTGTACAGAGGATTTCACAGGAGTCAACTGTGGCATCAGAGTGGTACCTCAAGGTATGTGCTTAGTTAGGGATGTAAAGTACATTTGCTATCCTACTTTTTTTTTTTGGGGGGGGGGGGAAGTGTTTCAACACAAACATCTTGTGCATGAGTGTGATTCTAGGGCAGGGTATCTGAACCGTAGGATCAAGGGAGGATGGAGATGTTTTGGAAGGTACAAAGAATTACACCGACTAGAAATTCCAATATCATTCAGAAGAAGGATTTACAATTTGGGAAATATTCAAGTCAAAAACCAGTCTACATGGAAGAACAAAAGAAATTTACCTTTAGGATGCTTGCAAAAATGCAATTTATACCGTAGAGCTATAAGAGCTCGGTGCACACACTTGTCTCTTGCTGCATAGTGCACCGATGTGGTAGTATGAACTGGCGGACCTTTACAACAATCTAAACAGCAACTTCTGAGATCTAAATGTTGGGGTTGGGCTTCTTTGACCATAAGTTTGGCTATAACAGGTCTTAAAAAGATCATGAGAAGTATGCAAAATAGTCAATTATTCAAGATATAATTTACGCCCCCTAAAATGACTGTAAGTTAAATGCTATTATAATTATTATTGCCTAATAGACACTGTGAAACTTTCGTGTAACAAATCGTAATTGAAATGCTACGCAAAATGTTTTATTGCACCACTCTGGCATGAAAATGTGGTGTTACATTTCGTAAAATTGGCTGTTTAACCATTTTCTATTTAAAAAATCACTTCACGTGCTGTTTTGGCAAACTTTTTTCAACATTGTATTCTCAGCCATCCAAAGACTCAAATTATATTTCCAATTGTTCTTTTGTTGCTTTTGTGTTCTGGAACAGGTCCAATCTCTGTCCTGAAGCACCCTGAGCCTAGCCTCATCACAGCATCGCTGTACTACACAGTCACGTTAGAGTGTCAGTTTGAGAATGCCAACAGGTTTGCTTGGTACAAAAACGGAGCGATGCTGCCCGGTACACGAGACGTATCATTTCTTACGATCGCTGGAGTCACTTCGACTGACCGAGGGTACTACTGGTGTGAGGGGAGTGGCTTGCAGGGAGTTACACTACAGACAAATGCTTCCTTGCTGCTGATTGATGGTAACAATTTGCATAAAATTAGCATATTATGTAAACTTGCGAAGTTTATCAAGCGTCAATATTTTTTGTCATGCCGTTGCACTTAAAGTTCTCTAGGTTCATTTGCAAATAGTCAAAAATGAAGCTGCCCAAATATATGGAAATCATACTGCTTGATTGTAAGTAATACGATCAAGATCCAGTGAAATTGTTTCGCCGAGTATGATATCATTTTCGAGAATAGAAAAATAATAATCATTTCCCCGTGATAGTTCCCCTAGAGCCATAGAGAAAGCGCACTGTCATTAGAAAGGGGGTCTGCTCATAAGTTTGACGCCTCATAGGTCCGACGCCTCAAAAGTCCAAAATTTCGGACTTTTGAGGCGTCAGACTTATGAGACGTCGGAATTATGAGGCATAAAATTGATTTATTCCGCCTCATAGGTCCGACGCCGCATAAGTCCGACGCCTCATAGCTCCGACGCCTCACAAGTCCGAAACAGCGTTTGTCCATTGTCTGACTCATAAGACGTTGGACCTATGAGGCGTAATTTATGCCACATGAGTCCAACGCCTCATGAGGTGTCGGACCTATGAGGCGTCTTACTTACGATACGGCACTATAGAAATGTGTGCATTTTCCAAGTGTTCTCAAAAAGTGTAATATCCACTGAACTGAAAGTTTAACAAGTTTAATAATTAAGTTTTGAACCTTCTTCTTTGAAGTTTGAGTGGTGTTATAATTGTAAATGTAAGAAAAGTAAATGATCCTATAAATGTGCCTGAGTTTAAGCAAGATTGGTGTAGGGCTAGTAATGACTTTGACTGTTTGCTTATTTGTTTTCCGTAATTCTTGTATTAGATTTTCTGATTGATCTTGAAATGTAGGTGTGTTTGCCTTTACCACTGAGGCCAGGTTTCCAACATTGACATTTGTCGATGAGTTGAGAAATAAAAGCTCGCCAATCTTTAAACAAATATCGGCTGAAATAATAACCTTTGTAAGTATCATAACATTGTTCCACTATGCAAGAAATACAAATCTACCGTTTCATTTGCAGACAGCATAAAAGAAAGCCACCCCAAACCATATTTTGCATAAGGAACACAAAATGAATTCTTTAATGTCCGTGAACTGTACCCAGAAAACTTAAAACAATTGTTTTTTTTTAAATACATAAAAATAGTGCCAACCCAAATCCCCATAGACGCACCTCACGACTATTGGATGCATAACTTCATTTACACTTTTTTCAGCATGAAAAAATGCCATCTTTATCTCACAGTGTAAATGTCTTTAGGCCTATAATAAAAAAAATGTACGTTCTGTTGAAGTTAATTCAGTTTAATTTAACCCCTTGAGGACGTGTAATTCGACTTTTTGGCTAGCTTATTTCTTTAATGTACTCGTAAATCCTCTCCTTAAAGACAATTTACCAAGCATTCTAGACAAAAAAAAAGGAAAACAGTTTTTTCCAGCATGTAAAAACTAAACAGATTGGTTTCCTCTTTCCAAAGCTCTCGGAGGGTTTACAATCTGAGGGGGTTCAAGCAAACATTGCTGTCAAAGAGCTGAACAGTGGAAGTGTAGTGGCAACGACCGAAATCCTAACCATTGCCGGAGGGACAAACAGTGATGACTCCGAGTTATTGAGCATTGTCCAGGATGCCCTGGTTGGCATAGCAACCGCCTCAGATGGCTACATGGATCCATCTTCTATCATACTTGAGAGCAGCGGTAAGAAACCGTGGAACACTGAAATCACAGGATGGTATCTGATGCGATTTTTTTTCTTGTAATAAATTTATATCACATATAATTGATTTTCTTACATTGTACGATCAAAAATTGTTCTTGTGAAATTTTACATCGGTAGTCTGAGTATTACCCATTGTCCAAAGGAGCTGTCTCCGTAATTAAAGTCCGATATATTTGAGCAATGCAAATTTTATGCGAGCCGGCTCGCCAGCCAATCGCAGTCGACTTTAAAAGTTGTGACGTCGTTTCAATCAGAAATGAGGACTACGCTGTTGATTGGTCAATTATTTGGCTGCCATGTTTTTGTATAACACTAATGGGTTACCAAAGACCCGATAGAAGGCGCCTGCTGACGGTCAGAATGTTGAGGTCAAGACGCATACTTAATCACTGAATCTGCTCGCATACCATAGACCCTTCTTGTGCAAGGGGATATTCCATAGACTAGTACATTGGTGAGACGAAAATGAAATATTCGTTTTGCCGTTTTAGGATTTCATTCTATAACTCCAGCATATACCAGTGGCCTATGCAGGTTTTTGATCAGGAGGCGGCAAATAGGTGATATTTGAAGACTCTCTTTCACAGTTTTAAAAACAAATCTAAATCGCAAATATAGAGACATATTTAGAGAGTATAGTTCATTAGCTCTTCAACAATGGAAAAAACTTTTTCAATCATCTAGATATTGTATTGAGTTATGACCAATTGAAATCAAGTGCCGTTTTTTCCATTTCGTCCACGGCGACTGATATTTGACTGCCCATGGGCCGAAACTGGAGATTCCGAGTCCAGGGCAGAAGCAGAGCAGCACAGTAAACATCTAAGAAGTTCACCAAACAGTCCTTTTCAGGATTACTATTTCTTCCAAAAGAGAAAAATTACCATTGTTGCAGAAAAGAAGGATAAAAAGAACCAAAACATGAAAGAAAGATTAAAATGTAAAAAAAGCAAATCTACGTCACTGCAAATCCATTACATTCCTAATAAATGACAATTAAGACTGTGGATGAAATGAAAAATTGGGTACTTTTTTCATTGCCCATAACTCAATGAATAATTGAATATTTACCCGATTGGGAAGATTGTTCCTATGTGAAAAGCCAATTCAATTCAATTCTATTCAAAATACTTTATTTATCCTTAAAAAAGGCAATTACATATGGTTGGACAGCTCATTAAAAACACTTAGTAAATTACAGGTCAAGTAAATATAAATATATAAAACTTACATCAATCATTAACAACATGTCCTGAAGTAATGTAATGAAGTATACTCTTCAAATATGTATCGATGATTGCGATGTATTTAAAAAGCCATGAAGAAGAGGACACTTTTAGGGTTCATCTTTTTTTGGGGGGGGGGCATTCTGTATTTCAGCATGGAATGAATCTTGCGTACTTTGCACCATACGAATACGAAACCAGCAACTGTTGTGGAGTTTACAATTACTTTTTTGGCGATAAAATATCACATCAACTTCTGACAGTTAATTTTCATCATAATATCATTTGCAGGTAGCTGTGTTGAGACTAGGTGGCCAACCATCTATGGCACCATTACTCTCCCAGCTGTTCCTCTCGGTGAGGACACAGTATCCAACTCGGATCGTGTGTGCCCTGATTATACCATCAATAGTAAGTTCCTGACCTTTGAATACTACAATTAATATTCACATTGTATAGCTATTTTACATATATGCAGTGATGTGGCAGCGTGGTTAAGGGCATTGGATTCGTAGTCTGCGGGTAAAGCTGCAGATTGTGGGTTCGGGTCCAGCCTGGAGTCATTATGCGTGTGCCCTTGGGCAAGGCACTTTGTCACAAATTGCTTCTGTCCACCCAGGAGTAAATGGGTACCTGTGAGGACAGAGATGGTTAAAAGCTTCCTTGCGCCGAAACGGTCGCATGGAGCTGTACACTCCCCAAGGAGCTGAGATGGTGTTGGGAATGTTTCATGGACCTAATGAGCAGGGGCAATAATAATAATGTAGTGCCTTGAGCACCAGTCCTGGTGGATACGTGCGCTTTACAAATACCCACTATTATAGCCATTATTTTCAAAAACAAAAACCAACATTTTTTTTTTGACCAGCAATTTCATTATATATAAAGAAAAACAACTTGAATCTGCACATTTACTCACATTCCATATCAGTATATGCTTTTTGGGAACATGCTCTCACGAACAGTTAAACTCGTGAACTTTTCCTAATCTTTTACTAATCATCTATGTTTGCCCATTGCAACTTCCAATTACAGCAAATTAATATGTACACTCCATTCTTCACTCAATCCAAGGTGGTCAGCCCATAGCCTATGCTGTTTGTGTTGGAGATGGCTTCTCTCCGGCACATTGGCTGGTTGAGTTGCAATGCGGCCGAAACCTGACAGTTGATGAAAAGCTGGCTCTCTTGAACAGGGTGAGGCCATCGGCCAGTAGCGTAGTGAAAACATTTTCATGGTGGGGGGGGGGGGGGTACCGAAAATTTTCCCTGATATTTTGATATGCCAGACAGCCATGGGCGTCAATCCTAGGGGGGGGGGGGGGGGGGGGGGGGGAGAACAGGGGGACATGGCCCCCCCCCACTTTTTGAAGGATGGGAACACAAAATCAAATGCCCCCCCCCCCAGATTTTTGAACTCGCGTCTCATTTACAGGGCCCTAGCTATTATGTACTACAATGTATTTTTTGCTACGTAAATATTGGTAAAGGTGGTCAGAAATTGCCTTAGATTACACCACAGAGCATCTAGAATCTGATTTTTTTTTCGGGGCCCCTAAGGGCCCCGAACCCCACGCCTATAGCTGAGAATAGCTGATTCAATGACTCCACCCTCGAAAACGATGTTTAAATTATTATTTTTTGCTAAGAAAATATTGGTTAAAGAAAATATAGGTTAAAGTGTTCAGAAATTGCCTTAGTTTACACCACAGAGCATCTAGAATCTGAATCCTAAGGGCTTCGATTGCGCTTTGCGCTCGCATTAGTTCTGATCAAGGTATGTCCCCCCACTTTTGAGAAGCGATTGACGCCCCTGCAGACAGCTGTGTTTCAACCACATAAATTGTACAGTGTGCTATTTTGAAAAGTACATCTGTCCAGAAATCGAATTGAAATGTGTTCTAGGATCCTTTAGGCATCTTTCCAGCAAGTTTGAAGCAATTTGATTTTTTGGCCAAAATTTGAAAAAAATGCAAGGGGTTAGCCTTACTTTTTTGGTGAAATTTGGCCCCCAAAAAAATGATTTTTTTCCAAACGATGCAGAAATTCCTTTAGAGGTAAGAGGAGCATCAATCAACCTTCACACACCCAATATTTTGCAGATTCGGACAAAAATAATGGATTTTTAGAGAAAATATCCTAATTTTTGAAATATATCCCTCAACTTCATTGCATAGGTGGAAGTTAACGATGAGAATGTGATGGTGGTGGCGTTGCAAGTCATGGCCCTGACTGAAGATGCCGAGATGCTCACTGATGCAGGGGTCGCATCAACCGCCGACATTATGACGAAAATTGCTAACTTAAACTCATCTAGTTCACAGGTACAAAATGTCTTGGTTGTTTGTGTCTTATTAGGCGATGCACTGCTGGGGAGTGGGGTTCGGTTGGGGCTATGTCACCCCAGCGAAAATGCCTGATTAAAGAAAAACGAAACCCAGATGTTGGGACTATTGTTTTATTGAAGTTCTGCATGTAGCACTTTCAAAATCTAGGATATAAAAGACCAACTCATAAGCTTTCTTTTAGTTTAAGAATCACTCAAATCACTCATGCACTTTTTAAGTTACATAATTTTAAACACAACCACCGTTTTAAGGTTCTGTCCAGGTGTCACCAAAAAAAAGGTGTGCGTTCTTTGAGCAAAAGGAAAACAATTCACACACATCCCTATGTGATTTCGTTTTGCTGAAAGAACACTGAACTTTTTTGTGATCCGTGGACAGAACCTTAAACTGGTGATTGTGTTTAAAATTCCGTAACTTGAAAAGTACATACGTGATTTGAGTGATTCTTGTACTAAAAGAAAGCTCATGAATTGGGCTTTCATATCCTTGATTTTAAAAGTGCTACATGCAGAACTTCTCTAAAACAATGGTCCCAACATTTGGGTTTCGTTACTTTTGACTCACCCTGTATTAGAAATGATACACATATGACATGTTTGCGGCTCAGAAAATCTTGTTTTGTCACCATTATGTGTGGTTACTTGACCAGATTCACATACATAAATCTTCAAAATTTGATGCGAATTGCACATTGCCAATAAGCGTGCCAGATGAAATAAAAAAAAAAAAAACATGCAACACGGTAATTTAACAAGCAACTTTTTCCAAACCGCATACGCATTGTAGTGGACAATAGTAGTTGTTTTGTGGGCAAATCCTTGGTTTTAATTATTCCTGGTAATAAACCAAGGATTTAATTTAAAAAGTGCATGGGCACTGCACTGTTTACCCTTGAAGCCATAAGATGCATTTGGAAGAAGACAATTAAAAAAAACTGCGCAGTTTCAACGGTGGGAGGAACCCTGGAAAAATAATTTTAAAAACAACAACATTGAGTCAGTTTGAGACTGAAAACCTAACTCACATGTGGGCCAAGGAGGGATTTGAGACCGGGCCATAGAGGTGGAAGACTTGGCAAGGTGGGAAGGACCGCTTTACAAACTTGACTCTTGTTTGCAAGAAACAAAACAAAAACAACAACAACACACACACAAAAATTGCCTGGTTATTGGTGACAGTCCATCATTCACTTTGAAAAGGGTCTTGGCTACCCATGGCTTCAGCTGCTTCCCATATATGCACATGTGTCATTGCTAGCCATTGGAATGACACAAGTAATTTGGACGGGGTCTAAGATGATGTCCGTGCAGCCCCCTCCCTGACTGCTTTTCGTTCTGCGATGGCCCGGTAGCAGGGCAAATAGTTCTGGCCACACTACTGCCCAGAGTGATCTGTCAGCAAGTTTGACCACGAACTCGTTTCAATTTGTTCTGGCAACATTTGTTGTCTTAATCAATTAATTAAGTTATGTGTTAAAAGTCAGGTTTGTGCAGTGGTCCTTTCCTTGCCTTAATCCACCTCTATGGTCCGGGTTCGATTCCTGCCATGGTCCACACGTGGATTGGGTTTTTCAGTCCCTAGTTCTGTGGGTTTTCGCCAGAATGCTTTTTTTGGGTTATATAACTTCACTTCTAAACCATATCATTTCTTCATTATGTTCACTAGACAGGTATCTTCCTTCAGGCTTGTGAGCCACATCAGTGCCAGGGGTGTTTTTAAAGCTTCCAATAGTAACAATAAGACTCGGCAGGTTATAATGGTAGCCTTTTCGTCTTGAAAACATTGTTTTCTAGGTAACAGAGACCGTGGTAGACACTGTCGGCAACATGATGTTTATCAGCGATGAAGTCTTGCGAGAAGCCGAAGTCCGAGAGCACGCTCCAAGCAGAATTGTCAGAGTATTAGAGCGACAACTTGGCGAGGTCTCACTGGCAGGAAATGTGTCGTTTCGGGAAGTCCACCCTAACATTGCCGTGGAGGTCCGCGGAGTGACCGAATCCACCCTCTTGAATGGGTTGGGGTTTGCGTCTGCTAATTCCTCGTCGTCGGGGTTATTTGGAGAGTCCAGCCTGATGGTGATGGAAGGAGAAGACGAGCTGTTCCAAGGAGCTTCAGAGAGTGAGATGCCTAGTGCTGTACTTATGCTGCCTCCGGAAGTCAACATCCTTGCAAGACGTATGTATCATATATGTGAGGCGTTCTGGCAAATGCGAGCAGAGGTCGAAATGAGGGTTTGCTTGTATTAGGAAAGAGAACAAAATTCTCCTACGATACTGTTTGTTGCACTCCGATCTGATATTCCGTTGACAATTTATGTAAAAAAAAAAGGGCCCGTAAATTTTGGGCTGTGTTGTAGTCATGAAAATGAAAGATGCCAATTGTTTTTTTTTTATTATAAAAACACTCTTTATTTCACAATCTTTATACTATTTCCTTTAAACAGGCCTATGTGTAGTAGACATATCAAATATTACAAATATCAATACATCGGAAATTGTCTCATTTTGCCAGAAACCTCCACAAAATTGATCAGAATTGTCTGATTCTCTAAGGAATAGACTGCAGCAAGATTTGAACATGCAACCTTCAAAATTGAGCATGATGACTTTGAATATTTTTTGATGACATTTGTTATCAGGAGAAGTCGGCGGTGGCATCCGCGTGAGTTTCTCCGTCTTCAGAAAACAGAATCTCTTCCAGTCGCCATCGCTGGCAGACTTTAACAAGGGAGAGGACCGATTCAACCGGACCATCAACACGCGTGTCATGTCGGCCACCGTGGGAAGCCAACCAATCACAAACCTGAATGAGCCTGTAACGATACTACTCAGCAGAATTGACGTGAGTCTGTTTATTTTGGAATTTCTGTGCACTGAAGGTTAAAGGTACAGGGAGGACGAACCTGTGTTCACAGGAACGGAGTGCCCATCTCTCTTTCAAAGCGATGAGGCCAGACTTGAGTCCATGAAATGCTGCTGTGGAGGGATTGCTAAACCTCCTCAACAGCAAGTATGTTACCTTCCGAGCAGTGAATAATACCGGTACCCATTTAACACCTGGGTTGAGAGGAGTAGTTGAGGTAAAGCGCCTTACTCAAGGGCACAACGGCAGGGCTCGAACCCACAATCTCACAATACAATCATGAATCATGTGCTCTACCGCTACTGACACCTATTATCGGGGGGGGGGGGGGGCAAAAACAAAGAAGAAGACGAGGTTCGAAGTCATATTGCTTTTAGTTAAATGCATATTTAACAACATGGACGTCCGCAGGGTGGCATGGGGGATGGGGTGGGCAAATGTCATCCCTTAGCACCCTCGAAAAAAATAATAAATTGAGAATATGCTTGAGATGGAAAAGGACTTTGAGAGCTTTGCCCCCCTCTCCTCTACAAACAAATCCTGGCGACGCCCATGACCATACGTCCTTCAGTCTCAAGTCAAGTCACTAGCTATTCAAATAAACTGTTACAAAAGCATTCTTTTGTCATTGTTCATCCCGTTACTTGTGACTGGACTTGTGACTGGACTTGTGACTGGGCTTGTGAAAGGACTTGTGACTGGACTTGTGACTGAACTTGTGACTGGGCTTGTGACTGGACTTGTGACTGGACTTGTGACTGGGCTTTTGACTGGACTTGTGACTGGATTGTGACTGGGCTTGCGAAAGGACTTGTGACTGGACTTGTGACTGGGCTTGTGAAAGGACTTGTGACTGGACTTGTGACTGGACTTGTGACTGGGCTTGTGACTGGACTTGTGACTGGACTTGTGACTGGGCTTTTGACTGCACTTGTGACTGGATTGTGACTGGGCTTGCGAAAGGACTTGTGACTGGACTTGCGAAAGGACTTGTGCCTGGACTGCTGACTGGACTTTTGACTGGACTTGTGACTGGACTGCTGACTGGACTGCTGACTGGACTTGTGACTGGACTTGGGAAAGGGCTTGTGACTGGGCTTTTGACGACTTGTGACTGGACTTGTGACTGGACTTGTGACTGGACTTGTGACAGGACTTGTGACTGGAATTGTGACTGGACTTGTGACTGGACTTGTGACTGGACTTGTGACAGAACTTGTGACTGGACTTGTGACTGGACTGCTGACTGGTCTGCTGACTGGACTTGTGACTGGACTTGGGAAAGGGCTTGTGACTGGGCTTTTGACGACTTGTGACTGGACTTGTGACTGGACTTGTGACTGGACTTGTGACAGGACTTGTGACTGGAATTGTGACTGGACTTGTGACTGGGCTTGTGACTGGACTTGTGACTGGACTTGTGACTGGACTTGTGAATGGACTGGACTACAACACTGCAACGTTCACATTCTAAGTTTACACAATTTTATGTACGTGATCATAAATATGGTGGCAGTACCTTTCAGTGGTCCCCCAAATCTCTCTCTTTGCAACTGGGGCGAGGGTGCGTGGGCACGAGTCAAGCAAATATCGGACTTACCATTTTTTTTCTGTTATAGAATGATTCCTATGTGGACAACACGAGTTGTGTGTTTTGGGAATTTGACAATGCAAGCTGGTCAAGCGAAGGGTGTCGTTTACGTGAAGAGTATGTCACTGATCAGTACATCGCTTGTCAGTGTGATCATCTGACCAACTTTGCAGCTCTAATGGTGAGTAAAATTCAGATGTGTTGGCTTGGTGTCAGTGGAAACCAGTCTGAATTTTTTTCATGAACAATTTTTCCACTTTAATATAATTTTTTTCAAAAAAAAAAAAATCCCACTTTGTCAATTTCTTTGTTTAACTGTAGGGTTCAGTCTGTTCTCCATCAAAAGTGAAACGAGTCAGGTGCTTTGTGGTTCATTTGATGACTAAAAACACCACCTACTCTGAGTGATTCCCGTTTGCTATTTCCCGCGTTTGCAGCATTACTTATATTGCTGGCACCGTGACCTTTGGACGGGATCCAAGGCTACATGTCACAGACGAGTTTATGGCTTCCGACGAGTGCCCTTGAACAAAGAGATTGACAATTGGGTTACCACTGTTAAATGTATAGGGCAGGACCACTCATTTGGGAGAGTTCCGCTAAAGGGTTGCATATTCAAACCTTGTATTAATGTACATTTTTTTTTCTGACTAGGACATTTATCCAGAGTCACCTTTGACCGAGACTCAGGAGTTCATCCTCAAGTTGCTGAGTCTGGTTGGATGCGGGATGTCTATCCTAGGACTGGCCGTTACCATGGTTACCTACCTCAGTCACGAGTATGCATTGACAGTTCTTATATAGAACACCCAGATAGCTTCAATAAAGATGGCTGAAGTTTTCACTGTACACTCAAGATTTATCCAAGAGTGGAATCAAATTCCAGAAGATATGCGCTCCACACCAGACCAGAATGTCTTCAAGTCAGCTTTGGACGGCATCCATTAGGAATTTAGTTAGCCGCGCTCGCTTCAAAATTTAAGCTTGCGTGCCACATTTGACCACTGTACCAAGATAGAACAACAGGGTGTTGTGTACAGTATACAAGCAGAAGCAAAAGTAGTAGTAAAAGTAAAGCATGTGCATGTCTCAGAGCAAATTTGACCATTAAAGCTGGACTAACTTCACTCGAATGCAGGATGGTTAGAAATTAGTGCGAACCGAAGCAGGGACGTCTCTATTGTCTGAAGTACCATTGGTCCGACGTCCCATTCGTCCGACGTCCCATTGGTCCGACGTCCCATTGGTCCGACGTCCCATTGGTCCGACGTCCCATTGGTCCGACAGCCCTTTGCTCTATAAGTTCCATTGGTATGAACGTCCCATTGGTCGAAGTACCATTGGTCCAAAGTCCCATTGGTCCGAAGTACCATTAGGACGTCGGACCAATGGAACTTCGGACCAATGGGACTTCGGACCAATGGTACTTTTGACTATCGAGACGTAACCCCAACCATCACTGGTTACCAATAGCTGCGGCAATCATAATGCACAGCAGGGAGCCAGGACCAAGACGTTTTGTGATGCAGTGTTGACCATCTTTTGACCTGACACATTTGCACGTTGCTATCATTATTAAGCGCAGACATGAATTATGTCACAAATCCACCACTAGTTGACTAATGGTCCCCGGTCAAATTTGCTTCCAGATGATATCTGAGAAACAAATTATTGTTCAAGGACAATGAGCTGTACAGACTTATCCAAAGATAGAAATTAGAAGCCAAATTACCAGTGATGGATCTACGGGGGGGGGGGGGGGGGGAACGGGGATGATGTAACCCCTTGGCCCACAAACAAATAGGAAAATCATGCAGAAATAAGTGACATATGCCTGTTAAACCCCCCTTGACAGCTACCCCCCCCCCCCCGACCTTTAGCAAAAGCTCATTCCACTCCTGATTACCGAGTTGGCACCGTGCTCGTGTGCAGATGCTACCCTGCAACTAAGTGCCCCTTCAAACAATAAAGTTTTCCAATTTCCAACAAGTGGCATGTAGGCCTACAAACAGGCATTCGCAGTTATGGCCATTGCCGGATGAGCCCATTATCTCTGTACACAAAGTATTCCCCTCACTCAGTTGCAGTGAGTTCAGACGGACTAATGCATTACCACCATCTGCCTGGTGCTCAGGCAAAGACAGTTATGGTTTGTTAGCATGCCGAATAAAATTGTGTGTAGTTGTCACCATATGGGCATGAACCAGTGGACAGGCAGTGCAGTCACTGTGCATGGGGACCTCTGAACAAAAGATGTCCATACACTGCAGGTAGTGAAGACGACGTGTGCACTTGCTCACGTCCACATAGGCCAACAGTTTCCATCTCTCTGAAAAACAGTTTTAGAGAAATTTCAGGCTTAAGGTTTATTCGTTGCAAAATGAAGAAGAAAGCTCAAGGTAATCATGATATATTTGGGCTGAAAGAGTGTTCACAGCGCGAGTAAAATATTTTTTCTCCAGGTTTTCTTAAACTACACCAAAACAAAGGGATGTCCACACTTGGTATGTAAAGTAAACATGTGTGCGCACATGCAATGCATCCCTCTGACAGGGACAGGGACAGTATTTTAAACAAAGTTGAAATGCTCTGTTTTCCATTTTTTTCGCCCAGGAAACTTCGCAAGATCCGTCCAAACCGCATCCTGCTGAGTCTGTGCGCCTCTTTGCTGTGTCTGTACATCACCTTTGTGGTTGCCACGGCTCTGGATTCAGAGCGAGGCGTTGCCGAGTTGGATGTGTTGCCGTGCTGCGTCCTGGCCGGCTTCCTGCATTACTTCACGCTGACGTCGCTCTGTTGGATGGGCGTGGAGGGCTTCAACATGTATCTGCTGTTTGTTAGAGTGGTCAATGTGTACGTGCCGAAATTCATGCTGAAAGCATTGCTGGTTGCTTGGGGTGAGTGTATCATAGGTCCTTTATTAAATGAAAATATCTTACTGAAGAACTCTATGTTGTACCACGGTCTTTCGATTACTTCATAGTGAGGCATGCTGGGGATTTCCCAGGGGCCAGTGCCAATATTCCCAAGACTTGATATGATTCATCTTGTTGTTTATAGTGGGCTCTTCTTTTCTTTGTAAACAGAGAGAACTTTTTTGCAGTGCATGTCTTTTCTTTCTTCCACAATTTCTCCTGAGTTTATCCTGTCCTGGAACTCTTGCCTTGGATATGACAGACTCGCCATTTGTCCTAACTACTTATACTTTCTCATTTTATCTGTGGTTTTCGTTTTCAAGTTGGCAAGCTCTACGGTCGTGACAAAGCAAGCTTGTGAACCATTTTGAGTCGTTCAGATAGCTTCATGATGGCTCCTTTTTATATTTGTTTTTTTAGGAATACCTGCATTGATTGTTGCAATAACTGCTGGGGCTACCAGGGAGGATTACGTTGGAACAGACTTGTAAGTTAATTACCTCCAATTTATAGAGAGAGTTATATTGACGTTTGGTTGATGCTCATATGATGACTTTTGTTTGTTTTTCGTTACAGTTGTTTCTTGAAGCAGATTCCACTGATAGCTGGTCTCCTAGCTCCAATCAGCCTCATCCTACTCTTCAACATTGTCGTCTTTTCGCTGGTAATCCATCAATTCATCAAGACATCCAACAACGACCTCCGAAGGAACAGGGACGATATATCCAAACGGAAGCTGCACAAGCAGCGTCTGCAGAACGCCCTGACTGTCATGACCCTGATGGGGCTAACGTGGTCCATCGGCTACCTGAATCTCGTCCAAGCAATATCATTCCCCGTCCAGCTAGTCTTCTGTCTGCTGAATACGCTTCAAGGATACTTTATCTTCATGTTTTATGGTGTTCGTCGGGCCGAGGTCAGGCAGCATTGGAGACGCTGCTGCGTCTTCCAAAGAGCAACTTTTTCTTCAGTGCGGACATCCTCCCAGACCCAGAGCTGGACAAATAAACCACAGGTACGGACGCCATTCAATCCTAACATGATCCCCAGACCTCCATCACAGATCTATCGCCATCGACCTGATTCGATGATGCCCTCAATGTAACATTTAGAGTTTAATTTGACCCAAGTTATGGTTAAGATTCCTCTCGCATGTTCAGTGGCAACGCCAGACTCTAATTTGTATCTTTGGGGGGGGGGGGGGGGGGATGGGGGGGGGTGCAAGGAAATATTTTTAGGGGAGTCAAATAAGATCTTAAGCCCATTGTGTAAGCGCGTGCAGGCCAATTTTCAATGGGCCGGAAATAAGCCACTATAGAGCAACTTATAAGTGTAGTCGTTTTTATGAATGAGAAATGTATCAAACCGCAGAATGGTGTGTAACAAATGTATAACAAATGTACAAAGACATTGGCTGCACACTATCTACGGCTGTATAAATGCATGTGTGACATGTTTTGTCTGAAGTTCCAATGTTTATAATGCTGTCATTGGCCCAATATGTGTCCAATTTTTATGAATCTTATCAGCGAAGAAAATGACCATAATTAATCTATTTGTTGATAAATTGTTTGGAAAAACTGGAAGGGGAGGGGGGGGGGGGGCAAATAGACCTTTAAACCTTCAAAAATTGCTAAAAAATCAACAGTGATAGATAGAATCAAGATTTGGCTATATATAGCACAGTTGACATAGCTCTTGAACTTTTTGGTGATAACGTCACAATGACGTAATCAAAGATTCCTACATTCAATCTTTGAAAATCAATATAAAATCAACTGCTACAGATTTGATTTTGTTTTTATGGCAATCGATACAATATTGCAGGGTCTTCATTTTTGGTATTAAGTGCAAAATCACGTGACCCTTCCTTCTGGTCAAAACCGGAAGTGCCTTACTATTTGAAATTGGCAGAAGATGCGAACTTGCTTTCAACGATGTGAGTGTCTGCCTAGGCAGTAAGGTACAAAATATTTAGAGGTGACGTCATCAAACGTTAGAGCGCCCTCTGGCGGCATGTTGAAAAAGTCAAACATGGATTTAAACATGCATTTTTAGTTGATGTGTGTGGCAAACCTTGCGGTTATCCATGGCCCAACATCGTGTGGTTGTTCCTACAACCTCTAGTTTGACTTGTAAATGAAATACCTCTGTGCACATTAGCCAAATTAAGAGATTGTTTTTAATTAAAAAAAGGTAAACAGGTACGTTGTAATGATGGATGCATCCTTTATGGAATAATGATTTGCTATGGATTGTGGGTCTTTAGTTTTTAAACGGCATTACGCTTAAAATGAATCTTTCACAAAGATCGCTTTCAGATAGGTCGAACATCGGGATTTTTATACAATCCATCAGGAATATAATAGGAAATAGTAATATTGTTATAGGGTATATGTGGCTGGTATTTTGTAATGTATACTCAGTCATATTTGAAATATGTTTGTTTAAAAAAAAAGGTATATTGGCTATTATAGGGATATGTGGTTGGTTAATTCATAATGTACGTATACTCGGTCATGTTTGAAATATTTTTGTTTAATAAAAAAAGGTATAGTGGCTATGTAATAGACTTGAGTGCAATTTTAAAGAAAATGGCTGCTTTAGATGTACATTAACTTTTTCTTGATGCCTATGTATTGCTCCAGTGTTTTAAACTTTAATAGACTTGATTATTTTGCATAATCACAAAATGTATTAAATGTTAGTGATAATCAGAGATTTTTGACAGAGAATATATGTTGTATGTGAGATGTCTGGCTTTGTGCGGTATTTGATTTCGACAATCCACAGTATACCGCCACAAAAGTAACTATAGGTTTTCCCGGCCAATTTCCTAAAATGTTCATTCACTTCTGAAAATCGGTCATTCATTTTCGTCTGAATTTGAGAATCGCTCTGAATACGCGTTTCATTTTCGCTACCAGAGCATTCGATTCCATTTCAGTTCAATCCATTTAGTGATTGAGCAGCACCTTTCGTTTATGTCCATTCAGATTCGTTTACAAGACTTCTTTTTCGCTTTTAGAGGGCGATTTCAAACATTCACCATTCTATTTCACTTTAGTTTAATGCCATCGGCACCAGATACAATTAGTGGTTTTTTTCCTTCATAAACCGTCATTCAAATTAGCTGTACCTGAAATCAATTTAGAAAAGGTATGCTTGCGTAAGTGAATGCACAGGTAACGTAATTGGCCGTCTGTTTCTCAAAACCAGATGCACAGACAATGTACACGATTGTACGTTCGTTGAATTGAAATGGATTCAAGACGTGCATTCAAATTCACACGAACACGAATGACCGATTTTCAGAAGTGAACGGACATTTCACGAAATTGGCCGGGAAAACCTATATTATATTTACTAAATAGGACAAGGCACGTGGTGTTATGGAAACTGCAAACAGACAGCATGGGCAGAACTGCAAAGGCCTCGCTGGATGACTAGCATAACCACATTTTTCACTAATCTAGGTACTGCGACCACTAAAATACAGGGTGTCTAAAACAAAACCGAACCCTCAAACGTCCTTTTTTTGCAGCTTTTAAAAGTACAACGCGAATAACTATACATATTTAGAGAGTATAGTCCGTTAGCTTTTCAACAACAGACAAATCTTTCCAATCGGTTCAATATTTATTGTCTTATTTCAGTCAAAGCGCTGGCAACCGTTGCAGTCACTTGCATTCCACACTAAAATGCATTTTGACTGACAGACTTTATTTGCTGACATAATATCAGCAAATGTCCATGAGTATTATTAATTTTGTCTTTGAAAGTTGTTCCCTGTAAGAGTGATGAGCAAGTGGAAATCTTTGTGGTTTTTTTGTCTTTGACGTTTTAGCACTTTAATAGCAGCCGTTACATGTCAGTGTTACCAAGGTGTACATGTATTCACATATTTCTTTAACAGGAAATATATTAAACAAGAAGGTTGGTACAGCTGAAGTATTTTTAGATTACAAGTTTTCTCAACAGGCTGCAAATTTATTGTGAAAAAATAGTAAAAATCACCTATGTAAAATTCTAAAATAAATATTCACAGTGGTATTTTAACATAAATAGTAAAACAAAGTCTAACTTTGAAAAGGTGGATTTCTTTTTGAAGTTGTAACATTTGAACAAATAGCTAAAAACACTGAATTTCCAAATTTGCCAAATTGCATGCTTCTATCTTGAAAGGCACAATGTATTCATATAATTATGTGTGTACAATGGACCTTTTTACGCTGGCCAAATCACGATTTACGGTGGCGAGTTTTGTGGCCCCTGCAGGTGAGGGTTGAACTGGTTTCCCGCCGCCGCCTCACGCTGCTTTTGCAGCCACGTGGTCTGGACTGGAGACGTGCAGCACGCCCGAGTCTTCAACAGCGAAAGAAGTCCAGTAGCCACATAGCAGCACGCATGCGTCACAGCATGGATTAGCTTATCTAAAAGAGGGTGTCCTAACTTATGACTTTAATTTCGCTACAACATCAATCCATACCTTGAGTATTACTGACAACATGCTCTTCTTTTTATTCCTCTTGTAGTCCTGTACCTTGAGTGGCTTTTAGCCTAGTCCAGGGCGAATATGCAATAATGTACACCATTTTAAACGAATAAGAAACGAAAAGCACGGTTATACGTTATAAGCGCACAGATGTTCGCTAATTTGAATGCGTCAACTGTCAAAAGGTTGCAAAGACTTAATTTTAGTGCTTTAATCTCTAAAAGGGCCCATGCAATGTAATTATTTTATTGCAATCCTTGAAAATGCACCTATTTATAAGTTTTTGTTTGCCATTTTCAAGGGTATTTTGGTGCCGTTTTGGTTTTTATGGTAATGCAAATTTCCATATTCATGAGTAAAAGTGTGATGTCATTTCAGGCAGAAACCTCAATGTTACAGTTATAAGTCAGCACCAGAAGTTGCCTGAATTTACGATATTTTGCTGTCGTAAATGTTCTTCTCTGTTGGTGATTCGTTGTGTCAGTTCACTGCAGTAAGCTAATGAAGAAACCTTTCTCGATTTTTTTTTAATGAGTAAATTTCGGGTTCACAATTTTAACAGAAACCCCTAAACTGAAGTGTCTTCCTGAGATGACGTCACAGCAACAGCGCCTCAGTTGTCCGGAAAAATATCTACTTGTCAACAAAATTAACCAAAAAGGATGTCAAATATTTTTTTTTATACATTGAAGAGAGTGAAAAGTTGCAGAAAATATGTTCAAAAATATGTAAGAAAAATTCATTTCATGGACCCTTTAAAGACTTCATTATGTTGCATTATGACAAAATGTACTAAATGTTATTTTCAGAGTGTTTTTAATGGGACGTTTGTGAGTTGTCTGCTGGGCTTTCTTGGTAATCGGTAATATTCTGTTGAATATTTTGAACGTTTAACTGTGATTTTATCACTGGTGATGTTTGAAGACAATTACGACAACAATTCTTGAAATCGCATTTTTTTTGGACGAGACTGGTTTTACATCATCCTTATTCGGTATTGTTCGGTATCCAGAAATGTTATTGAAATAGTCCAAGCCTCTAATGCCTGCACTTGTAAACAATGAGGTCATGGGTCAAAGTTCAGGATCAGCTGCAAACAAAGATTAGTCAATGGAATAGCCTTGCAAAGCAAGCACCTTTTTTATGGACACAAATTCGGCGATTATGCAAAAAAGACTGCGTCTTGACCTCCAGATTCTGACCATCAACAGGCGCCTTCTATCCGGTCTTTCGGTAACCCATTGCTAAATTACAAAAACGTGGCAGCCAATTGACCAATTAACAGCTTTGGCCACCTTTCTGCCGGAAATTCACAATTTCTAAAGTAGACTCCGATTGGCTGGCGTGTGGCGTCGCATAAAATTGCTCACATATATCAGACGTTGTTGCTGAGCTTGCAGGCTCCGTTGAACATCGGATGATAATCAGAATAAGTAAAGATTGGTGCAATGCAATTTTTTTTCAAACCGAACCGCTATAAGTTTAGAACCAGTCACAGCCAGTATACATTGAAATGCATTTCACTGACATATTCTTTTACTGACGTAATATTTTCTGTGCAACTTAGCAAATTTCTATGAGTAACATTTCCAGGAAATTTGTTCCATGGTCTAGTAAGCTGGTGGAAATGTTTGGGATTAATTTTGCCCTTGACGTTTGCGCGCTTTAATAACAGTCGTTACATGTATGTATTAAAAAGGTGTATTTACATTTTTCTTTTTTGACAGGGCATATATTAAACAAGAAATATTAAATGGTTGGTACAGCTGAAGTATTTTTAGAGCAGACTTTTTCTCAAAAGGCTTTAATCTATTGTAAAAAAAAAAACGAAATTAAACTCACCTCTGTAAAATTATAAAATAAATGTTGATGGTTCTATTTTTAATATGAAAAAAAAGTATAACTGTGAAGTGAAAGGTGGATTTTGTTTGAAGTTGTAAAAGTTAATAACAACTTGCTATTTACTGAATTAAAAAAACTAAAGATGCCGTCTTAGATGGCTGGTTCACATGTAGGTCTACACCGATTTTGTAATTGTGATTTCTATCAAAATCCACCTAACATTTACAAGATTTTGTAAGATTTTTGTTCATATGTATAAGCCACACAAAGTTGTATCTAAAAGACAGTAGTAATGTTTTGATAAAAATTTCATATTAAATGTTTTATTTAACCAGGACAGAACACACATCTCGCATACTAGTTATTGACCGCATACTACACAGATTCTTATTTTGGAAATACCAACTTTGTTTAAAACAACAAAGAACACTTGTGGAAATGTTGAAGCCCAATTCCATCACCATTTTTTTCGGGGGGGGGGGGTTAAGGGGAACCCCCCAATATTTTATAAAAACTGCCCTTTTCCATTGAAATACCCTTTTTTAAACAGCGCTTTACCCCCCCCCCCCAAAAAAAAACATTTGTAAGGAGTGCCCTTCTTTTGTTAACAATTGCTCTTTTCTTCTAAACAAGTGCCCTTAAAGAAAAGTCATGCCCTTTTTTGGTGCCATCGGCATATTGTCCGCTGGTAAACACTCAAAAGTTCCGCTTGCTTGCACCATGCTTGCATAAACATTGCCAACCTTTAAGATTGTTCACTTAAGTAGAACACACCCCAAAACTTGAAAAGTCCTTTTTTTTGCAGACCCTGTTGTAGAGGTTCGTATTTTACAAATGTGCAATAAACTTTTCTAAAACTTGCTGACACAAGTACAGTTACATGACAGCACTATCATCTACAGTCATGTCACTACTCACATACAAGCACGAACCAATTTTCTTGCATTATGCCTAGATTTCAAACACAAATACGGCAAGGCTGGCTTCTCTCCGCAGACGTTGCTTTGGTTTTGAGCACACAATGTACATGTACAGATATTTACAATGCAAGCTATTTTGATAAATTATACACTGCATAAAATTATGTGATACTAAAAACACTATACAAAAAGAGATATACTGGTGGGATTTGAAACAGAACAATTCTCACAATGGACCGATCTGTTGAGCCCCGCCTCATGATGTTTCGACCAATCACAGCTATGACTCTGAAACCCGTTTCACGTACATATGTCCCACATAAGTCAGACAGGTGCCCAGTTGCGCATGATTTCTCTAGAGCTTTACCATCCGTCTATAAAGCACTTTTTTTGTATTGTTACTATAATTAAAACATGTGACACTGTGTTCAATAACAATAAGGTGATTTTCCCTTTTAAAATCCAGGGTCTCTTCCATACCAGGATGTCATTGTTTATCATTTACACAGCTCATCACTGTAACATTGTATCTGGTTAATGTCTTCAGGCAATTTGACCAATAGCAGGTGGGCAGTCCATCCTCTCTGGACACCCACACACACACACCATGCATACACAATGTACCTATAATTTAGGATTTCCATTGTTTGTGCACCAGTTTCAACAATCAAAAGAAATAATAGATGGTTTTATTACTGGACATGAACAAATATGGCACTGGATATTATATTTTATTGAAAAAAAATTGCGGGTGTTTTAGGCCACTCAAAAAGGATTTAGGCAAAAGTAGCATGTCATTCAGTCAAGTGATAATAATAATGGTGTCCTGCTGGTTGTGGCCGTTCAATAAACTCCCCCAGGGGGATGTTGAGAAAAGAGAGATTTGAAATCCTTGTACGGGCTCATGCAAATACCCGAATATAAAGCCATGTAAGCAGTGTACTCGGGTTTTCTCTTAACCAGTTTGCGCCAGATGACATGTATACACGCAAAAGTTTTCAAGTTTTCAAAATAATCCCGGCGTGAACTGGTTAAAAAGAGCGTTTTATACAACTTAACATCTATAGTGCGGCATTGGGGGTGTTGTATGTGTTGTTGCTGGACTGCGAAAGTGGGTGGGGCTTACGCTCAAATCCGGAACAGTAAATTAAAATAATGATATTCTCACTTCTACTGGTACAATTTGGTACATGTACTAACAACTACATCTTAAAATATAACTACCATGTACAAAATGTTTTAAAAGCTCAATATCTGAGCCCCATGATCGATACAAACACACTTTGGTTGGCCTAAAGATCCCGTGCATTCAACAGCCATTTGTGAGGCTTATTTCTGTATCAATAAAGCACTGTTTACATTGGAATTTTAGGTTAAAATAACAGGGACTATTGTCAAATTTAAGGAGACTTGTCAACTTGACCATATTAAGTCCAGTGCGTAAACTACCCAAATCATTAATTGGCGATAGTTGAATGTTAGCTTAATGGTCCACAGCATTAAATTTTACAGGGCCAACTGGGTCGTGGAAGAATAACATTGTTCTACATCATTGAAAAGTCCTGTGCGAAAGACCGCTGCTATGTAAAACTAGCATAATAATCACGTGACTTCCGTGTCGGTAACCTATGTAATTCTCACGCGTAGGCCAACGTTCTGTACATGAGATTCTACCGCATTTCTGCTGTGCTGTGCGATATTATGTGGAACATTTTTTTCCACAACCACATCTGGCGTTATAGGTTAAAAGATCAATAGTAGGACGTCCTCATAAAATTCCTAGAGAGCACGGTACGGTACGGTAAAAGTATTTACGCAAAGAACAACTTTCCTTGGCCAGAAGTTAATCCCGAGTGCAGAAGCATGGTAGAATGACCACATTGGAATGTTAACAATCTTGGTAACTTGGAAAAAATATGTAAGTACAATGCGAACGTGGCATCAGAAGTCTTCTCATACCTGTGGAACCAAAGGACAAACCTCCAAGATGGATGCACTGCAAAGGGTCTATGGGTCTATGGACTCTGTGCACGTCTATGGCTTCAGGCTAAAACACACCACATTACGGTTTACAGATGTTTTGGGACAGTTTTCATTGTGCGTTCTTGCTTGAACACTTTTCGCTCATGCCAAATCTTGGCTGTACCGTCATTAAAAATCACTTGTGCATACACACCACCACCTATATTTCTCGCACACAGTGCGTAGTCTACTTGATCAAACGATCAAATCTTCCCTTGATCAAACAACAATTTTTCGATGGCAGTATTTCCAACTCATAGTTTTAACTGTACATTAAACAATTAATACTGATCAGTAATAGGAATTTGAATACGGCAAATATCTACTACTTCTATCCACTAACTCATTTGGAAGATTGGTCTCAATGCGTCAAGCATTTAGGCCTTTTACGCTAAAAATTTAAAGCTTATCATCGTTATTTATGCTGTCCCATACCAACATACAACCATCAGCACCCTGTACTACATTGAATCACAATGTAATTTATTCAGTGCTCAATAATAATAAAAGTTTTTTTGGAAATGTTGTGCGTTAAAGGAAGAACAGCTCAAGAATCGATTGGCAGGATCAAATCCAGTTATTGGCCTTGTCTGATGTCCTTGAGCATGAGACTTTACCATAACATGCCTTCTCTACCCACAGGGTTTTAGTCAGCATTCACAACTTTGGCGTTGAATTTTGCCTTAAATTGAAAAACAGAGCATCCAATGTGTTTTAAGTTGAATACAAAAATGTTGCTTAAAGTGTGTCAAAAAAACACCTAGGCTTTGCTCTGGCATCAACTTTTTTCCAGCGAAGAGTAAGCGTTTGAATGGTACAGGCCAGCTGAGCAGTGTCTTGCACTGCACACGCAGGCATCGACGGAACCTAGAAAAAAAACATTTCAACCAATTTTGTGCGAAGGAAACTACCAATACTCACCAGTCAGTTGGACCATATATCAGCTCTGGCCAGATATTTGATAAAAAATCTACTACACATTATACATGTAGATATGCTCAGGATCCATCGTCTCTGACTGTTTCTTTACTATCGTCTGTGCTAACATTGTTCTCCACCAACTTGTCCTCTGTCCCTTGAATCTTATCATTACCTGTACCAAAGAAAAAAAGTTGCAAAGTTGAGCAAAGAAACTGACTGGAGCGGGGTTTGAAACTGCGACCCCCGGATTGCCCTACCAACTGAGCTATCCAGCCTTATGTTTGTGGTTCCGCATTTTGTTAATGACTTTGTTCAGGGAGCACAAGTCAGAAGCCATAAACCTGAATATGCCATGTAGCCAGGCAGTGGCGTAGCCACGGAGGGGCGTGGGGGGGCGACAGCCCCCCCATGAAACCTTGTCCCCCCCCCCCACTGAGATTTTGAGTTTCTAAAATAATTATCATTGATCTACATGACGCCCTCCCATGAAATGTTCCAGGCCCCCCAGTCCCCCCCCCCCCCCCCCACTGAAAAATTCCTGGCTATGCCACTGTAGCCAGGGATCAGGCCCAAGGTCACAACGCTAGCAACATTTAATAGCAATGCTGCAAACTTGGGAAATGTCAAACGGGATCACTCAGGGAGAATAAAGCTTTTTATATACGGGTTTATGACTTCTGACTAGCGCCCCTTCAACAAAGACATTAATAAAAAGGGGAACCCCCCACATACCGGGTAGGGCTGGATAGCTGAGGAGTGGGGGAAACAATTGATAGGCGCATTAACCTAAACTTTAACATTACAAGTACGGACGACATCACGGGGAGGACTTGTGGGGTAGGAGCATTGTTGTCCATTTATCCCTTTTTCTAAAGATTTCACTTGTGGGGTACCCATTGCCTTTGTACGAGTACTCCACAGGTAGCTCTGGTGTGTACGATCATATGGGGATACGATCATACAGAATTTAGGACTGGCAAGTGTCCCCAAAAACTTTGTAGCTAACAATAAATGACTGCTCATCTGAGACTAGGGACCAGTTCATACACAACAAAAGCGAATGCAAATATGAATTTCTGACAATCATGGCAAGTTATCAGGCAAATTTCGTAGCGAAAGTTTTGTATTATCAACTTCGCTTCACCTTTTCTTTCGTGTGTAGTTTGAACTGGCATTAGGTGTCAGACTTACTCTTAATCAATGCTGGATGGTTCTCTGCAGTCTCTGAGTCATCGTTGGCATCCTTCTTGGCTGTGATTGGACGGGATTCTGGGTCAATTACAGGGGTCACCTCAACATTGTTACTCTCGTCATCACTGTAAGTTTAAAGATAAAAAAAATTCTGGTACAATATCAGAATATAGGGCTGCTTGTATGAGCTCAATGCGCAAACAAGTGATCAGCCGACGGACGTCACCGCGTGGTATGGAGGACAAAAAGTAGACATCATTTTTGCTATCAGAATATCCGAAAAGCAGATTGAACATTTTTGAAACATCCCTTTTTCTACTTTTCTGTCTTCCTGCTATCAGAAAAGCAGAGTTTACTTTTCAATAAAATAAATTTTTCTATTTTTCTGGTACCTGAAAAGAAGGTTTTACTTTTACTGATTTTCCAGGGTCTGAAAAGCAGAAATGTAGAATACACAGTTGTCAAAATGTATATTCGATTGACTTTTCCACTTTTTTTGGAATGAGAAAAGCAGATGGCCACTTTTGGCCGCCCGAGTAAAATCTGCTTTTCGGGTAGCCGAAAAGCAGCTTATGGCAAGGTTGAAAACTTTTAATCTAATTTCATACTACTCAAGCAAGAAAAAAAGCAGATGTCCATTTATTGCCAGCCAGCAAAAGGAAGAAAAGTAAAACCTGTTTTTCAGGTACCAGTAAAGCAGAATCCAGTGAGATTCAGGTGTTGTCGGCAATGCGTTCCAATGTCTCTCCCAGTGGTCTCCCCAACTCACCATTTCTTACTGTTGAGGGGGTACTTGCAATGTGCATGTAGTCTAATGGTCATTGCCTATTAAGCAAAGAAAACTGGAGCCATACCTGTACATAAGAGAGTCCATGAGCGCTGATTTGTCCAGTGAGTCATCCACATCAGGGATTAGGTAGTATTGTAAGGGATTGCTCCACAGGTCATCTCTCAGAACCTACGGCAGACATAACATTTAAGGGTCAGGAGCGTAAATCCGGGGGGGGGGGGGGGGGTATAAATACATCCCACCCACTTTTTGACCAGGGGGAATGGGCTATTGGATCATCCCCTCACACTTTTTTTTGGCCGATTTTTAGGTTTTTTTTTTTTAACTTCCCAACCACCAAAATGTATTCAATCATGTCAATATTACTGAAAAAGGTAACAAAGTACAAAAGCTTTAAATGTGCCGGGTTTTTTTTTGTACATGTACATCTGTACCATGAACAGCACTCTCTAGTGTCCTGTGGTGTTGAACAAGCCAGTCCCCCCCCCCCCCCCTTACCACGTCTGGGCAATTTTTTGATCGAAGTCATCCCCCTGTTAAGGATGGCATTGTCATTTTTTTTTTAAAGTCTAAAACTTGGATGAAAATGTCTGGATGAAAGATGCATTTCTTTTAACACTGGTAATGATTTTCTCTCAAATTGAAAAGGTCTGACTTCAAACAAACTCTGAAAAAAATCTCAAGCCTGAGTAATTAGAATCATGTGACATTACCAAAGCAAATAATCTGCCTTTCTGGAAAAGAATATACATCAATTTTGAGCAGATTGTGGGTTGGTTAGGGGTAAGGAGTCATGTCATTACATATCTGGGATAACTTGCAGACGAGTTTATCCAGCCTGTTGTGTTGGGTATTTATGAGTACCTAGGAAAGTTTACCCATTCCTATTGGTCGAGAGCACGTCTCGTGGCCATTTTTAAACGGTTGATAAAACACCGGCTGGCTGTCACATGAAATTTGGACTCCTATGAAGTCTGGTCCCTTTTACCCTTGAATTGGTTGAACATTCACAATCTTCATTTAGGCATATGTGCAATACTACCTATGAGTCCATATGGCCAGAGTCCTAAATTCACACTACACCGGCACTGCCCCATTCCGCCCCCAATTTGCACAGTACGCGCCACACGTGCGCCAATCTCCATTTAAGGAGTTGTTTATGATTACTTGCGAGAAACACCATAAAATGGACAGCGGGGTGCTTCCAAAAATATGAAGTAAAATTATTGAACAAATTGTTGGAAAATTATAAATTTTTACCTGTTTTGACTTTTCGACTAAAACGTTTGGACTTTTTGACAAAATTTGATATTAATATGTGCTTGGCTGGTATTAAATGCTATGTTTAAGACCGATTTGGAGCCTGGACGATGATAGTGACCCTCGCCTTCGGCTTGGGTCAATATCATGCGTCCAGAATCCAAACCGCGGTCTTAAACATAGTGTTTTTTATAATATGGCCAAGGACATATTTATTCCCTTATCAGATGCAGGATTCTGTTTACAAACTGATAACTGGATAGCAGGAAGATTCTAATGTTGGCGTTGCTCAGAATCCTGCAACCAGTGTTGTAGTCGATCCCATCACAAGTCCCCACAACTTTCCCTGCAAGTCCATCACAAATCCACCACAAGTCTTGTGTCTCAAGTCAAGTCCAAAGCAATTCAAACAAACTGTTACAAAAGCATTCCTTTGTCATTGTTCATCCCGTTACTTGTGACTGGACTTGTGAAAGGACTTGTGATGGACTCGACAACAACACTGGCCTGCAACTACGACGGACTTGTGGTGACTCGTGACCCATCACAAGTACGCTGACTGCAACACGGCCTAGATGCTGACTTACGTCTGCGATTTCATCGTTGCCTGCGTCTAGATGATCGCTGAACCAGCCAAAGAAGCTAGCACAGGGCACGTCCATCTTGCCTTTGGATCTCAGCTTCTTGGTAATATCCATGCCAGGCTTCCAGTGAATCTCGCTGGATTTGCTCGTAGGTTCTCCTGAAAATAAATCATACACAAGTTATACAGATTTGAAATGTAAACTGAATCAGAAAACCTCACCCTGATCCCCGTAGAAATTCTCGCTTGGAATTTTCTTGGATCTTTCAGGATCCTCTAAAATCCAGCAACATGCTGGAGCCCAATTTTGTGGCACAATTTGTGTGATGAGGTTTTTGCACCAGGGAGTATTCAGATCGCATGACTCATAAACCCACAAGGAGTAAGGCTGGAAAGCAACCCACTCAGGGTAGCGAGCAAGGCCGGAAAGATCAGGGTGTGCTACCCGCAGATCATGGCCTGAGTCCGTCTGCCATCGAGGTTCGTGAAAAATAATCCTGCACCTTGGTCTGGTCACTGTCAAAATAAACCTGGCTTGAACTGGTAGTGACCATTGTGCCATTTGATAAAGAATTTGCAACTTTTTAACGTGCAAATAAACCCTTCTGTCTAGTTAACAATATAAACCATTGCCTACTGCAATGATGACCGGCCACTGGGAACTGGATGATCACGTGGTACTTTGACGTCATAAGATCGGACCCTTTAGGAGGTCCCAATGCAAAAACTTATTTTCAAAGCTTACCGTCCTCTGTCAGACTGAATTCCTTGCTGATGGTTTCATTCTCAAAGAAGGGATTCTTGGCAAAGTGGAATGTGATGCTGTAGCCTGTCTTGAGGTCGTCGTAGTTACGGACGACCAGCTGTCGCAGATAGTGCAGACACTCCTCATCTTCCTCACTGAGTCGCGGAGCAATCTGCGGATGGTTTACAAACTGGTGGATGCGCCAAGATTCAGGAAAACAAACGCTATAATTATTTATCAGTCGGCCGTGATAGCCAATAGAATTCTTTCAACTTATAGTGGGATCATCAGAGCATAGAAAGGACAACAGCATTCTACACAGTGCATCAAAAAATAGCACCCTGGCGTGAATCCTCGCGTAACTAGTCTTGATCGCAGACTGGATTTATATTTTATTCCCCTTTATACAGCTGGTCCATCACAAACGAGATTGCTATCAACGAGATGAATCAAACCAGTTTTGGAAATATTGGCAGCACTACCAAGGAAATTTCCAAGCATATACCTAACACGCGCTCACTGTATTAAAGCTAATGCATGCGCTTGAGGTATACTCAGAATTTCCCGGGTAGCGCTGCCAATATTGCCAAGACTGAATTCTATTCATCTTGTTGATAGAGACCTCTATCACCGCGACAACTTAACAGTGTTTGTCATGGGGCTGGCTGCAATAAAGGGGAATAAAGATCCAGTCTTGAACTAAGACTAGGGACTGGTATATGGACCAGTTTTCAGTTCTCGCTCATGATTATTCAGTAACAGTGAATATGCTCTACAATCTCTCAAAAATCCTACAAAATCCTCCAAAAACCTCATCAAGGTTTTGAACAGATCTGGGATGGTTATGGGTACGGACCGTTCTACATTCAGCTGGGTGCCTAGAAAAAACAGGACAGATACTTTTAGTAGAAAGTACAAGGATACAGTGCAAATCCAGAAATTAGGAATCTGCTTGATGAACTCGTTGCGTTTGTCGATGTGAGGCTGCCGCAACCGGTTGAACTTCTCCTCAATTTGGATGATTTCCTCGCTGGCCTCTTCGTTCAAGTTTTCCAACTCTCCCTGACAGATGTCAATCTGTTCCAGAACCTCCAGAGTGGATTCTTGCTCCAACGAGTCCGTCTTTGAGGAGGAGCTTGGTTGCGAAGACGAGGCGGAGGCGAGACACGCAGGTGGGTCGTGTTCCTTGTTCGCGGAAGAATCGGTGAGTTTGACTTGCTTGGAGGGCGTTGGACCTTCCATGGTGGAACTCTTAAAGGGTCATCTGTAGTTTTAAGAATGGCTGTAAAAGAAAAAGCGATCAGTGGTTTTCCGTAATTGAATCCTTTATGCAAGGTCACAGTGGTAACAATTATACTATCATCAACTTTTGACCCAAAAATTCAGGTTTGCCAAATTGGTTTAGATATTCACACAAGGTGTCAAGAACCAAGAAATGAATTCCCTGAGGATCTCAGCTCACTATACAACCAGTAGCAAGTGGGATAATGAAAGGTATAGACTTTTAACTGAACGCGCCCAAATTTACAAAACATTTTTCATATCTGGCATCATCAAAAACAAAAAATCTAATTTCACTACATTTGCTCAAATTATGTTCACACAATGTGCCTTCAGGCCAGAAATGATTCCCCTAAAGATTTCAGCTCACTACTGTTAGGATATAACCAAATGTCCCAAATATAACATGTTTTTAATATCCACCGTCATCAAAATATCATTTATTGGCCCACAAACCAAACCTCACGAAAATAAGCCAAATGAATCCCCTGAAGATTTCAGCTCACTACAGTCACAATCCAGGTAATAAACCAAAAATATTGAATTTTTTTTGCCAGATGGCCCAAATCAGAAAAGTTTTCCATATCCGCGGGATTCCGCGGTCATCAAAAATACTGATTTTGGGCCCAAAAATCCAACTTCACGAAACTACCGGTAAGTCAAATGTTCACACAAGGTGGATAGAGGCCGGAAATGAATCCCCCAAGAGATTTCAGGTCACTACGGTCAGGTTCCAGGGAGGAAACAAAGATTTCAGTTTTTTACCCAAAATGGCCCAAATCTAAAAGGTTTTCCATATCAGTGGTCATCAAAAATACCTATTTTTGGCCCAAAATCCAACGTCACGAAATTAGCCAAATGTTCACACAAGGTAGGTAGATACTAGAAATGAATCCCCAAGAGATTTCAGCTCACTAGAGTCAGGATCAAGGGAGGAAAGAAACATTTCATTTTTTTAACCAACATGGTCCTAATCATCAAAAAAGAAAGTTTTTGACCCAAAAATCCAACTTGACCAAATTTGCTCAAAAGTTCACACAAGGAGCCTACAGGCCAGAATTGAAATCCCTGAAGAGTTCAACTCAATACATTTCGTATCCAGTGAGAAAAGAAACCTTTTTGATTTTTTTACAAAATACCTCCAAAACTTCAACGTTTTCCATAGCCGGCATTATCATCGAAGAAGTCAGTTTTTTACCCAAAAATCCAACTTGACCAAATTTGCTCAAACTTTCACACGAGATGCCCAGAGGCCAGATTAAATTCCGTGAAGGATTCAACTCTGTAAATTCAGTATTCAGTTAGAAAAGAAAACTTCATGAGTTTTTACAAAATGCCCCAGAAACTTCAAAGTTTTTCATAGCCGGCAACATAAAAAAAGTCACTTTTTGACCCAAAAATCCAACTTGAGGCCAGAATTGAATTCCCTGAAGCATTCAACTCAATACATTCTGTATCCAGTGAAAGAAGAAAATTTTATGATTTAAAAAAAAAATATGCCCCAGAAACTTCAACGTTTTTGATGGCCGGGGTCATCAAAAACACTAATCTTTGCCCCGAAAATCCAACTTCACAAAATTAAGTCAAAAGTTCACACAAGGTGGGTAGGCCCTATAAATGAATCCCCAAGAAACTTCAGCTCACTACAGTCAGGATCAAGGGAGGAAAAAAACATTTCATTTTTTTCCCAAAAATGGCCCAAATCTGAAACATTTTCTGTATCTGCGGTCATCAAAAATACTAATTTTTGGCCCAAAAATCCAACTTCAAATATTCACACAGGGTGAGTAGATGCCAGAAATGAATCTCCAAGAGATTTCAGCTCACTACAGTCAGGATCCAGGGAGAAAACAAACATTTCAGTTTTTTAACCAAAATGGCCCAAATCTAAAACAAAATTCCATACCATCGGTCATCAAAAACACTAGTTTTTTTTGCCCAAAAATATCCAACTGCACGAAGTTAAGTCCAACATTTACACAAGATGTATAGATTATTGTAAACCATAGAGTTTCATTAATAATAATCCTGACATTTTCAAGAAATGTTCCCGAAATTGCACACATTGAGAGCTGTTTTTTTTACCAATTGATCTGACTCTCACATGGCTATACGGTACCCAGACTTCGCGTAATAACAGAAAGAGGGTGCATGAGGAAAAGGCACCCGACTATTCACACATGACAGTCGAGCTTGACAGAATGCCAGTGTCACTGTCAGTGAGCAGAAAACTTTAGTGAATTGAAAGTACATTTTGACAGAGTTCTGCTCACAATTCTAGCTACGTTTTTCGAGCATGGATGGTGCAATGTCTCTGCAAAATGCTGATAATGTCATCTTGCCAGCAGAAATAAGTTTTCAGGTAAAGAAGGGGGTGTGCTTAAGCCTTTATGTTTAAGTTTTTAATGTGCATTATGAATTCAGTTGTTCGAGGCGGCTTGATTGACACGCTAGAATTTAGAAAAGTAATCTGCAAAATGTGACTTACCTCATGCACCTCTCAAATTATACTAGTGTTGATTCAAAACTTGATCTTCGACGCCTTGATTCCTTCAGATAATCGATGATTAGGAATAGGAGCTCATTAAGCCAGTCAATTACCGATAAACCACGAAAACTTCCAGTGATTTGGTGTGGACCATGGTGTGGACAATCAACGTGTGCTGCGAGCTGTCACAGAAGGTGCAAGGGCGCCCTCTATTGCCAAGATGTTCCACTGCCCTGGAATGAGTTAACCCCATTATGTGGCCAATTTACTGGACTACCTCCGTATAAAGGCCACACTTTTACATTTACAGAAACATGTAGAACTAGAACTTTGTCAAATTTTGATTTTCACATTTAGGCTTAGTTTGTAGTTTATTTTTGCTTTAGAAAAAGAAGCATACTCACCCTCTTTATAGGCTAATCAGAAAGTGCTGCCTTTTTCAGATGTCTATAGGCCTACTTTGTGACATTTCCAGATTTGTTTGCACACGTTAGTTTGCGTATCAATATTTCAACATTGTTAGAAAATACTTCAAAAATGCTCTCGACTCGCCAGAGACTGCGTACAGAACCAAAGAAGTAGCGTACATCTTGATACTAATTTCTCTCCCTAAATCTTGACATTTTTATGCTGACAATATGGCTACATGATATACCGATATTATAGGCCCATAAACTTGAATCACATTATAAAGGGTTGGTAAGATTTCTATTTTTTTGTTGGTGGGAATTGTTTGCATTATTTGACATTATTTGTTCATTAATTTATTTCTTTTGTTGAATTTGTCACTATACAGTACACATCAACACATGTAGCTGGACCCGGTCTGAACAGACACCCAAATGAAATCATGTACGAGGGTTGCGATTGCGGCATGGCATCCTGCAACCCACAATGCCCGTGCATCCTTCGATATGGCGCCAACTATGACAACGCTGGACACTTCCTCAAGGGTCCCAGTATCGCAGACTCGCAGCCGGTGTTCGAGTGCAACGCGAGCTGTAAATGTGGCCCGGAATGCGTCAACAGGGTGGTACAAAATGGCCCGCAATTCCCCCTCGAGGTCTTCGCAACGAGAAGGAAAGGGTACGGGTTGAGGTCATCGGTACCTGTTCCCAAGGACAGATTTGTGTGCGAGTACGCGGGAGAGGTTTTGACGCTTGAAGAGGTGAAGAAAAGAACGCGCGAAATGAAACTGCATGATTTGAACTACATTATGGTAGTCAGGGAGTCGTTAGCCAATGGCAATGTGATTACAACTCCGATTGACCTGACGCACATTGGCAACGTCGGTCGGTTTATCAACCATTCGTGCCAACCCAATCTCTATCTTATCACTGTCCGAGTCGACAATGATATACCCAGAGTGGCCATGTTTGCAGGGAGGAATATCGATGCCGGGGAGGAATTGGCATACAGCTATTGGGGAGACCACACGCCTCAGCAAGCCGCTGCAAGTGATGATAAAGGTCGAAGGTCAAAGTGCTTCTGCGAGAGCAAAACTTGTCAAGGATTGCTACCGTGCAGTGAAGATTTGTATGAACCTGGGACATAACGCCAAATCTACGCCAAACATATTCCTGCAAATTTGGAATGATTGGTATTAAAACTCCACTTTTTTTACACAGTGTTGACAACTGGGAACAATATGTTTCACAAAAAAAAAATCACATTTCTTTTATTTTTATTACAATCGCATTTGCTCTGCAATCTTCTACATTCTCTGTATTAATAACAACGGACTTGCAAAATAGAATTTATCAACACTGAAAAATTACAAAAAAAAGTTTACAGACTGTGCATGTTTAAATTGTGCATTTAAGGTATATTCTGTGGGCATTTGCACAGGAGAATTAATAACTAATAGGCCGCTCTGCGCCTTGACGATTTGTCGGACATGCTTGGACAAAGGTCCGAATGCTTGACATGTAGTCACTGAAGACTTGCACATGAACTTGTCCACATGCGCAGGGCTTAATTGATCGGTGTATCAAAATTCATTTCAATATGTCCAATACTACGGTGATAACAGTTTTTAACCAATGGTTTGCAGATAGTGTACTTTTGTCATGGACATCAAACTTTCTACTAATAGTAAAACAACAAAGTTGAGCCTATTTTAAATTTGCATAACAAAAGATTTTGTTCCCAAGCTAAGTAGGTGCATATATTATCAGCTTAGTATCTCAAAATCAAATTTAATATAATTTATGTATAAATCAAATATATTTACACTTTGTGAACTTGTTTAAAAACTATGCTGAATGTAATACTTTGATGGGGATTTTCTTTTTTGACTGGTTTATTTTACTCTCTGCTTTTTTTGGTCAGCGTTTTACAAAACTGGAATCACATGAAAAACCCTGTGTTCAAATAAAACTGAAATTGCATAATTCACATCACATTAACCACAAAAGAAAACTTATGCAATGAAAGATAAAGATTTTAGACTGCATTAAAGGGAATATACAACACTTGATTTTCTGTAATTTTCAGACAAGGATGGATGGGGGGGGGGGGGGGGGTAGTATTATATAGCAAATATTGTTACATTGACTTGTTTGAAGTTTTGAGTTTGAAGATGCTGGAAAAAGCAAGAAAAACATTCCTGTTCTTGTAGTCTGGTTCCCTGACCCCACTTCAGATGAACCGGAACAATTTTTAGACATCGTAGAATTGTTAGGGAAGGAAACCTGTCTAGCTGGCTTTTACCCGTTTATAGGCGTGTAATCGATTGCAAACAAAATGTCGACTACAAATATGGTAAATGTGGGGCAGAGTTTGAAAAATAGCCGTTTTTTTTCCAACGCTGGTCGGCCGACCAGTGTTGGAAATTGATACAAAAATACCACTATTCTTGAAAATTATAGTACACCAGGTGTCACGATTTCACAGGATGCTTAAGACTGTCGTTCACTAACAGTCCATTCAGGTATTTCATACTTATTTGGTAGTTTTGCGTTTTGATGTTTGCAAATGTTGTATATTCCATTTAAAGATTTCATGATCAAGTTTAAGTTGATCACTTTTCAAAAGAACAAATTTGGCAGTATGTTAGAATGTCACTTACAATAATAAAGTGGACATGAAATTGGGCACAAATGATAAAGCTACGTAGAATCATATGCAAAAGTAGGCCTACCTACCAAATTTAAGACAGAAATCTTGTTCAGAGTGAAGACAGAACTGGTATTAACTACCCTGTGAAATTATGATATGCTGTGAGAATCTTTAGTTGGTCGTGTGATCCTGGTGTGGATAGTACTTGTGTCAACTGATTAGTTTGTTGAGTGTCAACTACATGTAGCTGTCGTCCTGTGACTTGTTCAGTGATGTACTTCGAGAGTCTTTCAGCTGGAGTCATGTGACCCTGTAGTGGATCACGGCTACTGGTCAGGTTGTTAAGTGTCAACTAGCTGTAGTCCTGTGACTTGTTCAGTGATATACTTCAAGAGTCGTTTAGCTGGAGCCATGTGACCCTGTAGTGGATCATACCCATGGCTACTGGTTCGGTTGTTGAGTGTCAACTAGTGACTTGTTCACTGATATGCTGTGAGAGTCTTAAGCCTGAGTCGTGTGATACCGTTGTGGATAGTACTGATGATGTCCACTGATTAGGTTGTTGAGTGTCAACTAGCTGTAGTCCTGTGACTTGTTCAATGATATGCTGTGAGAGCCTTTAGCCTGAGTCATGTGATACTGTTGTGGATAGTACTGATGATGTCCACTGATTAGGTTGTGGAGTTGTGTAGTCCTGTGACTTCTCTGGTCGTTTGCTATTGACCGACTTCTCTTTAGCTGGAGTCATGTGACCCCATTGTGGACAACACTCTGGTGACCTCGGTCCGCTGATTGGGGTTGAGTTGTTGGCTGATGTGCACGATGGAATCCATGGCAACCTCTGGATTATCTTGAATGATCCTGTGGAATCAAGCAACAGTACAGTTATGCACGTGTGCATGCTGACACAAGAATGACCTTGATGCAAGTTCGTAATCCTTTTGTTGATTTTATTGAAAATTCTAAAAACATTCCTAGAGAAATTGACAGATAATTCCAAATAGAATCATACCATATACTCCATGTGGAGGGTATTGGCATGTCTGATTAAACTGGTAATGATAACTTCACTCAGATTTGAATGGTCTACGAAGTGGGTACTGGACCTTTAAGCCATATCTCACAAACGCAACATGCAAAATTCTTAATTCTTTTTGTGTTTATATGTTTGTTTATAGGTAAAAGGTACATGCGCACAGTTTGGAAAAATGTGTGACGTCATTATGATGTCATCAAAATTGCGATTTTTTAAAACACATAAAAGGGAGCTCCGATTGTCATGAAACTTGGTTGGTAGGTAGACAATGGTACTGGTATGAAAAGTCTGAAGTGACGTCACGATGACATCATCAGTTGATTTTTCTATGATGTTTTTAATATTTAAAATTTTATTCTGCTTCCAAAATTGCACACACTTCCTTTCCACCAGATTAATTTCAAACTTGGTACATTGTACAAATCAAGACCACAATGACAAAATGTAACTAATAAATAAGCTTAATGCGAACATGACATAGTTTCTCTAGTTTATAATTAGACCCACCTTCGAATCTGGTGGATGACTCGGTCTCTCTTGACGGCTTTGATGTTATCCAAGATGGCCGACTGGCCCTCTTCTTTCTCCTGTCTCTCTTGTTCCAACAGCCAATCAGCAACGGCTTTATTGTCCTCCCATAGATACGACTGTTCATAAATAAAGAAGAATCAGTGTGATTGGTAATCAGCTTTAGAGTGTTAGACTACAGTAGGTTTAGGGATTGTACACAGAGGTATGATTGCAAACAAATGAAAAAGAGTTCGAAATTGTTTATTTGGCAACAAAAAACAAAAAAATCAGTCACAGTCATTTATTTGTAAAATCAGACACATCTTATCTGATGAGACACTTGACACTCCTGTGGAAAAGACCATCATCTTCTGTCTTCAAAATGACAGCAAGTTTAGCTTACATGATGTTCAGTATCATTACTATCTTTTAATTAATGGCACATATGATCATTTTCTTTTCATGCGTTTTGTTTGTTTCCAATAATAACACCACTCAAAATCCAAAGAATGTTCAAACCCAACCTGTTGAAGTTCCACCTTACTGAATACTACAACAGTGGCGCACCCAGGATTTGGTTGGGGGGGGGGGCTCACAATTTTTTTTCCAAAAATGTTGCCCGAAATTTTCAGCCGCAGAAAAAAACTTGGGTTTTTTTTTGGCGTTTGACGTTGGTGGCGCCACTTGCCCCCTATTATACTATTCGAAAATGGGCCACATATGTACATATCATCAAGGTTAATTGTGGGACTAAAAAAACAAAACAAAACAAAAAATTGACCTCTTGGGGGGGGGGGGGGAGGGGGGTCTCAAGGCCCCCGATCCCCCCTTGTACTACAATATTTATGAAAATGGTGAAAAACGGTAACCATGCACCACCTTTTGAACAGGAAACACGATTTTGTCAATTGCACTCCTGTTTCAAAAAAAAAATCAATTGACTGATCGTTAGAAATCACCTACATTTCTTGAGTTCTTCTATAAATTACAGCAAGCCAGACGGAGTAATTTCATAGAACCAGTACGATCGTTATTATTCCCAGTAAGCTTTCAACATTCGGTAGCTTACTTTTGGGACAAATGCAAGTGTTCTTATGCCTTTAAAGTAAGGTTTTTAATAAAATTATGTGTTAGTTCAAGATTTTGGAGGACCACCAACCAAGTACCAAGTAATGGACCAGAATGCTTACGTTGACAGTTCCCTTGTCCTCCATGAAGACTCGTCTCAGCATTGCAAAGACTTCTCCTCTGGACAGCTTCTGGTTGACTTGCTGGATGCGACCGCAAATCTTGTGCTCCAGGAGAAGGCGACGCAGACGCCAGTAGAAGAAAGCGCGGGATGTGGACCACTGAATGACATCCTGAGATAAGACAGATAGAGACTGAAATTATTTGGTGATGACAACATTGAAAATGTGTTCCCCATGCTTTTTTCAGCTTCCTCCTGAAAACAAATGTGATGCGATCAAGCTAAATGAGTCGTTTGTCGGGAATTTTCATTTAGAGATTTAGGCCAAAATAGGGCCACTTCATCACATCATTCATCACATCTCTTGGTGTTCCGACTTGTTTTTGAACTAAAGATGGTTTCAGCATGCAGTTATCACATCAATAATGCTGAGATTGTGCTTTTTCAAATCTGTAAAAAAAAATATTGACCAGGGTCGACAAACGACTCATTTAGCTTGATCGCATCACAAATATTATTCACTCTTGAATGAGATATCGACTGAAAACAATCGGTTCAGTTGTGAAATTATTGCTTTACATTTTCCAATAATTGGCTGCTAGACAATAATTACAATTCTCGCATATCGATAGTATCGATAATGTGGGACTTGAACCAAAATGACCTAGTGCGGAAGCCGTGTTTGCTTGGTCAGCAGTCTGGAATGAATCTGATGAAGCAGAGGGTACCTTAACGATATCTTGTACAAAGGGGTTTTATAGGTGACGTCCCATGATGGTTTATGATACAACCAAGGAACTCCCAATTATGGTCTGTGACATACTTGGGATATCACAATTTCAAGATTGTAAGAGCTCTTGAGTTGAGACACTGTAAATCTGGGGTCATGAAAATAGTGGAGAATTGTGGCTTGGTGGTTCAGGTGTGTGACTCACGACCAGAGGGTCGGGGATCAGAATCCAGCCAATCGGCTACATGTTGTGTCCTGGGGCAAGCCCCTTCACCCCAACTTGCCTGTACTTGTTACTAGCAATGGAAATGAAGTATCGCCTTTCTCAGACGTCTACTTTTCGTGTAATTTCCAGGTTCGCTTGCACACGTTTGTGTATTTAAATTCCGACATAGAAAAGATCACGCGCAATGCATGCTGGATACATGCAATGCATGGTGGATCATTTAGCTGTCAGTCACGTAGCCATTAATCAAGTAGCCTTGACCAAGGCTATCAGCTTGTTCCCATATGAGCTTGTTCCCGCTACCGCACACCGCGCGCGCAGCGACACAATGTTGTACTATACCGTTAGCCCCAACGACCCTTGCGTGTGGTTTGTGTGCATGTACATGTTGTACTTACGCCCCACACACACTTCCGCAAACAGCCGTACAGTAAGTCGAGGCGGAAGATAGCCTTGACGCAACCGTGTATGCCGAATATGATAATTAGTACGCGCTATGGTAAATAGTCTTCTCTCATTGGATAACGGCTGACAAAAAAATGAATATTTATTGCATTGCATAATACGACCAAAGGTTTATAAACCAGACGGCCTGTGGTAACAATAATTATTGTAAAACACCCCCTTAAAATCTTAAATAATAGTAGAATAATATTTATAAAGTTACACATAGTTTGGGTCGAAAATGAAATGAAAAAGATGAAAAATTAGACCTTCAAAAAACGGCAAACGGTACAAAACCGCACGCCGGCAAATACGATGTCACCATGCACAGAGGCCACGTTGGGGCCGTCCACTGTAGGCACCGGCCCGGCTGGCGCCATGCAGTAAGACACGCTGCGCTTTCACGTTCAGCGGCAAAAAAAAGCGCTCACACTATTGAGTATATCTACCGCTGACTTTTTGGGGGGGGGGGGGTATTTCTTCTAAGCTGTCAAGGGGATATGGGAAAAAATATCTCTCCTTCAGCAAACTTATTCTGTAAGACTGATTTTAACTTGTATGAACAACTTATAAGTTATATGTCGTATGCAACGACTAATATATCGACAGGGTACGACATATTTCGACAGGGTACGACTAATATCATCGACAGGGTACGACATATATGTCGACAGAGTATGACATATCAATCATATGACATAATGTTGACAGGTGCCGGTACGACATATATGTCGTGCATAAGTCGAGTCGACAGGGTACGATATATGTCGCATACGACAAAGTCGTATATAAGTACGACTTAATATCTCGTGTGTACAAAATATGAATTGTAACTCGTATGTTTGACTTGTTTGTCGATTATGTCGTACATACAACATATCTTGTGAGAACGACTTGTATCTCGTGCGATTTACATCTACGACTTACATGTCGTACGTATGTCATAGGTACGACATATAGGATTCATATGTACGCGTTAAAATACATGTGTCGTACGTATGAGATGTAATTTGCACATGGTACGAATTCAGGGAGAGTTTTTTTTTCACCATGTACCTGACAGTTTCGTATATTTCCATCCCAAAGTCAATAGCTCGTTTCTTGCAGTTAATTCATACGGGTGCTTATAGATACGAGTTAACCTGCATTCGATTAAATGGGTATGATTTGACCTGGGTCCGAGTTGACCTGTTCCCTACATTCGCTGTCAGAATAGCACGGGCAGGTAGCGGCGTGATAATGTACGCTGTTGCACCGACAAAACGTCGGCGGACTGTCCTGAACTGTCCAATTCAGAATACATTGGAAATAGTATCATTTTGAACAATTGTTCACTCATATAGCAGCATGTTTCATTTGTTTGTAATAAAACTGGAGAAATGGTTAAAATGGGATTGAAACACCTGGACATACCATGGTTTGAGCATGGTGCATGTACGTGGTGTATACAGTAATTTGTGGGTCATGAATATGTATGTCGCGGGTCAAAGTTTACGGGCTTTGATTGGATATCGTGTAATATATGCGCCTCAGAAATTTTCGGCCGATTTCGGTCGAAACTATAAAGAAACACATAAGGAATTCGCCACGGTTGCGTCAAGGCTATCTTGCGCTTCGACTTATTGTACGGCTGTTTGCGGAAGTGTGTGTGGGGCGTACGTACATGCACACAAAGCACACGCAAGGGTCGTTGAGGCTAACGGTATAGTACAACTATAGTGATTGTGTCGCGGTGCGCGCGGTGTGCGGTAGCGGGAACAAGCTCGTATGGGAACAAGCTGATAGCCTTGGTCAAGGCTATTAATCAAGGTGAGTGTGGCAACCTGAACATGTGGGGCCCTGGATGCTAGCACGAAAAAAGGCCACACGAGTGGCGGAGGAAAATAAAGCCACAAGCTCCGCCAATCACATGGTCTTTTTTTGTGTGCTAATTGCTCGTGATCTTTTCTATGTTTTATTTAGATACACAAACGTGTGCAAGCGAACCTGGAATTACACGAAAAGTAGACGTCTCAAAAAGGCGATACTTCTTTTCCATTGCTAGTAAATAAAGTACAAGCAAAGTGGGAATGTGAAAATTAAAACATTTCAAAGTCCTCTTTGTTTTGGTAGATGGCACAGGTGTGGCCTTTATTTACGGATGTAGTCCAGTAAATTGGCCACATTTATGGGGCTACTTTTTTAATATGATGACATAGCAGTACTTACAGAAATGACTTGTTTCTCCTGCATCCTGCCGGCACGGTCGTGAAGATCAGCAAAATTGACTGCCACGGTGTGGTAGATTGGCAGCAGGTAGTCCTCACGATCCTTCAACTTCTTCTCAATGGCTGGCAGGCAAAAAGTGATATGGCAAATACTCAATGGCAACAAGGGGGAAATTGAAGTAATTTCTGACAAAGCTCTGAGTATGAGCCTTTTCGGAGTTTCAACTGCGCATTCATAACCTGTGACAACGCGCATTGTTTGTCTCAAATGGCCTTTGACATCATCGCGCCACTGACTTTACAAAAAGGCTGTTTGTGCATTGTGGGTACTGTCAAAGGGCATTTGAGACAAACAATGTGCGTTGTCACAGGTTACGAATGCGCACAGTTGGAACTCCGAAAAGGCTTATTCAATGCAAACAGTACACTGGAAATAGAAATCCTTATGTATCAAATTTTCTGGTCCAGACCGCAAGTCGTGTTCCATCACTAGTCCATCACAAGTATGGCTTAAAGCTACTGTCCATCATTTGCAGCTATCCAAAAAGTAACTGAGATATTTTTGTTGAAAAGCATACTTGTTTTGAAGATAATAATGGGACAAGACTCTCTGTGAAATTATTCCTTCTGGCAAGCTGTCATTTTGAAGAAAACAAAAGACGCATCATTTGAAATTTCGGTTACTAGTTCGTTTTTATTTAACGAAGCGCGCGCACACGTGCGTGCGGTTGCTATAATTCATCAGTTCAGTGCGTGACATCGCGTAGCTGCAATCGGCTCAGTGAGAACGTGTCTCAGACGCTGAATTCAGGTCCAATTCAAAACATGACTCGGCAACTTTTGAATTGAAATCGAGGTCCAAGAATTTTTTTTTGAATATACAGCATTCACTGAGCTGAAACTTCATCAGGTTAGTTGTGAAGCACCCTTCTTCAGATTTCAGCACCTTGGTTGCTTCAAACAAACATAATGCACAAATTACAAATGATGGACTGTACCTTTGAAGTAAATCACAAGTCCTTTCACAAGTCCAGTCACAAGGGACAAACAATAACAAAGGAATGCTTTTGTCACAGTTCATTTGAATAGCTTGTGACTTGGCTTGAGACTGGAGGACTTGTGATGGATTTGACTACGACACTACTTGCATTCACTCACCAGCCTTCTCCTCTCGATTGATTCCCGTAGCAGCAATCTCACTCAGTAACGAGATGCACGTGTCGTCAATCCGCCGCATCAGCTTCACTTGATCCTTCTTACGGAACTTGATCTCTACTGTCCCTTCCGGCTCCAACACTCCACCTCTAAAAATACAAAAATTACAAATAAAAAAAATTGAAACTTTCAAGTACTGGGAAGCAATATGATTGCTTTCCTAATTTAAGCAAATATCAGCTGAAAACATTAGTCTTGTTCTAAAAGATTCTGACAATGCGCTGACAAATTTCAGGTCACATACCCATCACGGCTGTGAATAAACATGCCTGTTTCCAAAAAAGTCTGAAGTTTACTGAATATATGTTTGTAACAGCTCAGTTATTTCCAGTGTAAAATAATACCAACAAAATACCTGTTTATGCTTATCACAAATTTTGAAAATTTTGAGTTCATAAATGGGGGGGGGGGGGGGGGGGGGGGGCGTGGAGTAAGTGGTCCGAGGTTGGTTGAGGGCTAGGTTGGAGGTAAGGGCTGGGGGGGGGGGGGGTTGGCTGTTGGAATGAAGCTGGGGTAGGGATGGGAGTGGGGAGAGGGCTGGGAGTAGTGGTGAGGGCAGGGGGTCGGGGCGAGGGCAGGGGGTCAGTGGTGAGGGCTGGGTGCGGGGGTTTAACTGCTAGGAGTTTGTGGTGACAGCTGCGGATGGGGGTGAGAACTGGGGGTGGGTGAGGTCTGGGACTGGGGTGGGGGTGGGGTTGAGGGCTGGGGCAGGGTGGGGTTGTTAACTGACCTGCTCTCCTGATCAGCATACATCTCCATAAACTGAGGATTGATGGTGGAATCAATCACCACCCAAGATCCACCTCTCAGCTCACCGTTAGGCGGTATGTACACCATGACAGGTTGCTTGTATTCACACAGTGCATCCACAATGTACGAACCAAACTTGAGAACCTGCTCGTACATGTCTAGAAGGGTGATAAAAAACATGAACAATGTTACTCCTGAAACCCTTTCAATCTGCCAACTAGCAGATCTTGTTGAAGGAATGTATGAACACTGTAAACTATATTAACCGGTATGTGGGGTACTAATTATAATACTGCTACAATGGTACACCGTTCACGATACACCACACCTCTTTACCATGAAAAATCTTCTGCCAGAGAAACCTCTACAATATGCATTGCAAATAATCACTACAGTTAACACAATGGCAATACAATCAACAGAGAATATGTCTACGCCATACCTTTATGAGCCCCACCTTTGTGAGCCACACCCTAATGAGCCACACCCAAGTGCCCCGCCCAATTGTGACACACGGCCTCACCTTTCATTCCACTGGATAAAACCTCTCCAGTTGGCAAAGATGATAATCAACAATGAATCCTTTATTCAAGCCACACCCTTATGAGCCATGAGCCACGCCCTAATGAGCCACACCCAAGTGCCCCGCCCAATAATGACACACAGCCTCACCTTTCATTCCACCAGAGAAACCTCTCCAGTTGGCAAAGACGATGAGAGGCAGTTGCTCCCGACCAAAGTCCTTGATTGCCTGTGCAGTCTTGAAAGCCGAGTCTGGGAACCAGACTGTGCCTGCTTGGGCTATTGACTGTGATTGAAATAGGGTAGAAATTTCATTTTTTTTTCCATTGCAGTTGGAGGTGATAAATTATTACATTGTTTTAGGGTTAATATAATTTGGACTGTTAGTTAATCAACATTTGTTACCATTTAAATTCTAACACAAATTCTGTTGCTTTAACCAATGCTTTTCTGCTTCTGGTTTGGGGCTGTCCCAAACGACTATCAAAAGAAAAAGAGATCTAAAAGATCTCAACCAATATTACGAAAATTCATATTTTTTTAGATAGGTCATTCTACAAATTTGGGGTCCACTCTTTCCTGTCCCTGTTACATCTTACATCTACGATTTTATATTTCTGGATATGCTCCTTAATGACGTTGTCCTCTAAGAGTGATTATGAATAGCAAACTACCTGCCCAACTAATAAAACAATTGTTTGAAGTCATTCTTAATAAGGGAATATAAAATTTGCTTCCGAGATTTTAAATACTATGTTTAAGACTGGTTGGAGTCTGGATGCTAATAAGTACCCAGCTGAAGGCGAGGATAATTATCAAGTAATTAACCGTTTGTAAAGTAAAATGTCAAAAACCTTTTGGAGGATTCCTGAAGTTTTTCCAACTAATATGCCCATGGGGCTAGGGTTAATCTACAGGTCTATCAGATGACACCATCTTACCTTTGCTTCTGAGTCTGGGTTGCCAGGGTCAGCTGGGATATCCACGTTGACAGTACGCGTTTCCACGGCAACCACACCAACGGGTATTCCACCCAGCCTATGTCAAGTCAACAAAACACAATGTTACAGTGAGTCCTGCAGCCAATTTCACGAAACTTTACGCAATTGCTTAAGTCCACTTGCACCACAATTCATTGCGTATTAAAGTTCCACAACATTTCAGTTATGACAATTTCACGAAAGTTTTATGGTGCGTAAGGCCACAGTCTTATTTTGCGTAATTAATAGCCGAATCTGCTCGCATGTCATAAACCCTTGCTGTACAAGGGGAAATGGGCTTCGTGCCCCAACAACAGAGGGCGCTTTTTTGCCATTCTGAGAGCCCTGTGGACGGGACACTCCGCGTGTGCGTACTGTGATGGTTCACACGTGAAGTACGGAAGAGTTAACTTTAATGTGCACAAAACTAATGCATAGCGCTCTATCCCGTGAGCGTCAGGCGTCAACGGAGTGTGAGTGCATTCAAATTTCTCTTTTGATGGTCTCCCAGGCTAATCCCTGCCCACACAGCAGTATGGATACATTAGAAGTCCGCAATGGATGGACCAGGAACCAGCCTAGGTCTCCCCCAACCCTCCTTTTCTGGTCATTGAAGGGGTACTTGTGTACGGAGCCCATTCCATAGACTAAGTCCAGTCAATGCTTGCCTGATAAACAACTCTTTAGTAGTTGACCAGGGTCAAGAACATATTTCTTTTGGTTCAGTGTGACTCTACAACAGCAATATGAAACAGGTCTTATTGACTTACTTTGCTCGGCCGACTACGACGGTTTGAGCCCAGGCTTCCATGATCTCCATGAAGGAGCCTTTATCAAAGAAACCTGACTGCCACTCTTGGGGATTCTCTGTAAAAACAACAGACAGTAATATGTCAGAAATATTGCGCAGAAACACATACAGGTTCACATGAGACGTCGCATTACTGTGAAAACTTGTCTGGTGTTTTTTTTTTTTTTTGCTGCAATTAGCAATTACAAAATTTTATTCGATTTTGTTTCTATTTTGCAATATATTTAACAAAGCACTATTCTCTGACATGTCTGAGCTGGCTACTGTGCACAAGGTCTGTTACACTGTATGATGAGAGCGTAGGATGAAATTGTCACTTTTTAAAAATACCATCACCATCAAGCTTGGTGTCAAACTTGTAATAAAGCCAACATATTAAAGGGAAGATACAAAATTTAGTTTTGCTGCAATTTTCAGAAATGGATGGATTTGGGGGGTAAGCATTTTATAGAAAATATTGTTACACTGACTTGTTTTAAGTTTTGTGTTCGTAGATACTGGAAAAACCAAGAAAAACATTCATGTTCCTGGAGTCTGGTTTCCAGACCCCACTTCAGATGAAATGGAGCAATTTATAGACGTCACGTTTGGGAATTAAAAGGTCGAGGCTTTTAACGCCAGTTTCAAATGTACTTGTTGAAAACCGGCTGAGCACATGTTTATTCCCTTAGTCAATGAGCAAATCTGTTAGAATACTCAAATATGAGCAGATCGACTTATCAAATCTGTTAATTGTCCCCATTATCATACCTGGGTTAGGTCTTCCAGCCAGCATGTGCCTAGGATCGTAGGGAGCCTTTGTTGGCAGGAATTCAATCTCACGGTCGATGGGATCCACGCTTAGGATGATGGGAACTCCCGCGTCACGACACTGCAATGCCACATTGTCAAACAAAAATACTTAATAAATTTACCGATCACATTACGCATGCTAGTTAGTCTGAAAGGTTGAGTGCTGACAATGTGAATTGATGGGCACGTGTGCACGTCAATTGCAACTAGACCAATACCTAATGTACATACAAACCTTTTAATTTGATACATGGACAATTCATGAAATTATAAACTTCAATGCCAAAACTTCAAAAAATCCAAATGCCACAAATGAACATGGGCAATTCCACGGTTACTCACGTTACATTTTTGTAACGTGAGTAACCGATTTTGTGCGTCTTGTTTATCATACATAACACATTTTTCTGGATGTCATCTTTGGTGCTTAGGTAGGCCTAGGTCTACTCTATCTACCATGGGGATAACAGTTATTAAACCTTTTCAGTAAGGTAATTACAGCCCAAGGAAACTCAAAAGTACATCAAAAATGTAACGTGAGTAACCGTGGAATTGCCCACATGTATATCATTTTGAAGCTTATTATCTGTATTTTATTACAAAATAATTTTAATTTTAACAAGTTCAGCTGTTACTTTTAACTGAAAAATTAAGTAATGAGTACACACACACAGAAAAAAATTGATTTGTCTGAGTACATGCCACATCATGGTGTTTTGAGCTGATTTCTATTACATCACAATAGTTGGATGAATAATTTCTATTTAAGATCATTGTAGTTACTAAACTGACATTATATTGTTATTGTCTGGAGAGGTGTGTGATATTCACACTGCATAAACACTGAGAAGCCATCACAACCAGTCAGTCAATGGCCACGACTTGAACACAACATGGCACAAAATGAACATACGCCAAACTGGCAAAAACCTTTCCCTTCAGGGTCACTCTCAAATTCCCCGAGTTTTCCCTGATTTCTGGTGTTTTCCCTAAATTCTCTGAGTTTTTCCTGACTGAAAAAAAAAATGGAAACTCATTTTCAAAATTTTCCTTTATTTCCAGAGAGGCTGGGAACCCTGTTTAAGTAATATGTACACTCTACCACAAGAGGGAGCCCTTTGCCTACCTTGGGCATGTAGGACAACCACTTCAGGATGGTGAGGACTCCTTCGAAGTCGTCCTGAGCCACGGCGTGAGTCACTCCGTTGTTGTGCATGATCTGGATACCCCCTAGCTGGTTATTGGAGGTGTACACTTCCCGTCCGAGAACCTTGTTGAGTGCCCCTGCGCCGGTCAGGATGATGTGAGAGTTGTCCACTTGAACGATGCGTTGACCGAGACGCACAACGTAGGAACCAATACCGATGGCTCGACATGTGACCTAATAGACAATGTTTGGGTTTTAAAGATAATGATCATGTCAACACCAGATGTGACCCTGAGCTACCATGCAGTCTGTTCTTAAAAAAGTCCCTCCCCTATCACCAATATAGACTGGCATAATTCGGTCACTAGTGCACGTCTATGCGAGTGACCACAAGACAGTCTCAGTTCCTTTGGCCTCAAGAAAATATGACCCTCTTTCTGGTCACTCACAGGCCCGAGGGGGGCATAGATATACACTTGTGACCGAGTTATGCCAGTCCATATGTGTTTTATAACACACCTCTGTCCAAAACATAAAATGAGAAAAGAAACTTTCCAGGGTTTTATAATTGAACACTTTTAATTAATATTAATTAACCACGTCTGTATATTTTTTTTGGCAAATCTTTCCCAAGAATTACTTTGTCAATTTCTTCTTCAGTTAGTAGGGTAAATCAAGTTTTCTTGACAGGATAGTATCATGAACAAAGTACTATATCTCACCAGATTCAGAGTGATAATCTCTTCATACGCCCTTGATGACCCGCCAGCAATCATGCCACTCCCACTCAGATTCTCCACACCGAGGCCTTCCTCTTGACCTAGACAAAAAGAAAAAGCAAACAACACCGATTAATGCACAATGTTCAACCACCAAGTGTAACGTGGAGTGACGTGGCCTCATGGTCTGGAGCATCCAAACTTACGATCTGTAAGTAGTTCTTCAGGATGTGGCAAGTCCAGCCGTCAGTTGACATGCCCGTGTCCTTGGGCAAGACACTTTATCACTAATTACTTGTCGGTTAATACTGTGATTGATTTAATTTAATTGATTGAGAAATGTGACTCACCAATGATGTAAGTGATCTTGTACCTTGACTCCCCATCTTCTTCTATGTGCTCGGCGCGTAGTGAGTTGAGCGCCAGCAGCTGTTTGTAGTCTGATGGAGTCAGGTATAGATACTTGAAACCCTGAAAAACAAAGTTGACATCAAGTTATGAATGCTTGCAATTGCGCATTTAATTGCCAACATATACCTTAATAATAATAATAAATCATTCTTATAGAGCGCATAACATAACCGAAAGAAATCTCAATGCGCTTAACAATAAACATAGATACAAATTTATACAAAGTTACAAGCTGACTGAAAACATAATGTTCTACAATGTGTGTGGATAGGCTAGTTGGAATAGGTGGGATTTTAGGCTGGTTTTGAACCGGTCGAGAGTGTCTACTGCTCGAAGTGAGGATGGTAAGGCGTTCCACATCTCGGGTGCAGCATGAGAAAACGCCCTGGAGCCGTATGACTTGGTCCTGGCTGTGGTTGTTGTGAGGAGGCCTTGAGAAGATGACCGCAGAGATCTTGACGGAATGTATGGACGGAGAAGCTCGGAGATGTAACTGTGTCCATGTTTAATAATGCACATCCCTTTAGCACAACTGTGACTTGGACTTGGACTTCAATCAAATAACTTGTGACTCGGACTCAAACTTGAACTAAATGACTCCAGACTCAGACTTGACTCAAGTAACTCAAGACTCAGATTTTAATGAACTCGAGTGACTCCAGACCCAGACTCGGACTCGACTCAAGTGACTCGACAACACTGGGCTTCACTGAGGAGATTTAAGGCCCCTGACTCAGGGGATTCTGACTTTATATAGGTGTTTGTTTTGCTTCATGAATGTTAGAGGCATTTATCCCGCACGTAATCTTCCGAATAATTAACCTTGGTTACTAAACCAGGGTTTGGAAAATATCCTGAGCCTTAACTGTTTGACCTTTGACCTATGGCACTTTCTAAATGAATCCGGAGCCAGAGAAGACAAAGCTGGCTACCAAACCATGGTTTGAAAAATATCCTTAGCTTTAACTGTTTGATCTATGACCTTTGACACCTTCTAAATGAATCCAGAGCTAGAGAAGAAGGCAAAGCTGGATACCAAACCATGGTTTGAAAAATATCCTTAGCCTTAACTCTCTTACCTTTGACCAATGACACCTTCTAAACGAATCCAGAACCAGAAAAGGCAAAGCTGGGTACCAAACCAAGATTTGGAAAATATCCTTCGCCTTAACTCTCTGACCTTTGACCAAGGACACCTTCTAAATGAATCTGGAGCCAGAGAAGGCAAAGCTGGATACCAAACCATTGTTTGAAAAATATCTTTAGCCTTAACTCTCTGACCTATGACACCTTCTAAATGAATCCAGAGCTAGAGAAGGAGGCAAAGCTGGATACCAAATCATGGTTTGAAAAATATCCTTAATCTTAACTGTTTGACCTATGACAACTTCTAAATGAATCCAGAGCTAGAAAAGAAGGCAAATCTGGGTACCAAACCAAGATTTGGAAAATATCCTTTGCCTTAACCGTTTAACCTATGACCTATGATACCTTGTCTGGTTTGGCAGGGTCAACCCAGGCCACCTTGAACCGTTGCTTGACCTCCTCTGCTAGTCCAATCCTGGCCCCGCTATTGGCTGACAGGTAGATGCGAGGAATTCCCAGGGAACGAGAGAGCTCCGATGCTTTCTGTTGATAACATTTAAAGAAAACAAGAAAAGGTTCACAATTTAACACTAATCTTTTAACTGGGCGACTTAGTCAATAAGACACTGAACCCCTGCTGCTCACCATAGGATCAGGAGCAGTTCCACTATGCAGTTCCACTGTGTCGGACGTATATTTTGGACAATTCAACAATGAGCATAACAAAAGTTATAATAATAAAGTGGATTTTATACAAATATTGACTGCTTTGAGTGGTGTAGTACAACTAGCCTCCCGAGGTGATCCATGAAGCGTTCTATTTTTCCTGAGGCGAAGCCGAGGGAAATGGAACGCTCCATGGATCACCGAGGGAGGCTAGTTTTACTACACCACGAGATAAAGCAGTCAATAATTGTTTTATAACACCTCTTCCACAGATTCTGCTTGATTTTAAGCGATAACTGATTAATTTAATCTAAATACAATACAAATGTACTTCAAATTTGAATACAAAAATAGGTGAAAGTTTACTTGTACTTTTCCAAACTTCCCCTCCACGAATGTTTGAACCCAGATCTGTAGCGCTAGCACTTAGGACCAATACGCGCAACGCGCACATGCACACCCGTATGCATTTGCACACAATACTGGTTCTCATCGCATAGTGCTTTGGTTGCTATGCGTCTAGTACTTTGGTTGCTACAGGTGTAGTACTTTTAGCCGTTCATTGCAAGATAGCAAAAATAGCGAATGCCATGTGACTCGCTCTCACCAATCAAGATACAGAATCTGTGGGTGAGGTGTTATAACAATTAATATGATAAAACAAATCAGTCACTACACTGATTCACAAAAGAAATTATTCATCAAACTCTGTTGATGTAGTAGAAAACGGCTCGTAACACCATGGTGTCGAGCATACTCGGACAAATTGATTTTTTTTGCATACTCATTTAATTTTTCAGTTAAAAGTACTTGCTGAGCTGGTGAACATTGTTAGAAATAAATTATAAACATGATAAAATACAGATAATAAGCTTCAAAACGATACATGTTTCCATTGTGGCACCTGGATTTTTTTAAAGTTTATTTTCATTGAGGTTTAAAATTGAGGAATTGTCCACAAGTGTTTTTTGTCGACAAGCACCTGTGAACCATTTACAGAACACCCTCACAACAGATACTCTTAGTGCTTTTCAACAAGCTGGCACATTAGAATATTTTGCCTCCCACACAAAAGTGATTCAGAAAACCGCTCCACCAACCTCAAACAGCATGTCCTCATCGGGTCCAAATGAACCGATCTTGAAGGTGATGTCGTTTGCTATGATGATGACATCGCGACCTTCGGGGTACTCTGGGGTCAAGAAGGTGAACTTCCAAGCCACCATGCCGACCTGTTACCAAACACAGACAATACCGTTACATGCATCTTAAAGGCATGCAAGATGTTTGCTTTTTATGCATTTTTAATAACATCACTCAAAATCCAAAGAAAAATGTTCAAAACCTAACCTGTTGAAGCTTCAGCTTAGTGGAATCACTCTTTGAGAAAACCATGAAAACACACGCACAACCCCTTGATCACAAAATATGATTTCAACAATAGAACTCTTTATTTCCAACGATCAGTCAACTGACTGACCTTTTCAGAACTACACTTCTTCACTGAAGAGATAATCCATGGCGCAAATCTATCAATTACAGAATCCTTTGCTGGAGAAGTCAAACAATTTCCACTTGCATGAAACAGGGATAAACTATTTTGGAAGAATGGAATTGCTCACCCTGTTTTCTCCATGCATTCTGTTGACTGAGGTCAAGGTTCCCTGACTATCCAGAACTAGCTCACTCCCGCTCACCTGGCAAGAAACAGCCAATCAAATTACAGATACGGAGTACAAATTATTGGTTAAACAATAACAACATCAGGGGAGATATTGAGGAAAATGTAAAATCCACAAGATCACCGAGGGCGCGTAGAGTTTGTATTTGCCTAAAAGCACTTTTTAATTACCTATTCTTTTGTTCCATTTAACACCTTTAAGGTAGAACCTTAGGAATTCCAGATTTCAAAAGGGGTAGTTTAAAAAATCCCGAAATTAGGAAAAATCCTGATAAAAAATCCTGACAAAGAATCCTGATGAAAAATCCTGATGAAAAATCCTGACAAAAAATCCTGATGAAAAATCTTGATGAAAAATCCTGACGAAAAATCCTGACGAAAAATCCTGACGAAAAATCCTGACGAAAATCCTGACCAAAAATCCTGACCAATAATCCTGACCAAATATCCTGATGAAAAAAATCCTGACCAAATATCCTGATGAAAAAAATCCTGACCAAATATCCTGATGAAAAAAATCCTGACCAAATATCCTGATGAAAAATCTTGATGAAAAATCCTGACGAAAAATCCTGACGAAAAATCCTGACGAAAAATCCTGACAAAAATCCTGACCAAAAATCCTGACCAAAAATCCTGATGACAAAAATCCTTACGAAAAATCCTGACGAAAAATCCTGACAAAAATCCTGACCAAAAATCCCGACCAAACATCCTGACCAAATATCCTGACGAAAAATCCTGATGAAAAAAATCCTGACGAAAAATCCTGACGAAAAATCCTGACGAAAAATCCTGACGAAAATCCTGACCAAAAATCCTGACCAATAATCCTGACCAAATATCCTGATGAAAAAAATCCTGACCAAATATCCTGATGAAAAAAATCCTGACCAAATATCCTGATGAAAAAAATCCTGACCAAATATCCTGATGAAAAATCTTGATGAAAAATCCTGACGAAAAATCCTGACGAAAAATCCTGACGAAAAATCCTGACAAAAATCCTGACCAAAAATCCTGACCAAAAATCCTGATGACAAAAATCCTTACGAAAAATCCTGACGAAAAATCCTGACAAAAATCCTGACCAAAAATCCTGACCAAACATCCTGACCAAATATCCTGACGAAAAATCCTGATGAAAAAAATCCTGACGAAAAATCCTGATGAAAAATCCTGATGAAAAATCCTGACGAAAAATCCTGACGAAAAATTCCTGAAATTAGGGAAAATTCTGACAAATCTCACACTCTCAACATTTATAGGACAAATGAAGAAGAACATAACCTACACGTAATGATAAAGTCAAAATATATTAATAAATATATTGAATTTTGTGTTACTGCATTCTGTTGAACAGTGCTGTAGTCGAGTCCATCCTCATTAATTCACAAGTCAATTGACACGATCCTTCACAAAACAGGGCATGAACAATAAAGCCTGGGTAAATACTTCATAATGAAGCAAATGCGAATGTGAAGCGAATTAGACACCATGAAGCATTCGCTGCGAAATTCGCCTGAGTTGAAATGTGTTCAACTTTTACGAATTCGCAGCATAAATACTTGCCACGATGTCACAAATTCGCAGTCGCGCAGAGTATGAACCGGTCTTAACACAGGAATTTCTTTGTCTCAGTTTATTTGAGAAGCTTGTGACTTGACATGGGACTGGTTGACTTGTGAGGCACTTCTGTTGAGGAAGAGCTTTTTTTTTTCAGAACATGCATCACTTTAACTTACACAGCCGCATTTCTTTTAAATTTGAGAAAAGCAAGTTTTGAAAAGAGGGCATGACAATTTTATTTATATTTTTGCACATATTCAAGTATTGTTTACCAGTTCCTCTGGGATGACTGTATCCTTGTGCACTGCTTTATGTTCCTCCCAGATACGTCTCAGTTTCTAAAAAAAAAATAAAAAAATAAAAATTGAATAAAATATTGCGATAGTATAAATATACAGACTCGGATTAAGGAATGGGATAAAAGTACACAATTTTCACAACATATAACATGCATAATGCCAAAGAGGTTTTATGTCAACTTTAAGTGGCAGGGCGCTTTGGGGCAGTATGGAGACATATGGGATCATATGGGCTTCGTGCACTAAGAAAAGAGGGCGCCCTTTTACCTATCAACGACATCCCATGGGCGGGACACATACATTTCGCTGGTTGACGCGCATCGTTCCTTGTGTGTGACAGACGTACACCAGGGGATTTGTACTATGTACACGCAGTGGCCGCGCTTTGCAGCAAAATATTGCAGTCAGGCAAGATGGCATCGTTCGGTCAACTGCAACTGTACTTTCTTTGCCAGTGAGGGGGTACTTGTAAACGGAGCGGATAGGTCCCTGTTCTACATGTATGGCACTGAATCACACTCTTGAGGACTATCTGAAAGTGCAGAGTATATCCATTTTATACTGTGGACAGGACATGTCGCCACAGATGAAGTTACGGTTTAGAAAAAATCCCTAGTACAGAATGAAAGAGTAAAGTTAATGAAATGTTCTTGATTATAAAATTGAACAAAGAAATTGACTGAAGCTGGGTTTGAACCTGCGACCGCCAGATTGCCGTTCCTGTGCTCTACCAACTGAGCTAACCAGCCCTGTTGGCGGTTCCCCTGTTTGTCAATTTCTTTGTTCAAGGGGCGCTAGTCAAAAGCCGTAAACCTGTATATGCCATGTAGCCAGGGATCATGCCAAAAGTCACGACACTAGCAAAATTAGCAATGTTGCAAAACTGCGAAAAAAAAGCAGTTTTATTTAAAAAACATTTTCTTGAGGTAACTATACCTGCTTGAACATGTCTGGGAAGTCGTAGACATACGTTGTACCCAATGTCTGTGCTTGGTACCGCTTGAGTTGTAGATGGTCCTTGGTCACGTAGGGAGTGTTGACCAGCCGGCCATGAAGACTGCCTTGCTTCTCAGTGAAAGAGATGAATTTCACCTGCAATGTTTCACAACAGAATTTTTGTCAAAACTTGAAAGCTTCTTCAAATCAATTTACTCAAAGTCTTTCTGATAAGCCCCTTACGTAAAGCTGGTTTATACTTTGCACGAATATGTTTGACGTCATGAGACATTCAGGGCAACAGTCACTGGAGTTTCAACTTCGCAGCGCAAATACTTCCGTCACTGCACATACTTGCGATGGCGTGCGCTGTTGCGTCGAGTATTAACTGGGCTGTACTGTGTCAAGTGTTTTTTTATATTGCCATTGCATTACGAATAGTAGGCTTTTAAATGTGTACAGCACTGATATAAAACGAAAAATGTGAATTAATAAACAAAACAAACAAAAGGAACAACACAAAAACAAAACATGTGATAGCCATGTGACTGGCATGTGATTGTCACATGGGTGTTACCAGCTTCGTTACCTGTCCAGTGGTGGGGTCAGTCTCTTCCTTGTACAGTGTGATGGCCAGGTTGTAGCCAGACTCATTCGTGATGAAGATACGGATTGGAATAGACTTCCCTGCTGGTAACCTAATCAAGTCAAAGAAAACAAACACCGCTTAACAGCTTGCTAGCTATGTTACATGGTGAAATATTCATTCCCAAACCTGATTTTGGTTAAACATTTTGCTTTTTCTGGTTGCTAAGCATGATTCTGTACTTCTTTTCCAATAAAATGAGTCCTCTTTTGGCCTGTCATGGCACTTCTTAATATAACCAACTATTGATATCAACCCGTGAGAGTGTTTCAAAAAGTAGCCAGAAATTTTGGCTTTTGCACATGCGTACATCAGGGCCTCATTTCATGGCTCTACTCATCGTTAGCCAAAAATCCCTTCTTACTGCAGAAGAAAATTCTACACTTCAGTAAGCGTATTTCACGGGGAAGTTAGGAATTTTGCCTTATGCTAAGGATTTTGTGCTTACAGGGTTAGCGCAGAGTTGTTCTGCTAGTGCTGTTAAGATGGAATGGTCATCGTAAGCGCAAAATGCGAAATTGGGCCCTGATAGCTAAGATTATATACATATGTGCTTAGGTGCTTAACATTGAATATCTGAGCTAGTACCATAAACACATAATGGTGGTCATAAGTGAAAAACTTACGCTTAATTACATAGAAACGTGTTAATCTTCGAATCTCATACAATTTCAGTATTTGGAGATTTTGCCTAAAGCCTGATTCATACTTCATGCTAATTTGAGAGGGAAGTGAATTTGTTGGGGTGCAACGTAACAGTGTGCGTCACAATAAAACAATGATTATTGACACTATGCAATTTGTTTCGCTTTCGCCTTCGCGTGAAGTATGGACTGGCGTTAAGCAGTAATAGCGTGCTCTTTGCCATAATACTATCTCCATGAAGTAGAGAGAAGATTTCTCAGCAGAAAACCATGTTCTCAGTATTGCCACTGAACTGGCCCCAGGTTTGGCGATATATTTTTGTTTAGCAAAACTTACTTGACTGTCATTTTGAGTTCCGCCTGGAGGACTCGTAGCTTCCACAGCCTATGGCCATACCTCAGCACCATGGACCTCAGGCTATCCACAACCTTCATAGGATCCATGACAACCGTCGGCACAAAGTTCAGAAAGATGTGATTGCAGTCCGTCCGCTTAGACTGTTGCCATGGAAACAAATAAAATTACATAAAATATATAATATGAAATTGGAAAATCAAAAAATTGTACGAAATTTCCTAAATTATAAAGACAGTCATGAAAAAACTTAGTAGCAACTTTTCCAATTAATGGTATAAATTTGGTCATTCCAGTAACATAAGTATCAAGAAGTTAGGACCAATTTCATAAGTAAAAAATGAAATTTGTGTTTGATATATAATTAATGATTCACAAGAAGTTGTCACGCAGTTTGTTATATTTCCAAACTTGTAAAATTAGAAATATTCACACCTTGCTCGTATTGCTCGTTAAAAAAACGGACCAACAATTACAATCCATTTTTTTAAAGATTCGCAAAATAAGTACTTACATCTGGGTGATTGAAGGCCAGTTCCAGTTCGTCCAGTGCTTCTAGTAGCATCCTCTCAGCCTCGTTGTGTAGGTACTCAAATGAAGCCTCCTTGGTGATGAGATCTGAATGACGGATGATGGCACGGACGAAGAACCGATAGTCCGTCACCTCCTGACCCTTCTGAACCTAAACATATTCACACACAAAAATAATGTGAAATTAATTTTCTGGGTTCTATTTTTCCCTCTCAATAACCTCCAGGAAATCGAACTACACGAAACACAATGTTGATGTCATGTTTTGTTAACTATTTCAGCCGTAGGTTGTTAAGGACACTGCAAACAAGTACCGGTACCCCTTTTTGTCAATAGGACAAACAAGTGCGAGTACACAATAAGCTCTGGCCGCCTTGCATGTAAGTCTTGCATGAAATGATTGTGTGTACAAGCCCGGGCCGCCATCCCAAGCGAAAATCACGCACTGAAAATTGACCAAAATAAGCCCCTAAAGTTTCCCATAAAAATAGCGCGCTATACATGTATACCACATGACTAAAACATAACTGCACATTATCTTGCCTCCATTTACACAATTTTCCTAAACAACTTTACGAATTGTTAAAAACAATTTTTTTAAGTATTTCATTTCTATTCTCTGTTTTTTCTTTAAATTAAAATTTGGTTGTTATATTTTTTTGGAAACTTAGGGGGTTCATTTTTTGGTCAATTTTCCCAGGGACAGACATATGCAAAACAGACGCGCATGCACATCGATCGAGACCAAGCCCATTTTCTGATAACTTTCGTCAAGAGTGCATTTACTGATGATGGCATGGCATTTGGTCATTTTTTGGTCAAATGTTTTTGGTTAATTTTCAGGGACAGACAGACAGACAGACAGACAGACCCACCGACCGACCGACCCCAATGTGACATGTAGAAGCTCCTGCCAGAGCTTAAAAAAATTGACTCTGTACAATAAGTACAGACAGTATATCTTCAACCTACCCTCTCTGGCTGGCAAATTCAACAAAGCCTTTCCAACAGTCAAAATCAATAAAGTACCTTTTTTTGATGGTTTTTAAAGAGCTTCTTTTTTTTTAAAACAAAGCACAACTGACTGGCTGTGACTGTTCACGTAACTTGATACAGCTGTGGAGAATTGACAAGCCAGCTGTAACCTATGAGTTTACTGCTTTTGTCTGTTGATGGAATTTGAATAGTCACAATGTTTACGGGAAATCTGATCTGACTGTTGGTGACTAGCTTGTTGATGATCTGACTGCTGGTCTCTAGGCAGGGGAACAGGATTGATTTTTTGACTGTCTGTGACTGTTCAGGCAGCAGGAGGGTTCAAATATTTTGCATGAACATGTACAAACCTTGGCGGATCCCAGGTACAGGTGCATTCTGTAGTTAGCGCGATCCATCAACTGGAGATCAAAGTTACTCATCCTGTTGATCTCCAGCTGGAAGGCCAAGGCTGGCTCCAAGTGACGATAGATCCGATCCTCTTGGAACTACGGAAGTAAGCAATAGTAAAGAAAGCAAAATCAATTTTCCTCTATTTAGTTTCCACCAAAGGGGAAAAAAATAACAGCAACTTTCAAGAATGTATTAGAATCTTGAGTATTTCATCACTGGTTCGGGATGGCATTCATTCCCGCTGAACCAAAAGCACCGGCAGCAACTGGAATCGACCCAAGTAGATTTTGGTTTCTGACACAGAATTTGTATTGCGGTTGATCTCCAGATGACTAGTGCATCCCAACTTTTTCTTATTAAGTCAAACCTTAAAAAAATGCATTCCCTGTGCTATGTTTGAGTTTCACCTCGCTGATTACTATATTCTGTAAAAGTTATGCACTTCTGAATGAGACATCAAACGTAGTAGACATCAAATGTTATAGACATATCAAATATTACAAATATTAATATATCTGAAAGATGGAAAAAAATCAACCCCATTCACTTTTTTGCATGTTTCTCCACTATGGCCTGTGCCAAGTTCTGTCTCATTTTGCCAGAACGTCTCACAAAATTAACACAAAATCTTTGAAAGGAATCCACAAATTAAACAGCCCAAAATCATAGCAAAACACAACAGTGACGCCTAACTTCAGATAACATTTAAGGCTTAAGTTTTGCATTGCCAGATATAAAGAAATATATGCAAACTTACATCCTGTCGAGCTCTGAAGGTGAAGTACTTGGGGAAGTCCTTCCTACTCCAGAACAGAATGGTGATTCTGCGGATGTCTCTGCTCAGCAACTGCTGTTTCTGTTGACAGGAAGTGTTTAATGCTTATAATTTGTTGGGTTAGGTTATTGTAAAATTAAACAAGGAAATTGAATGGAGCAGGGTTTGAGCCTGCGATCTCTGGATTTCCATTCTGGTGCTCTACCAACTGAGCTATCAAGCCCCTATGTTGGCCGTTCCCCAGTTTATGTTTCTTGGTTCAAGGGTGCTAGTCTGAAGCCCTTGACTTTTGTCACTTAACAAAAACATTGACAAACTGGAGAACTGCCAACATAGGGCTGGATAGCTCAGTTGGTAGAGCACCGGTACAGTATTCTGGAGGTCGCAGGTTCATACAATTTGTTTTTTTTCCAACTTTCACTCCGGAGGTAACACACTGAGTATACAGTGTATATACATGTACGTCGGTGAAGGGCAAAACCTAAATTTGATTTACATCAGCCCAACGCCAAAATTCCATCTTATGAATAGTTACAATTTCTTTGTTCAATGTATTAATAATATATATGCACCTAATTATTTTCCCTTTGTGTTTTATCTGACCTGACATTTATGTCATGTGCTATTAAATTAAATTAATATTTAATGTACAATACATTGGCAAACTTTCAAAAAGTTTTGTTCTGTTTTTTGTTTGTTAAAAAGTCTGGTAAAACTTTCCTAGCATATTGAATTAAAAAGAAACAAGCATTAAGCTCTGGTTAATTTTGGATAGCTGCAAATGATGGACTGTAGATTTAAAAATGGTGTATGCCTTTTTAAAGCAGAAAATAATAAGACAGATGATTGAAATTTCACACTCTGAATGGTCGCATTCTATACAGTTTCCAAATACTTTGAGTAAAATTTCACATAGGATGCCCATTTGAGTGTATTTTTTCTAATATCCTATCATTTAATATCCTGTGGTTCTAGAGGACGCCCTAAAAAGTAAAAAGAGGTTTGCAAAAACCAAAACAAATTCCACTGAAATATTAAACAAGAAATGTTTACCTTCTCTTGGCAGAAACCCCGGAACATATCCACAAGTTCGTTGTCGGTTTTCGTGTTCTTCTCAAGATGAATGGCAATGTTGACGATGTGGATAGGTTCTCCAGGTGGACATACCTGGAAGCAATGGAATATTTATCCAAATATTAGAACAGTAAACATAATTTAACTAGCTGCGTCTTAATTTTATTATTTCAAGGAATCTGAAGAATGGACTTACGTTCTCCTTGTGATCCGACTCGCTGAAACTTGAGAACTTGAAGCGCACGTCAGCAAACTGATCAATCACATCATCAAAGTAACTAGAAACAAACAATAACCCACAAAAGTAACTATAGCTGAAGTTTCTTTGTAGTTAATTTTCTCTGTGATCATGTGAAGATGGGATGGACCTGTCAGTTGATCATTACTAGATCAGTCACCTCATCAATTTATTAAATAGGCCTAATCAATTTATTACATTTCTGTATGGTCAGTCATCGGTCAATCAGTCACTTTATCAATTAATATCATCAGTACAGATGATACCTATGGACAAACCTTTCTCTTCAGGCTCATATACATTGCAAGTCGTCACTAAATAAATCAATTTATCAGTTCGATGCATAAATCAAGTATCCTTGAGCTTCTTCATTCCTAAAGAAACAAGACAGCACGAACGATCCTCATGTATTACAGGAAAGGTGAGATCCTCGTTGTAGCTGGTCTGTCATGCATGGTCAAGTACGTAGTCGACTGATAATTCAATTGATCATTCAATTAATCAATTGATCACAATCAATCAATCGACTAGATCAATCAATCAATTGACTAACTGATCAATCAATCAATTGAATTATTGATCAATCAATCAACTGACTTATTGATTAATCGATTAATTAACTTATTGATCAATCAACAATTGACTAAATGATATATCAATCAATTGAATAACTGATCAATCAATTGATCAATCAATCAATTGATCAATCTATCAATCAATCAACTTATCAACAAATTAGTCAACAAATTCATCAATCCATTGATCAACTGATGGATCGATCAATCGATTTACCAATCATTCAGTCGACCAATAAATTAACCATCTCACTGACCTCTTGAATTCTTCCATGGATGAGAAGGCACAGATGATACCCATGCGCTGACATGGGGGCACCATGGCCCCTATCTGTTCCTCACCAAAGCTGGCTGACCGTGCCTGAACAGACATATCTGGTAAGATCCTGAAATATCAACAAACGAAATCATCAATCTGAAAGTATCGATTTGAAACATCAAGTCAAGGTCCTTTCATGTTTGTTTCATGTAACTTGATAACTAAAAGCTTTGTACAAGTAAGATTAGAGAAAGAAAGCCACTCTAAATAATACTTTTTCTTAAAAGTGCATTTTAAAGTACTGTAGAATTGAACCTGCGACCTTCGGATCATCGTACCAGCACTCTACCAGCTGAGCTATCCAGCCATATACAGCGTGTGTCAATAAAAATGTAGCAGTCAATCCATTAATATTAAAAATACTAGCACTCTCTTTCTGCAAAACTAATCTTTAGAGTCTGACAGTGTTGTAAATACTCTACACAATGGTCTTTATCCCATCACATTTGGACACTCCAGTCCAGAGATACATTTCATTAAATGAAAGGACTTGAATTCCAAGTTGGGCCACTTTTCAGATATCTGGTATCTAATGAAAGGCATTCACATACCAAGAAGGTGTGTGCATGCCTTTCATAAGATACCACATAATCTGAAAATTGGCCCGAACAGATTTTCACAAACAGTCTTCTCAAGCTTTGCCATGGCTTTTAAACAAAAAGGTCTAAATCACACAGGACAAAAATCATGTGAAGGGTAAAGAAACACTATAGCATCTCAAGGTAAACTTAAAAAAAAAAAAAAATAATAATAATTTCATTTCGTAAGAAATAAGTGTTGTTCGACTGCTACATTTTATTAAGACACCCTATATTAGCAGACTCCAAAATATGTCAATACCTTTGACCGAGGGTGCTTTAAAAAACACTGTATTTTAAGACAACTGAGCAAGTTGCACCTGTGAAGTAACATGTTGTGTTTACAAACAAAAACAAAGATTTAAACAACAAATTTAAATGCTTTAAGGACAATGTTAAGAGTTAACACTAAACTGCCAGACATTAACAGAGGAAAATGATATCTGAGATAACAGAATTAGTTGTAGTAAGAAAGATGTTTCCTTCATTGTTTTTAAATCTTTCATTTAATTCCCAAATAAAATGTAAATTCAATTTACAGGAAACTTGAAATTTGTGTTTAAAAAAAAAAACCAAAACACAAAAACAGCTAGTGCATGTATTAATATCTTCTGTACTGAACATGCAGGAATGTTATTGTGATATTATTGTCATATCTGTACTGATTCTTGCAAGCTTCATGAAATGATGGCTAAATGTACTACAAATCAACAAATAATATGGAGTTCAAGCAAAGTGGAATGTAACGCAAGCAAGCACAAGCATGCAATAAAATACATACATGTATAAAACGTCCAAGGGAATACAATACAAAACACCAGAGCACAGGCCAGGTATGAACAAATCACAAAGACAGAAATGAAAGTAAGAAAAAACCTCAATACATTGAAAAGAACTAACAAAAGATCACGCAAGGCATGCACTATATCTTGAAAACTGGCTACGGTTAGGTTCTTGCCATTGGCGTGTAACTGTATTATATCAGTTTCTTGTGAGAGTATGTCTCACAGTTATGCAACCATAAATATTATCTTTAAGCAAACTTGAATCCTTGGTCGTGATTGGTCGATTCATGGCAACAACAGTGGGATATTATACCTACATGTAATACCATGTTCCGTGTTGCATTCCTGGTATTGCGCTATTCTAAGATATGCGTTCGCTATTCCTGCTGCATGCACGTGTATTGGATAGCGCAACCGTTAAACAGTTTCTACAGCGTGCGCGTTGCGTCAATTTTGTGCGTCAAGTTTGCTTGAAGATAAAGCTGCTATCCCACCCACGCTTGCTGAACACGGAAAATATGGTGTGTCTGTGTTCCATATGCCACGAGGCCGAACATATGGGGCACAGACGCACTGCATAATTCCATGTTCAACAAGCGCGAGTGGGATAACTATTTAATACTCCAACCGTGTGTACACAACAAAATTGAGAATTTTTAACATAAAATCATCAGAATCAAGAATCCACTTGTCTTTGTGTAAAAAAAATCATAGAGGGCATCCACAAAACTTAAGAAAAAAAATCTTTTCCGAAGTAAAAATTCTAATCTTCAGCATTTCTTTGAGATTTTATCCTTCAACTTGTGTCGAATCTTGGTGTTCATGTTATGCCCCAAACTGTAGCAATGACCCCAACTACATGTATAGCTGGGGTAGTCCATTACAGTCCTAACATAGATAGTCCCAACCCTAGTTGAGACAATTAAATCTTTAGTTGGGCTTGTCCAAACTATAGCGGGGTTGATGCCACAATTGGCGCGTAACAAACACGTGTACCGTAATTTTCGGAATATAAGCCGCGCGGCGTATAAGCCGCAGCATGCAAAAATCTGCAAATTAAGATTTGAAGTCGGCGTATAAGCCGCACCGGCGTATAAGCCGCACCAACCGCAGCGGTTCAATTTTGTAAGGCCTCCAAATTCTAGTCAAAATGCTCTGAACCAGTTCCATTTACACTACGAAAGCTATAAAAGGGCCACAAAAGTTATGTCAAATCATTTACAGTCGATTACTCTTACAAACAAATATGGAAATTGATGATGAGAAATAAAAAACGGGAATTGCTGCCGGCTGGCTCATCAGTGAGCCTGTGCCGGGGAATGACATTATTTTCCCCCAGCACTTGAGAGAGTATGCAACCCACCATGTGTTTTCTGACTGGAGCGCTACAAATCCTGCTTTGTGGCAACAAACGCTGAGTTGTTTTGTCCTAAAGGATAAACAAGTCCGTTTTTACAGCAAAACTTATCAAATTGTTGTGATACTAACGAGTAGTAACATCAAAAATTCAAGTTTGGATCGTAACTTTCTTCGAAAACAGTCAACACGATGCTGAGATTTTTATGGACGAATCCATTAATTTTGTAAGGGGTGATTTCACCCCTGTTTTGAGTTTTACATCGTTTCTTGAATACATTTCAAGAAAAAAAATTATATTGTGACGTTGAACAACTGATTATCAAATAAAGATATGTTTCAAACTCCCTAAAAAGTATTAGTTGTCTTTTTTCTTTTTTTAAACAGGGGAAATATTGGTAATTATTGTTCCCAAAAAAGTACACCCCTTTATTACCACAAATGGTGTGGTCCATGGGAAATCCATGCAGCATGCATGCAGCATATGCAGCATCATGTACGGCCGGTTGTCGATGTCCAAGGGACAGCTTTCACTAGCCGTACTTTTTACCGCTCGTTACCTTTTTGTGGGACGTGCTTTCGGTTTGTTAATGACTTTCTTAATTGATAATTATTTCAGCAACACATCTCTTCTTGTACCAGTACATTTAAATACACATGTAAATGTCATTTTTATTCTTCAAGTCTCGGCGTATAAGCCGCCCTGTGTATAAGCCGCAGTAAACATTTTCATGGGCAAATTCAACGTATAAGCCGCGGCTTATATTCCGAAAATTACGGTAGTTTGAAATATTGTAAATGAGCATGTGACTAAGCAGAGTGTGTTAGCTTATCTGACAACTAAGCTGTTACAAGGCAAATGACTACATCACTGACATCATGCAATTAAATAAAATCAGCAATTCATTACCTGGTCCTCGGGAAAGTCATGGTACTGAGAAAAATCAATCAAGAAATTTGACGGGAAAAGGAATGAAAAGACACAAATTGTGAGGAGGCAATTCATACGACACACAAATGGGTTAATGTGCCAAATCAGACTTCTTGCAAAACTTGATTGTGAGAGAGAGAGAAAATGTGATGGATATCAAAATGACAAATAGACTGAATGCCAAAAAAAGACCATCGAAAGATTTCTGAAGCGCTGATCTAAAGAGATGCAGGAATGTGCAATATAATAAATCCACGGAAAGGAGTTTTTATTGACAGCTACCGGTAGCTGATTGCGCCGCCATGAATTTAGCATCATTATGTTGATGGTTGCTCTAAAATAGGTGCATAGGAAAAGTGGGGGCAAATAGTATACAAATATTGACTGCTTCGATTGGTATAGAAAAACTAACCTCCCAAGGCGATCCATTGAACATTTTGTTCTGCCACTGCTACATCTTGGGAAAATATAATGCGCCATAGATCAGCTCAGGGGGATAGTTAAACTATTCCATGAGGATAGTTTTACTATTCCATGAGGATAGTTTTACTATTCCATGAGGATGATTTAACTATTCCATGAGGATGGTTTTACTCTTCCATGAGGATAGTTTTACTATTCCATGAGGACAGTTTTACTATTCCATGAGGATAGTTTTACTATTCCATGAGGATGGTTTTACTATTCCATGAGGATGGTTTTAATCTTCCATGAGGATGGTTTTACTATTCCATGAGGATAGTTTTACTATTACGGTACATGAAGATAGTTTTACTATTCCATGAGAATGGTTTTACTATTCCATAATTTAAAGCAGTCGATATTTACTATATTGCACCTCACCCACAGATTCCACAGAGTTTCGCAGATATCTGACTAATCAAACGTCAACTTTTTCACTGCAAACCTACTTTTATTTCAATCTGAATTAACTGAAACGTACCTGTACATGAAAATTATCAGAACTTTTTGTTATATTCATTAAGGCCGGCTCATTATTCACCCAAATTCATTTTCTAAGCAAATTTGACGTCATAAAAAAATCGCAGCAAAATTTGCGAGAAGTTAAAATGTGTTCAACTTTTGCAAAATTGCAGGGCGCATAGTTAATATTAAATCACAAATTCGCATTAGTGTCCGCATCGAGCATGAAAAGGCCCTTATTAGCCAGAAAGCAGCCCGATTCATTTGCACATGGAACCTGATGAATTATGATATCAACATCCATACAGCAGTCCAAACAAGTCAAATGAAGTAATATATCTGAATTATGCTCTACTACTATTTTCAATCTTCGTCAATTCACAAATGACATTTAAAATCCATCTACAAGCTTCACAGCAAAGATGAGATTTTACGAGATTATTAACCCCCTAGCATGCTGATTATTAGTTCACAATCACATGACGGCCATACCTGTTTGGATGGGAGGACGGAAGCATGAACTGGAATTCTAACACACATAGGGAGTTCTTGAGTACAGAGTGGTGCAGGCAGTTCAGCTCATAGGCAATGTAAGCTCTCCTCACGTACACCTTTGCATGATAAAATCAAAAAAAATCTTGAATATTCAGTTTTACACTCTTTTGACAAAAACAGTGCCACCCATGTAAGGATGTGACCCTTATCCGTTTATATGAAAAAAAATCTAAATCTGATTACGATTTTTCCAAAATGTTTAAACGAAATCCCGAATTATAAAAAAGGGACCTACATGTACGTTCACGTGATCTTCCTTCGCGGGGTACACATACTTAAGTATAAGATATCATTCTGATGAACATGTACAAAAAAGCTCAAATAGTTGTGTACATGTAGCTACTATTCAGTCTTATCTTCATGTGAACATGAGCAGTTAGAAAACCAGCTAGCTTGTTATTTTGTTACAGATTACCTCCAAGGCAGCTCTTCGGACAACCGGGTTGCTATGGAAGAAAAAGCTTGGCAACACATCAAAGATGGTGGTTTCTGACATGATCAGTTTCTGCAAAAAAAAAGAAAAAAAAGTAAAGAATACATCAGAAGGTCACAGTGAGATTTGGGCTGGAATCGATATTTTTACCTAGTTCTGGATGTTGACTCAAATATCAGTATTCACACGATAAACATATAGAATAGTTATTTGTGAGGCATTCTTGCAAAATGAGACAGAACTGGGCAGAGGTTGAAATGAGGGTTTGCAGGTATTAGGAAAGCGAGCAAATAAAATTCTCCTCACAATACTGTTTGTTGCACTTCAGTTGGACATTTCATTGACAAGTTATATTCTATACTATATCTTTAACATATGTTTAGTGGACATATAAAAGATTACAAATATCAATAAATCTGAAAATTGAAAAAATCACCACCATTCAATTTTTTGCATGATTCTCCACTGCAGCTTGTGCCCAGTTCCGTCTGATTCTGCCACAACACCTCACATTTGACCTTTTTGTATCTGATTATCAAAACAATTGAGGCAAAAGTAGAGGTTTCAAAAGATCTCAGAAAAGATCTCTCTAACATCGCTGCTAACTTCACCCACCTTGAGACTATCAGGGCAGTACTGATGACCATACATGTCGATAGCGGACAGGAAGATACTCTCCACCTGGTTGTGTCTGAGCTCATAGGAGGGTTGATGGGCCGCTATCAGCACCTGCCGAGCCCGCAGTGCCACTTTGGAGTGGTCCTGCTTGCTGAGTGTGGTCAGCTCACCTAGAATCTCCGACAGTTCTTCCGTTAGGCCGGTCTCACGATTGCTGACACGCTCCTAGAACAAGAGAATACCATCATCACTAGTTTCTTTGATGGAATTTCTGCATAGGGGAGAACTTGGGTTTAGCATCTGACGTAATGTCGGAGTGGCCAAGTAATATGGACGTACCCTTACATTGAAGGCAATTAGGATCATTTACATTTACTCTAACAGTAACCTACCCTTATTTTTATCAAAATGCCTACTTGGAGTTAAGATTTTACTGGTACTGTGAAATTATTCCATCTGGCTGGCTGTCATTTAAAAGAAATCAAGAAGTGTAGGTGTTTTCCAACGATCACTCAAATGACTGATTTTTGGAATGGAGGGTCATAATGACGCAATCATATTTCATAATCAAAAGAATGTACATGCTTTTTCACTGTTTTCGCAACAAGTGTAGAATCCACTGAGCTGAAACTTCAACAGGCTAGGTTCTGAATGTTCTTCTTATTATTGAAAAACAACATGCATAAAACATGTAAAAAGCAAATGATCATATTTGCCTTTAATGTTTATCTTTCTTTAGAATTAGTTTAACCCTCCAATGAAAACATTCATTCTGAGCCATGTTATTACTTGGGTCAATGTTGGTCAAGACCCCCATTGGTTTGTTAACAGTACTCCAGGGGGTGAGGAAGGACATTTTTACCGTTTGTGACCTCTTAAATAGCAGGAGGGTTTAAGACACAAAAACAGCTCTTACAATGATTTGGACAACCAGCTGATTCTTCTTGGCAACCTGAGCGTGAGAGAAGATGCTCCAGACTACGTTAGACATCTCGGTCTTAAACTCGTCGCGGAGGCTCATCACGCACTTGTCGTAGGGCCCCTGCTGGAACTTGGTCTCCACACGTAGGTAAATCCGCAGGAGATCCTGAATGACCGACTTCATGTGGCCACGAATGCCATTCCGATACCTGAAATCAAAACCATCATATCCTCGGTCAAGTGGCCTTTTTCCAAGTGTCCATTTTTGTGGTCCACTGTTGCAACTCTTTTACAACAGAATTAAAGGTAATTTACAACATTAAGAAATCACCCAACCTTTTGCTGAGGGTGGGTTATTTCTTAATATTTTGGCAGTTTCTTTTTGAGTGTTAGTAAATGATCCTATCTGCCTTTAAAGGTAATATACAATATTTGCAAACATCAAACAGCAAAACTACCAAATTTTTATGAAATACCTCACTAGACTGTAAGCGAATAATAGTCTCAAGCATCCTATGAAATCATGGCACCAGTTGTGTTGACATTTTTAAGAAAAATGTAAGTTTTGTATCAATTTCCAAAGATGGTCGGCTGACCATCTCTGGAAAAACTATTACCTTTTATTCAAATACTGCCCCCACTTACTACTGCATATTACAGAGAGCAGACAAATGTCTTTATTCAAAGGTGTTGTGGGAAATATCTTCTGAGGATAGGTTTTGAGTTTTCAGTTGCCTACACTAACAACTCTTCGTACCTCTGTACAAGCTGTACGATGCCTTGTGTGTGCATAAAGAATGCATCTCTGTCAGATCGCTTCTGCAGTGTAGCTGCATGGCGGTCAACAACGTTGGCAATCTGGGGGAAAATGAAAAAAAAAATTGGAAATAAGTGATGGTTGGTGAACCCTATTAATGTATGCACAGATGTGGAAATTAATAGCGAAAGAAGGAAAATGACTTAGATAAGGCTGAGTTGGGTTGAGTTCGGTTTGGGTGGGTATGATTAGGCTGGGTTGGGTTCAGTTGGGTTGATATTGGTTGAGTTGAGTTGAGTTGGCTTGGATGTGTTGTGTTGACATGGTTGAGTTAGGTTGGATTGAGTTGGGTTATGTTAGGTTGGGTGTGGCTGATCTTCATTATGTTGTGTTGGGTTGGGTTGTGTTGAGTTGGGTTGGGTTCGGTTGGGTTGAGATGGATTTTGACTGAGTTGGGTTGAGTTGGGCAAGGTTGGGTTGGCCTGGGCTGGGTTGGGTTGGGTTGAGTTTGGTTTATTTGGGTTGGGATGATTACATTGGGTTAGGTTGTGTTGGGTTGTGTTGGGTTGGGTTGTGTTGGTTTGTGTTGGGTTGGGTTGAGTTGAGTTGAGTTGAGTTGAGTCGAGTTGGGTTAAGTTGTGTTGTGTTGTGTTGTGTTGTGTTGTGTTGTGTTGGGTTGGGCTGAGATGAGTTGCACTGGGTTGAGATGGATTTTGGGCGAGTTGGGTTGACTTTGGCTGGCTTGGGATGAGTTGAGTTGGGTAGGGTTTACATCATCTTGAGTGAGGGTAGCTCCGATCAGTGCTGGGCACTGCTTTCCATGGAGGCCCTCAATATGAGAAATATGAGACCCATTATGTAGCACCTTTAAGGGTTACAAGGGTTGGGTTGAGTTGGGTTGGGTTGAGCTGGGTTGGGCTGGGCTGGGTTGGGTTGGGTTGGGTTGGGTTGAGTTGAGTTGGGTTGAGTTGGGTTGGGTTGGGCTGGGCTGGGTTGGGTTGGGTTGGGTTGGGTTGGGTTGAGTTGAGTTGGGTTGAGTTGGGTTGGGTTGAGCTGGGTTGGGTTGGGCTGGGCTGGGTTGGGTTGGGTTGGGTTGGGTTGAGTTGAGTTGGGTTGGGTTGGGTTGAGTTGGGTTGGGTTGGGTTGGGTTGGGTTGAGTTGAGTTGGGTTGAGTTGGGTTGGGTTGAGCTGGGTTGGGTTGGGCTGGGCTGGGCTGGGTTGGGTTGGGTTGGGTTGAGTTGAGTTGGGTTGAGTTGGGTTGGGTTGAGCTGGGTTGGGTTGGGCTGGGCTGGGTTGGGTTGGGTTGGGTTGGGTTGGGTTGGGTTGGGTTGAGTTGAGCTGGGCTGGGCTGGGTTGGGTTGGGTTGGGTTGGGTTGAGTTGAGTTGGGTTGGGTTGGGTTGAGCTGGGTTGGGTTGGGCTGGGCTGGGTTGGGTTGGGTTGGGTTGGGTTGAGTTGGGTTGGGTTGGGTTGCGTTGAGCTGGGTTGGGTTTAGATAAATTAGATTTTGTGCTTTAGACTTAGGGTGTTGTTGAGATGGGGTTGAAGGAACAGTCAAGGGACGAGAGTCTGGATGAGGTTTAAGTTTCGGGCTTCAACTGGGTCAAATTTGAAATAGTGTTATTGATAAAAAACCTACTGTTGAAATATATATAACACTCCATTAAATTATCAACAACACTTTAAAACAAGAATCATTTAAAGTCTACATAATTCAAAATGTAAGGAAAACCAGTGAGTGGAAGTCAGAAATGAGGACAACGAAGTGAACATTGGAAAGATATCAAAAGAAAACTTGTATAAATATTTTTTTTATGTAATTCTGATCTCACCTGTTGGCTAGGGAACTGACACAAGACTGATGTGATGTTGCTGCCGTAAGCATTGAGCTGTTTCCTTATCTCTTTCTCCACGGCCGGAGGTAGGCGTCCAGAGACGGCCGCGATCATTTCCTTCATCTCCAGGAGAGGGAGGGCCGGGTCTCGAATCGCCGTTATCAGTTGGTTCACTGTTTCCGTCATCTGCAATGTAGTGTTGAATTTTGCATTTAACTTGCGTTTAATTTGGTATGCTTTTAGCAAATATTTTTAATTACCATATAAACGTTTAAGTGTGCGTTTATGAGAAGACCATGCAAAATCCTGAAAAATCGACAAGGTGGGGGGTCAGCGAATTAAGTTCAAATCTTGGCCATTTGATCCCCACCTGAGACGATACCACTCGGTGGAGTAGCTCGATAAATAATCACACGGTGGCCGAGTACGGGGCACCAACAATTTTGAGCAAAAAGGGTGACTTCCGGGGAGTAAATTTGTGTTGTTTCTGGTGTAAAGTTATAGCCTCGTTTATACCCTTAAACTAAATCGTTTACTGTCGACCTACATATCAAAAGAAAGGGTTTAATCTCCTCTAAACGATGAAATATAAATCTTTGATATGCAAGCATTTACTGCGGAGATATAGGCGTAAGAAAAACACGTATCAGCTCTATTACGAAATGAAGTCCTTTACGCGGTAAACCATAACTTAATTAATGCAGGGCTGAGAGTCAACAAACTTGGAGGAAATATAGTTCAGATATCCGACTACGATAATAAAAAATAAAAAAACTGTCAGCTCTTCTTGTTTTTGTTTGCTCACGGTCAACAAAGTTGAAAAATTCCTAATTTTCAAGACCAAACCTACATAGCCCCCTAGACAGTTCCGAGTGCAATTGGTTGCCCTTAATTGACATTTTGCAGGAATTGTTGTAAGAGCATAACAAAATGTACATTTTGCAGACTTCACCTATTGGGTGGGTGGGTGAGTGGGCTACCTTTGGTGGTGCGCACTGATCCGGTAGGAGGGGAACGTCCTGTTGCCGCCCACCCAGTTAGCGCGCGGTATCGAAAGAGGGCGCCCTCGCATTACATTACCGTCAAAATGGCAGCCATGGACATGCCGTCTGTGCGGCTGCAATGTGATTTTATTAATTTTGAGTATAGCAAAGCCATCGAATGTGGTGTAAATCCCTCTTATCTGCGCGAACTAAATACAGTGCAACTTAATCGATGCACAAAAGACATACGGAGCCATTTGCAGAAGTGGAAAGTCGCTGCATATGATGTGAATGTCGAGTGGAAACTGATCCTCCTGCGATGTGGTTTGTTCGACGTCGATGCATACACTGATAAGACAATACGTCCAGCGCATAGATACAAGTTAGGGTTGAGTTGGACATCATCAAGGAAATGTTGTCATCCACTCCATAAAGGGAAAGGCAAACCATTCCGTGGTGTGAATAAAGCAACTAGCCGTGAGATCATAGATGTTTGATCGATGGGGTACCATGATCACTTTTGGAACAGGTAAGAAGACAGAAATCAAACAAAAATACATTTTTGAAAATTGAAATGAATTAATCATGGTCAAGGTCCATTTCTGATCAACTGACTTTGTTCCTGGGTAGGTTATATCAATTAAATCCAGTATCATGCAGTTGACTTGGGACCAGTGAAATTTTGTGTGAAATATTGTGTGAAATATTGTGTGAAAAATTAATACTGGTTGTCACAGCTCTGGACCACACACATGGTTTTCGGCAGTGGACACACATGGTGGATATTTAGCCGGAGCTGGATTTTGAATTATTTTTTTTTATATAAAGAAAGTTGGAACTGCACTGAACATGCGCAGTTTGGGGAATAAAACATTTTTTTTTTTTTGCACTTACATTGTTTTTTTTTACTTTTATTCACGAGATGTGACTCATCAGACCATTTACAACTTAAAGAACAATTTCAGATTTGTTTCCCCTTTTATACAAATCCTCCAGAGCCAGCCACATCAGAAAAAGAAAAAGTAATAAGTGCAATTAAATACAGGCAATATAAAATAATAAAAGAAGATTTCTTATTTTTTATTTATTTTTTTTTTTGGGGGGGAGAATTTATGACATGGGTTTTGTTCAAGGCATCTATTGCTCAATATTGTTGGCTACATACGCCCCGCTTTATATCTTTTACTTTAAAAAAATATTAAGCCTGCTGCGGCCTTAACACTTTGTTAATTCTCACTGTTCATATAACTTTCAGGTATCTGTAGAGGTTGTCTATCTTAGCACAAACAAGCAGTTACGCACCAGACAGCGGAACAATTACCATCTAGCGATGTGCTCTCTAAGGAACAAGAAGAGCAGCAGTGTACAATCAGTGATTTCACATCACCGGCTGGTGTACCATCTCTCCAACCCACCGACACAGAGTGCACTTCAGTTCATGAGGTAAAGAGAGTGAACTAAGAATGGACCTTGACATAGGCCTATTGCACCTCATTTATCACAGATGAATTGTAAGCACTCTTCTTTGAGTACATCAATTTGTATTTCAACCCTATATGTAGCATGCATCTCACTGTTTTTATTTTCTCATGATTATTTTTAGCATACATCTGAGTCCTCATCAACTGATGGAGAAATTACACAGGATGTAGGTGCACTTGACTCTTCTTGGGCTCCAACCCCCCGACCAAAGAATGTGGAGCTGCAATCCCTGAACACTTTCCTTACTCAGGGGGGAATGTCTGCTGTTGATGGGCAGCTTCATCTGTCATTAGAATAAGCATCTGAGACTGATAGCACCATCCATTATTATAGAAGGAAGGCAAAGGAAGCCTTTGGTTTAGTTCTTCATTGTTTAGCACCAGGTCAAGAAGATGGGCTCATGAAGATTACAATCGGTGAAACAACTGCTGAATCATCACAAAGTGGTCAAAATTTTGATATTAGTGCCCGTTTTCATTTTTTTTATTGCATCCTTTTTTACCAACATTTTTGCATTAGTGGTTCCATGTTCTCTTCCTTTACGTATTTTGTGTTTAAACAAAGGGTTATCATGGTTTGTTATTGGAAGACAGTGACTGTTCCTGTTTTTTAATGTTAATTTAAGAAGGAAAACAATTTTTTGATTTATATTCAATTGTTTTTTCGAGTTTGATCGTTAGGTTGTTCCATGTGTCATTCTATTTGATACTGTGTTGGTTCAGTTTTCTTCTTTCAACTTCCATTTAAGTTTAAAGTTCAATTTAGTTTTGTACAGTTGACTCTCGTTATAGCAAGGTCGGTGAGACTGCCCAAACTACCTCTTTAAACAGAAATGTTGCTTTAAAAGGACAGCGGAACGAAGAGACACAAAGAGAACTAGGGATTCGAGACCTCAGAATGTGCTCTATATAAGCAGCAGTAGAACATCTTTGTAAAAGTGTTCTTTATAACAAAAGTCGACTGTAGTACTACAATTTTACTTATTTGGTGGGGTGGATAACAGGTTTAAGGTTTGGATAAATTTAATTTGGATCCTTTTTGATTATTGGTTTTTTGAAAGTTTTTTTTCAAATTTTGGTTGGTAAAATAAATCATTTTTTTTTGGTCTTTCTAAAAATTTGTTTGTCATTGTTTCTATTTATTCAAATTCCTCTCTACTTGTTCCTACCCCATCTAGGTGTATCTCATTTTTGACAACGAGTACCCCAACATTTAGCGTTTTTCTCATTCAATTTATTATTTTCCAAGTTTATTAATTTTCCGGGTTACATTAACATGCCAAAAAATAACAGAATTGTCATCCAAGCCTCATCATTCCCACATTTGGTGCGCGATATGTGGCAGGGTGTAACCCCCCCCCCCCCACCCCCATTGTGTCTTCATTGTGTTCTGGTAATCTCAGGAATTCTTTAGATGAATATTGGGGGATACTTTTGTTAACAAAAAGACAAGTGTGTGTTGAGTATTGGAACATTTGTGGGGACTCCCTCTGCCACAAATCGGGCAGGGTATACATTCCATCCTGGACTCTGAAAGGTGGCGGCCATATTGATTTAAAGTGAACCCCCCTACCCTAAAAATGGGATAAATTAAGGAATTATAGCACCCCTTATGGCGTCTCCAGTATTAAAATATGTTTTAATTTTTTTGATCATGAAAAAAATATACACGTTTGCCAATTTTCATAACATTCAAGCAAAAAAGAAAAAAATTATGTGAAAAATACACTTTTTGACCAAAAAGGTGCCAAAAAAAGCCCTCTGTTAAAGATTTTTAAAAACATTTTTGACGTCATTATTTACAAATTGGAAATATAAAACTTGGTAGCAAATTTCATGAAAATTGGTTGTCGACTTTTGAAAATACAGAAAAGGGGGGGGGGGGGGGACTGTATGTCCCTCTCCCGTCCCTTTACTAGCGAAAAATAGGGGTAAAACAGACTCCTGCCAATTTATACTAAAAACTGCTGAAAATGTTTTTATTCTTGATACTTAAGGACCATGATAAGAACTCTCTTTCACCTGAGTGTCATTGTTCAAAGACCTGCACTAATGACGCTACGGCGACTTAAAGATTGCTATTTCTATGACTCAACTTTGGGGGTACCCTTAGTGCCGTTGCCTCCTAAGAGCAATTTTTTTCTAAATTTTGAGTACCTGGTTTTAGGTCAGGATACAACCTCAGCACCCTGCAAATTTCATTTCTCTGCTGCTTTCCCCTGTTGAGCAGCAAGCGTTTAAACGTTTGTACCCCAAAATCATAAAAATCTCCATTTTTCACTAATAAAAACACATTTTTGGCTCTTTTTTCTGCTACGGAGGTCAGATTGACCAAATATTTTGTACAACCTCAAGGCTACCTATGACCCACCTACCCCCCAAATTTTAACCAAATCCGCCGACCCCCACCTTGTCACGGTCTGCATGGTCCTCTCGTGGACATACTCTTAAACATTTAGCCATTTGACAAAGGCTGATGGCTGCCCATTATGTCCGCAGACTGGCTTGACTGACATTATAAAATCAACAATGATTGACAGAATAAATAACAGGCAGTCAATGAAAAAAAGTTAAAACTTAACTCTGTGTGCTATGTTTTAAACTCAAAGGAAGATTGCGTGAAGTTAAGTTCTTGCTTACGGATTTAGAACATTTCTTTGTGAAACGTGTAAATGTCACATCCTTAGAATGATGTAGTGGTGTGTGGCCGACCATCATTGGAAATTGATACAAAAAATTTGACTTTTCTTGAAAAAACACGCACACCAGGTGCCATGATTTCAGTCAAGTAAGGTATTTCATAATAATTTGGTAGTTTTGTTTTTTGATGTTTGCAAATAATATTGTATATTACCTTTAAAGGCATGAAGATCATTTGCAAACACTCAAAAGAAATCGCCAAAATATTAAGAAATAACCCACCCTCAGGAAAAGGGGAATTCTGTATCAGAATTAACTTGGTTAGGACCTAGCCATCGCTGAGAAAAGTTAGTTTCCTCAAATACTTAAATGGCCGCGAGCTAGCTGTTGACTTGGCGCATACGCTCAAGTATATAATTAACAATTGTTGACTGCTGTGATGTGGGATATGACGTTTTGAACAACCGAAGGGCGCATAGCACCTGAGGCGAACTCTGTCTTGGATTCTTTGGATTGTGATGTAAAAATCACAAAAACAAACGGCAGTTTACACAACAATTATGCCAATGGAACGTCAACTCACATGCATGTCGCGTGCTCGAAACAGCTGATCGTCTGCTAGTTCACTGCTCCCACTCATGTGGGAAAACATGGTAAAAATAGCAGGGGTACCAATGATACAAGCATTTCACACCGTGCGTACTGTACGTACAATGTCATAGCACGCTCCCTGTGGGATATCACGTACGTGATATCCCACAGGGAGTGTGCCATGACTTTTTACAAACTTAACACGTGATCTTTCTAGGCACCAATGAAAATAGAGTATTCAAGACAGAGGTATAAGAAACACGGATGTAGTATTTTTCCACGACGGAGCCGGCACTTGGGCACTCCCTGTGACCTATGGGTTCTATGCACGACAGATTCTGCGAGCTGCAGTTAAAAGGTTTGAAAATGAGCAGCATTTTTTGAGGGGGTGTATTTCCAGCACCAATGGAAACAAAACATGGAACAGCTCAGTGGAACAGTGTCTTCTAAATTGGTCCATTTCCAGAAATTACGACAAATGCAAAAACTGAACTCAGAGAGTAAACCGTGCGGTATATTACCTTCTTGGTGAAGTGAGGTTCATTCAGACAGAATCCGTTCATGATGTTCTCCAAGGCTTCCCTGGTTTTCTTAAACATCATATTGAGTTTCCAGCCGTGGGTCTCTGTCCCTTGAGTCTTGGTTGTGTTCGGTAGCTCGCCTTTGTACAGCTGAGCCTGGGCAGAGACAAGAAAATTCAAATCACAACATGTATCAGACAGGCATGCAACTGGGAAATCACCAAAAAAGAGGAAATTCACATTTTTCCCAGACTTTGTACAGTGTTTTTCTATTTTCAATGGCACACATGGGAAGTAAAAAAAGAGGAAATCAGCTGATCCGAGGAAAAGTTGCATGCCTGATCAGAAATTAGTAATAAGAAAACTGTCTTTAACCAGTTTGAGTCAGAGGAGGTGATACCATGCACTGGCTGTTTTTATACACAGGCACGGCTGACGGATTAAAACGTCAAGATTGCCTCACCCCGCCTCCAAGTGACGTCTAAACACGCTATTAATCCCTCGTGTCTTTTGTACACACACGCAAAGTCCATCTAGTCTGTGGGCGCGGACCATGTGTTGATCTTGAATTGGCCTATTGTTCTACAATTTACGCTCCAGTGCACACCTCTGAGTATTGAAACATATGAGGTTTTGGCAAGAAATATTGTACAAATACTGTTGAAATGACTCTTGTGAATCAGTAATTGTGGCGTTTGGCTGTTTATCAGAAATTGGCTGGAAAATTGTGCCTTTTTGCACAAATTGAAATTTTCGGCAAAAATAATCCCGGCGCAAAGAGGTGAATGATCTATGATGAATGGATGAATGAATAGTCTATGCTTCTATCAATGCAGAAATTAATGTAGTTACGCATCACTTTATATCTGGTCAAGTAGCCTCAGTAGATTCTGAAGTACGTTGTGACATACCTTCTGTACTCTCGTTGGGTCATCTAGGTCCAGCTTGGCTACTACACTGCCCTGGTCCAGCACAGCACCCGGCCGCTTCACAAAGTGAACACTGTTATCAATCATCACAAGATGGATGAACACAATTAGTACATTTCCAGTTTAACTTAAATGACAAAGAAAATAAATCCACACACCTCGACTCCATGGGCGCGTGCGCGTTCCTTACACTAACCCCTGGCCGTGATGATGATGTAAATGACGCTGATTGGCTATTCACAGCCAGGCGCGCCCATAATGCGCTCGCGTGCTTTGCACGTAATGTCACGTACGAAAAAAATTTGTTATTCAAAAGTCGCGATGCCCGTACAATATGGATTATGGCAGCCTCGTTTTTCGCTAAAAAACCCTGTATCTTCGGTTAAAGGGACGAAAGGGGTACGTACATTTAATACAAATCTTTGCTAGATAATGCAATGTCCAAACGTTATGTTTGAAAGGATTGATTCTTCAAAATCACAACTTTTAACATTTTAAAGATGGCGTCTCATACTCTTGCACCTGAAGAGTCACAGTTCAAGTCAGGTGATTTCAAGATGGTGGAAGAGGCAACCTTGCAATTTTTTTCCAGAGTTAATAGCTTTTTTTACATTAATTCTTGTTTCTGAAATTCATTTTTGCATTATTTATTGTCAAAATATGACACATTAGGAAAAATCTGGGAACTTAATTATTAGTTTCAAGTTAAAACCACGCTCTATTATCCGACAAATTACCATCCACTCTTGCAGTAGCTATTTTACACCTGGCTAACGACGACATTAACCAGTCAAGCGATGTATGCACATGCAACATTTCCGTCTCTCAAGAGTATCAAGAGTGAACCACGCGAGTGCATCCCTTGAGTCACTCCCAACCCTCATCCCTACAGTCATTCCACCATAGCTTCAAATCAGCATTACGCAAGACAAGTACCCACCATCCAGTCTCTGGCACTCTCAGGCTCATGACCATCTTCATGACTTCAATCTCGGCGTACGCCTGATCGGCGTAGACGTGTCCTCCGTCATCTATGAGGTACTGGAGCAGTTTACCGGCCGAGGAGGACCTCAGGATACTGGGATCGTTCTCCTTCTCAAAGACGCAGGTCTGGTTGCCGATGGTGATGCGGTAACTACGGTTAACAAAAGATGAGATGCTAGCGATATAACTTTCAATGGTGCTGCATCAAATGCAAAGCTTCTGCAAGCTTGAAAAGAACTTACAAAGATAGTTTAATGATATAGCTTTGCCTTACTTTCACTTCATGATAAGTGGGCAATTCCAGCGTTACGAAAGGAAGTGTAATGTCCGTGACAGAGCCAATTAACCACGATATCTAATTAATGATTCAGAGAAATGATCCAAAACTCCTAGTCTGTAATCTCCTTGACCATTACTAGATGATGGATGTGTAAGATTTGAAAAACACATTTTCAGGTTTATTCACTGATCTCTTAAAAAGTTGGAATCTTGAACACATTACTGACGACGCATGACGCTCACGCCAAAACGTTATTGGTTTTTCACAGATTCAGAATGAAATTATTTGCGTGTACTTTGCACAATATGGGGACAAACCAGTACCTGCTCTCAAAAGTGGTCAATTAGCGCCATGTGCCGTTCATGCACTGCGTCCATAATAGAGCGTGTAAGTTGATCTTAAAAAAAACTGCGTGATTTTACGAGAAAGCGACACATCCAGGCACCATGCATTGGATCTACAACAATTGTAACGTCCTATTTTTGCATGTATTTTGTGTCTCGACTGAGCCCATCCAATCAAGGACAATAAATAGGTACTTCAAAAGAAAAGAAATCATTATAGTTTACAACATATTGAAAATATTGCAAATTGGTGACTTTCATCAATTTAAAAACGTTGACCTCAACTTCAATTCAATTGATCACGCAGATAACAAGTGGGTAAAATTCAAACATGGGGCCTGTGACTACACTAGTCAGTGTTTTGTACCAAGACGTTCACATAAAAAGTAAACATCGACTAGGGAGACTTGCACGCTCTATAGCACTGACTGACCTATCGATCTGCTCCTTGAAGTATGACGTGTAGCTGCTCCCCTCAAATGAGACGAGTAAACCGCCGTCTGACATCCGATGGACGTCGACCTCCAGGGTGGAGCCGTTCAGGCACAGGAAGTAGCTGCTGGGACCTTGCCTGGTCACATTGATGAGGTACTTGTAGCCCTCGTAGATCATCTCCACTTCTCGGGTGTTGCTCAGCATGTTGGCTGGCAGGACCTGGCCTCTGTGAACAAAAATCAATTGAAGGTAAACAATTTCCATCAGAAGAAGTAACACATGATTTTTGCTTTGCGTTTACTCTTCTTCTAACTTTCTGAATTATGTATTTTCTTATGTGATTTACTTGAAACTTCACAACCCTTCCAGTTTTGCAAAACCACTTTTGCCCATAGAGTTTGCAGCCACACTGTGAAGTAATCTTCAGTGGAGCATGGATAACACTTCAAATCCCTTTACAAATCTTTTGTGTGGTTAATTAGGTCACAGCAAACAGGCAGATTCAGTCATGCTTCACTGTTTCAGTGCTGTTTTTTTTTTTGAGCAGTGACTCTGGGTGACGCAGTTACTTAAATACTTCATATCCCTTCACCTGATACTGACTTTCAGTGTTTCATATAGGTTTTACATATTGCTTTGAATATTTTGACTTCCCACTAGGAGGGTAAATGCAATTCTCTTATGATTGCTATACTAAGGAAATAAATATGTGTGCTTGGCCGGTTTTACGCAGTTTAAAACTGGATAGTACGTTTAAAACCGGACGAGGATAATGGACCAAGCCGAAGATGAGGGCCATCATCGGCGACCAGGCCACTAGCTGGTTTCCAACGTACTTGTTGAATTCCGGCCAAGCACATTTTTATTCACATTCATAAATACCTTTCGGTCAAAAAGTCACAACAAGTCAATAATTTACAATTTCCAAAGAGTTGTTCAACAATTTTTCCACACGTTTTGTGAAACAACCCCTAGCAAACTAGCTCACGAAATGGTCTCTGCGCTCATTCTCTGCAGGAACATGTATCTATCACTAGGATGATTCAAAGTTCACAAATGTGGTTGATTAAGGCCAACGGACGAAAAAGCAGCATTACCTCTCAAGAGATGTCTGATAGTTGGTGAAGTTTTCACTAATGGAGCTATCAGCAATGTGCAGAGAGGCACAAATAACTCCCAGGATGGTGTTGGGCTTCTCAACCTAAAAATACAGACATCAAAAAGGAATTGTGTCCAAACCTTAAAAGAAAGTGGTTGCAAATAAATGTTGCAGAGGAACAACACATCTAAAGACTCAATTACGTACCATAAGTATTTCCTGCAAAACATGTATAGGCAGGCTGGGCAAGATCACTGATTGATCCATGCGCATGTGTTAAAATTCAATTCATAAAAATTTAACATTAACCCTCCTACTATTTAAGAGGTCACCAACGGTCAAAATGATTGTATCTCACCTCCTGGCATACTGTGTACAAACCAATGGGGGTCTTGACCAATATTGACCCAAGTAATAACCAGGCTGACAATGCATGTTTCCATATGGCATACCGGTACAGAAACATTTGCTATTCATGCATTTTGTTCATTACCAACAATAGCACCAAAAAAAAAAAAACGATCCAAAGAAGAGTGCTCAAAACCTGACCTGTTGAAGTTTCAGCTCAGTGGATATTACACTTTACGAAAAAACAGTGAAAAACCACACACAACCTTTTGATCATGAAACACGATTTCATTCGAATTCATAGCACTCTTTTTCCAAAACTCAGTCAATTGACTGATTGTTGGAAATCACCTACATTTCTTGATTTCTTTCTAAATGACAGCAAGCCAGACAGAACAAGTTCACAGGGTGTTTAGTACCACTACGCTCTTTAATCCAAGTATAAAGCTTGTAACTTATTCAGTAGGTTACTTTTGGGATAACTGCAAATGATCATATATGCCATTAAAGCATAAATTAAAACCTACTTTCTAGACTGGTTCCAGCCACCATAATCATTATTAATCAAAGTGATAAATGATTTACAGGGAACCAGTCTACCTAACTCTCCTGGTATACATATTATATAAAGATAACTAGCATGCAAAAACCAGAAAGTGCAAGTGTCATCCCCACGAGAAATTGTTGCCATGTGATTCAGCGCCCTCTCTTGTTCATATACACAGAGTCCACCAGGCACAGTAAATTCATCGACAGGAAACCTACCTGGACTTTTTCCCGAATGAGAACATCCAGCCAGGCCGTGTCAAACTCATTATGCTGGAAGGCAGTGGTCTCCAGCAACATGACCAAATACTCGATGGTCGTCCTGAAATCACCGCGGATCGATAACTCCTTCAACGCCACCACCATGTTCCTGATTAATATAAACAAGAAAGGAACTAGACGTTTGTGGACAAACACATGGCTGTTTCGGCAATTTGTTGTTGTATTTTTATGTCGTCTTATAGACTGAACGGACAGAGATGTGCAGTAGAAAGTTACATAGTGATCAGTGCCAATAGTTCGGTAGCTATTGGCTAATAAAAAAGCACCTTTAATGTGACGTTGCATTTCATGTGATGACGTCATCATGACATCACTTCAGTTTTCATTTATAACACATCCCAGCTTAGGTGCATACTAAGTTACAACTGGATCAGACCTATAGTTCTGCAGATATAGGCCATAGAAAAATGTAAATTCAATGTGACATCACATGATGTGTGGTAAAAATGACTCAAAGACTCAGACTCGGACTCAACCCTAGTCTAGGGCTAGACGTTGTTATGGTTTGATACGCCAAAACCTGCGGCCGCGATAATAATAATAACAAGTCAGGTGTGTTTACAAACACAAATGCCCCGCAACGGTGACAGTTCCCATGACATAACACCACTCTTTTAACATCAACTTACATGTACCTTGGTCACATGGAACATTCATTGACAGCGTTAGTGTCTTCTGTAGGTTTTATATGAATTAATCCCTAATCCCTATAATCTCAGAATAAATACATGATTTCTATTGTTTTAGCCACTGTGAACTTGACCCTTGACCTTTTGGCCCCAAATTCAATAGGCTTCTTAGGATTACCAAGAACAATCCACAAACCAAATTTGAAGTTCATATGTTAAGTATTTCTCAAGTTATCGCGCTGACAAGATTTCTATTGTTTTAGCCACTGTGAACTTGACCCTTGACCTTTTGGCCCCAAATGCAATAGGCTTCTTAGGATTGCCAAGAACAATCCACAAACCAAATTTGAAGTTCACATGTAAAGTATTTCTCAAGTTATCGCGCTGACAAGATTTCTATTGTTTTAGCCACTGTGAACTTGACCTTAGGCCTTTTGGCCCCAAATGCAAAAGGCTTCTTAGGATTGCCAAAAACAATCCACAAACCAAATTTGAAGTTCACATGTAAAGTATTTCTCAAGTTATCGCGCTGACAAGATTTCTATTGTTTTAGCCACTGTGAACTTGACCTTTGGCCTTTTGGCCCCAAATGCAAAAGGCTTCTTAGGATTACCAAGAACAATCCACAAACCAAATTTGAAGTTCATATGTTAATTATTTCTCAAGTTATGGCGCTGACAAGATTTCTATTGTTTTAGCCACTGTGAACTTGACCTTTGGCCTTTAGGCCCCAAATGCAAAAGGCTTCTTAGGATTACCAAGAACAATCCACAAACCAAATTTGAAGTTCATATGTTAAGTATTTCTCCAGTTATCGCGCTGACAAGATTTCTATTGTTTTAGCCACTGTGAACTTGACCTTTGGCCTTTTGGCCCCAAATGCAAAAGGCTTCTAAGGATTACCAAGAACAATCCACAAACCAAATTTGAAGTTCATATGTTAAGTATTTCTCAAGTTATCGCGCTGACAAGATTTGTCCGGACACACACACCCACCCACCCACCCACACACCCATACTTGTTTCACATGACTAGTGTGGACTTTCCATTGCTTTCGTGTAGTTAAGAAAAACCAGTGAAAAAACTCATTTTTCTCAAACTGTGAAAACTCTTTCAACCCAATTTTTTTTCTATGATTCCCTTTAGTGTTTCTCTTCATTCTGCTACAGATAAACCTAACCCAAAAATGCCTCTAAACCTGTTTTCCAGAAATGGGGAAACACTGTGTGGACGTGGGGTAAGTCCACACAACGTCGGTGCTACCTACATTATGTGGACGTCTTTTGTTCGGAAGTCCACACTGCGTATGTAAGACAAACTCACCCACCCACACATATACCCACACACCCATACTTGTTTCACATGACTAGTGTGGACTTTCCATTGCTTTCGTGTAGTTAAGAAAAACCAGTGAAAAAACTCATTTTTCTCAAACTGTGAAAACTCTTTCAACCCAATTTTTTTTCTATGATTCCCTTTAGTGTTTCTCTTCATTCTGCTACAGATAAACCTAACCCAAAAATGCCTCTAAACCTGTTTTCCAGAAATGGGGAAACACTGTGTGGACGTGGGGTAAGTCCACACAACGTCGGTGCTACCTACATTATGTGGACGTCTTTTGTTCGGAAGTCCACACTGCGTATGTAAGACAAGCTCACCCACCCACACACCCACCCACACACCCACCCACGGAAGGACAAGGCGGAAACAGTATGCCCCTTCGGCTTCGCCGCGGGGCATAATAAAACGGAAATTTATACCGCGCCATTATCCGCCATAAATGACGCTCATGGCGCAAACAAAAATTATATCAAATCAGAAATAACAAAACAATTAAATTTAACTAAACAAGAATATTCTGAGTGGTCTGAAACAAATAGGTCTTTAGGGCAACTTTAAATTCAGAAAGCGATGAGATATTGCGAATGGCGAGGGGTAGTTTGTTCCAAAGATGAGGACCTGCGTAAGAAAATGATCGATCACCCCAAGATTTGTGCGTGTGAGGGACAACCAGCAAAGAAGCATCAGAAGATGCATCAGAATAGCTTAGCTATTAGTAGTCCCTGGACTTACTCTCTGGCAACTTCTCTCTCTTCGCCCCATGAGAAACAATGACCAAACTGAGAATCGGCAAACTCGTGCAGACCACCGGAGGCAGCCACGCTGAAATAGCCCCACACATTGGTGTTGCTCTGGAAGTTCAACTCTGTCACGGTACCAGAGCTGGGCTTGAAACCCTGCACAAGAAATTACATGTAAAACCAAATAAACAAAAAAACGATGAACGGGAGCTACCTGTTATTTTTGATCACACAAATCAAACGAAATGAGGCATTGCAACATGGAACATTCTAGAAATTTGGTGTCAATTCCAAAGTGTGATATTTTTCCAGTCCCTGTTACCCCTGACCTCTGTAATTTGCCATTCAAAAATCATTTTACAATGTCTTCAAAACGACTGTTTATTTGTTGAGTAGGTACGACTGCATTAACCTTCCTATGCAAACATAAATTCTGTGCCAGGTAGTCCTTTCAGTCAAAATCAAACAAGTGACTGTTTTCAACAGTTAAGAATTCCCAGCCTGCATAAAGCAGGATTGACTGGGTGGGACTTTTTAGTAACTTGATACAACTATGCTTCAACTCTGGGTGAGTGATAAAACAGCTGTGCCCATATCTTGCCTGCTTTGTCTATTCATGGTCTGTTGACTGAATTTGACTAGTCACAGTGCTGGCTTGACATACATGTATGATCTGACTGCTGGTGACTAGCCTTTGTTAAAAGTATAGCAGGGGAAGTGGAAGTAAATTTTGACTGTCTGTGATTGTTTAAATACCAGAAGGGTTAAGGAGCGCGTCAAAATTATAAAATCACAGATGTCGTCAGATGTGACAGGGACAGGAAAAAGTGAACCTCAAATTTATAGAATGGCTGCAAGCAAAAAGACAGGGTTTCACCTCATCTGGGTTCTCACTGGTGATTCTACAGGCGATGACGTGACCTTTGGGTTCAGGAAGGACCAATGGGCTGTTGGGAAGAAAACAAACATGAATATTCATTAGTTGAAGCTACAATGGACAAAATGATCTTTGGGTTCAGGGAGGAGCAATGAGATTAAGGATGGAACAAACATGAATATTCATAAGGTGATCCAACAGGGGATGGCATGACCTTTGGTTTCAGGACAAAATAATGAGCCAGTTCGGAATCTCGATGAAGTAGTCCATGTCAAAGGTCATTCGGGATAAAATGGCTGATGTGATGATGCGATGTTACGCGAACGCCCGTCCTGCTTGTAATTAACACGGGAGCGTCGTGCGTCCGTCTCCGTGTGCATTCATGTACTTTCGATGAGAGTTTGATTATCCCGAATGACCCGTGACCCACATCATTGTGCGCATGCGCAGTTGAAATACCAAACTGGCTTACTGACTCTTTGGAAGAACGATGAATATTCATTAGTTGATTTTACAGGCAATGACGTCACCTTTGGAAACAGAAAGGACCAATGGGCTGTAGAGAAGAAGCCAACATGAATATTCATGAGTTGATTCTACAGTTGATAACATGACCTTTGGGTTCAGGGAGGAACCGAGCTTAAGGGATGGAACAAACATGAATATTCATGACTTGATTCTACAAACACAACTGGGGGTTTGGATTTCAATGACTTACTTGTCAAAATCAATTGGTGTGTCTTCCCAGGGATTCTCTGAATACAGGACTCGGATGTCCTTGATTCTGTGTAATGGAATTCCCATTGCAACCTGTCAAATACAAATGAAAATATAAAACACATCAGGGGATTTAACACAAACATTAGGTAAGATCTGATAGTGCTTGAGGGTAAATTTGCACGGTGAAGTCAGTGAAAAGTGGAAGTTTACGTTGCCATCGTGCGTCAATAAATCTCTTTGTGAGTTACGTGTAGTTTTGAGAAGAATCGGTGTTGATGCAAAGTAAAATCCTCCTTGTCATTACCAATTGTTTTTTTTTTAATGATTTTTCTCTAGGATATCTTGAAACATGCGAAAGTAAAGACCACGGTAAATGAATTGATTAGTCCTGCTACCTTTGTTAACTTTCAGGGAAGCACTCCTTTTTATGGTTGTCAACTTAAATTTTGATCAAAACAAAGCTTTACACAAGGAGTTTATTTCCAAAGACACGATATATCCATTAAATGAAAGTGATACATTTGGACAGTTATGAAACTTTAAAGCATAAAAACAGTACATCTGTTTCTAAACTTCTTTGTCTCTTTATTGTACTGTTAACTAGTTCGCCCTGGGATTATTTTTGCCGAAAATTTCGATTTTTTAAGAAGGCAAAATATAGCAGCCAACTTCTGACATATAGCCAAACGCCACAGATACTGATTCGCAAGAGTCATTTCAACTCTATTTGTACGATATTTCTTGCCGAAACCTCATGTGTTTCAAAACTCCGGGGTGCTCAACGGAGCGTAAATTATAGAACTTGAACAATAGGCAGTGCACGGCGGCCAATTCAAGATCAACACACGGTCCACTGCACCGATACTGGAACTTGTATCCTTGTGGAGATATTGCTTTGTTCTCGTGTACTAAAGTTTTCGAGTTTGAAATGTAGTTTCAAAATGCTCTTAATTTAACCAGATTTAATTTTCTTGGCTGAAACTCGGATATCCCTTTTCTAAAACTCTTCCATTTGCGACGGATCAACACAGCTTGGAAATTCCTAGTTTTTGAGTAAAATCCATATACATGTACATGTATCTATTTCATGATAACAGGGGAGACGTATTCATCTATAGAAATGGCCCTGTGGAGACGTATACAATCTTTGTTCCCTATTGTACACTCATCTGCAGAGGGTATGATGTATCAGATCAACAGACTTCACAGACTTTGTGTGTGTGCACAAAAGGCACAAGGGATTAGCATGCTTAGATGTCACCCGGAGGCGAGTCGAGGCGCACTTGACATTTTAACCCATCAGCCATGCCAGTGTATAAAAACAGCCAGTGCATGTTAACACGGCCTCCGATGCGAACTGGTTAAATTGTGTTTGACTTTATAACAGACGTCGAAACTAACTGTGGGCAGCCAGGTGAGTGCGAGATTCTAAAAGGGTTACAAAGTAGTGTTTATCGCATTTTGTAAAATAATAAAGTCTTCACACTGTACAGGAAATTTAGCCCACCTGTAACTGTAGGGCAGGCAGGTTGACTCCAGCTACCATCTCAGTGCAAGGATGCTCCACTTGAAGACGTGGGTTCAGCTCCAAGAAATGGAACGAACCATCGTGATCGTTGTATAGATACTCCACGGTACCTGCACTGCAGTAACCAACCAACTTGGCTAGTTTGACTGCAGCCTGGAGGTCAAAGGTCAGAGAGACATAAAATTACTACTGTTACTTCCAGAGAATCCACATGAGCCTTATCGATTGACCTTTCTATTGGTCATGGTTGTATTTGTTGTTCACTCCACCTTTTCAAAACCTGAAAACCACCCCAAGAACTGAAACAATGTTTGTTCACTTTAAAACCCTTCCTCTCTCAGTATCAAAAAGGAGAGAGATACCATATCTGTCAAAATCTATCAAGTGACAGTTTTTAACAGTTTTGTAAATTGGGCTCATATGGGTACCATTGACAGGCTGTGGCAATAGGTCTCTCTCAAAGACGACCATCTCTGTAGGAGAACTGCATTTGCCTATTTTACGCAATCAAGCAAGCATTGCACAGTGTTGAAAATGTTCCAAACATGCCCACTTGTTGCTCAAAATGTGACCGAAATACGACGCATCGATGCACGCTCAAAATGCCGATGCACGTGGCTGGTCTGTAGTAAATTACGTCACTTGAGACAGACCTATATTGTCAACTGAAGGTACCATGCCTTGACTGACAGTAATAGCCATGGTGGGTTTAAGTATTGCTGAGTGCTTGGCAATGATTAATTTAATTCAGTAACAGGAAGGCGCAAAAGGGCAATTCCGTAAATACGGAAGTACATGTCGGAGACTGTAATGAGCTGCTGTTATAAAAGTGAAAGTGATACATCACTAATATGTAACATCTAATGAGTAGAAAACAACTACAGACCAAACTAAGGTACCACCACCTTATAACGACCTTGTACATGTACATCATGTGGTCCGACGTACCTTGGATTTTACGGAATTGCCCAAAAGGTTCACAGCGTCCAAGACACACCACATTCTTCAGCACTGAGATATCCTTACAATGCAAAATTTTGGCATTTTATTTGTAAATTTTATTTGTTGAGAGTGCTTGTGGAATCCCAAGAAAACAGATGGAGGTACAATGCAGTGATTCCTTTATTGCGGGGGACATATAAAGACAAAGACAAGTTTGGCACAGAAACCGCAAAGTGGTTACTTTTTTTTCTAAGTCAGCACTTGTAAAAAAAATGTTACTCTCGAGTACCTACTTCAACTCGTGCCAGGACGAGTACTCGAGTAGATGAAAAATCATGAGTAGAAGAACGAGTAGCAAACACTACTCGTGATTACTCGAGTGCTCGCCCAGCACTAATCACTAGGCAGGTTAAAGGGGCACTAGGTCCTGAAATCCCCGAAAATGTCATGTTTTGTTTTGTTTACTTATCCTATCTCAAACATCTGGTTGAAAGGAAACCAACCTTATGTCTTACCGTTCCCGAGAAAGACGAAAAAAAAAAACGGTTGTTGACATCGGACATGACAGAGAACGAATATGGTTTTCCTGTCGTTCAGTCAATGTATGATATGCACGTTGTGCGTGTCTATCATAACGTACGTACAGCACTGTGCTCGCGAACAGCGGTGACCAATCATCAATGCACAAAATGTGGTTTCTTCGTCGTCCGCAAAGGCGAAACTTTATGGATGAAATCACAACTAGCACCCAAATAGCTTGGCCTTTTTTGGGGTCGCAAAAGTGGACCCCGAAAGTCGTTCTCACACGCATAATATAGGAATAACACAAAAACGCCAAGTTTTTAAAGGATAGTTGTGTGGATCCTACTTTTAAATGTTCTTTCTGATAAACATTAATTCGTTCAAAGCGTATTTTGTAGCCCAATTGGGCTGTTCCAGTACGTAGTGTCCCCTTAACAGATGCAACTGTGACTTTGTTGTGCACTACCCTCCCCATAATCTTGACATGACAGGACAAAAATCAATATTTAGGGTTGAGTGAGATTCGAACCTTCTCCATTTCTCTGAAGACGTGGGACTGAGCCACTGTGGCAGGGGCTTCCTCAATGATCTTCTGATGCCGACGCTGGATGGAACAGTCCCGACCAAATAAGGAGATGGCGTTGCCATATTTGTCGCCGATCAATTGCACTTCCAAATGCCTTGCACTGTTAAAAGAAATGTTTAAACAACAATTTAAGTTGGCTATTTGTTTTACTCTTACCTTTAAATTCTCCAGACCAAGTGATAGCCGATCTGAATTGTCGAAATAGATTGGTACGGTCCTTTCTGTTCTCATATTTATGTTACCAGAATCAATAAAATGCTTGGGATTCAACAATCAGCAAAAATCAAGATAGACTAGCTTTCCATGTCCTCTGTGTTCTACTCTCATTAATCTTTTGGAAAAATGGTACATGAAAAAAAATAAGAGATCCACAAACTCCTTTTTGAGCTTGTCTAAATAGACTTGCAAAAAGTCCTTTCTATTCTTTTTTATTGGTGTCAGATTCAATTTGTTCCTATGAACAGAAATCAAGATAGACTTGCCCTACAAGTCCCATGCAGTCTATTTCAAAACTTAATACATTTGTTCTCATGAACATAAATCTGGATAGACTTGCCCCACAAGTTTCTGCGATCTATTTTTAAGCTAAAGACATTTGTTCTCATGAATAAATCAAGGTAGACTTGCCCTACAAGTTCCCTGTGATCTATTCTAAAACTAAAAAAAAAAATTCCCATGAAAATATATCAAGATAGACTTGTCCCACAAGTCCTCTCTGCAATCTACTTTCACTCACCTTTTGGCTAGCTTCATGACAAAGATTGGTGATCCCGGAACTTCACTCTGAACTTGTCTAAATAGACTGGCAAAGTCCTCCTTGTTCTCCACTTTTCGAATGCCTTTGCCACCACCGCCCTCGGACGCTTTGATCATTACTGGGAAGCCAATGCGCTCAGCATGCTGTTAAAAAGATCAAAATATTTATCAGCAAATATAGTAAGTACCAAATACCACAGAATAATACATGTGTTGTGCACAACATGGATGCATCCTACAGGTTACTACTCAGTAGTTTTTTTTTATAGCTTTAGGTGAGGTTAGAGTTAAATCAGAAACTTGCCATTTTCTTCTTTAATTAACCCTAACTCCCTAGGCCTTTTTGCTAGGATGTAGCCTCAATCCTGCAAAATCCTCCATCTGGCCTCATGGAAAAATAGCATATAGCCTCAATTCTGCAAATTCCTCCATTATTTCTTGAACATGGTCAGTGGAGGGGTGACCACTGCCTGAATCCTGCAAAATCCTGCAGCAGGCAGTGACTGTCAATATGTTGAGGCTTGGCCTGTGACATCCTGGAGCAGTACAGAGGATTTCAAGCATAATCCAGGCCTATATTTATGCATGGCTGAGCAAAAACAACACAAGGTCCGGCCCAAGACCTTGACAAAGTGCATCCTACGAAATCAGTAACGCACTTTTGCCATGTAACCTCAATCCTCCAAATTCCTCCACTTACCAGTAGTTGAAGAGGATTTTGAAGGATTCAGGACGGTTAGGGTTAAAGAAATGCATACTACAGCTTACTACTCAGTAGTATTTTGTAGCTTTAGGTGAGTTTAGGGTTAAAACAGAAACCTGCCATTTTCTTCTTTAACCCTAACTCCCCAGCATAATTTATTAGAAACCGTACTCATCCAGGCAAATTCCAACACCCACATGGGAAATCGTACACACACACTGTTGGACTTGGAGTTTCTGGAGGTATGCCAAACCCAATGTAAAAGACCATCTGTTTAGGGGTACTGTACCTATCCCAACAGATTTCAACAACACCTGCTGTTGGACTTTGATGGGTTGAGTTCGGTAAGGGTTAAACAATGTGCTCACAAATTGGCTTGGGTGACAGAACCCTTTAGTTGACACTGTAAACCCACTGTTCCTATTATACCTGCAAAGCCTCCTCAGCATCTTTCACGCATCCCTTCTGGTAGATATCATCAGGGACGGTGATGAAGTTGCCGCTGCGAGCATCCTCCTCCGTCCAGTTGATACGCAGACTGTCCCCGCTCCACGGTAACGTCGGAACGTTGGCGCTCTGAGCGACAATGGACGAGGCGATCTTGTCCCCCAGTGCCCACATTGCCTTCTCGGACGGACCTAGGATGAGAGTCATTAAATACACTTAAACTACTGAATACTGCGTATGGCGATATAAGAGGGTGACACGCCTTATTGGGGCAACAAATTGGTGTCGCCCTTTTGTTAAAACGACCCTTAGGAGAAGGAATTCTAACGTCGCACACCGTCTAGATCAATTCCTCGTGGTCCAAAACTTAAGCATACCAAAACTTGTTGAGGCAGGATAAAGTAAACTTGGGTTAGGTGACATTTTAGGTTGTGCACAAGTCTATGGAAAAGTCGCCCTATTATAGCATTCAATGAGATTATTATTATTAATATTATTATTACTATTTTATTTAAACCCCCCCCCCCAAAAAAAAATACAAGACGTTACAATACCAACAAAGAATGGGCCAACATCAGACATAAGACAAAGCCAGCTGTCCGCATCGTCATTTTACCCCCAAATTTCCCTCAAAATTCAAAACCCTGCCCTCTATCTATGACCTACCTGCATGTTCTTAATGTCGCCAACTAAATTGGTAAGTCAAATAAATTTAAAGTGGATTTTGTTCTCTTACTATAGGGAACCGGGCCTGTAATACACAATCGCCATTACCGGTATATCTTTTGACAATCAGAACACCGTGTGCATGCGTTTTGTGACTATCCTCAAGCTTGTTTGCCTCGTACACGAACATCAATGCGTATTGTGTACCGCCCGTGCAAGCACTGAGAAAAAGAAAGTTGGTTGACTTTGCACGTAAGATCTGTCATATGTACTCCATATGGTATGTGGGTACGAATACAGACATTTTTGCGGCTAAGGTTTCGCTACTTGAAATATCGGCACACTCCGGAACTGGACTAGATTCAGTTGTGGTACATGTACATCTACGTACAGTGCATGGGGAATCGCAAAGCCAGTGTTTGCGATGGTTTACCTGGCAGCGTGTGTGATTGATTCAGCGAGATTTTAAGACAACCGATCGGGCTGGCATGACATCGAACTACAACGTCAATGTGTGGAAAATCAATTGAAATCAAGGATTGTAGTGGTTTTAATAGGCTGAGGGATGTTTTTGCAAAAAGGGCACGACGGCCAAGGTAAATATGGGGCAAGGCAAAACTGGCCGTGAAGACGGGGATTTTTTCGTGGGGCACCTCGGCCAGTAAGAAGGAAACGACTGCACTGGCCGTCGTTCAATGCAAGCCCTGTAATGGGTTAAGGGCTCCCCCTCTTCCTAAAAACCTTAACCCATTTTACTCTTTATTGTCAGGTTGGAAACCTTATTGACTCACCAATGAAAGCAATTCCATTCTTATGAAGCATCTCGGGCAGTTTGGGGTTTTCCGAGGCATGCCCCCACCCAGCCCACACCGCGTCCACCTGCACCCTCTTGGCAATGTCAAGAATCAGCTCCACGTTGGCGTAGTTGTTATTGTTGGAACCACCAGGGGCTGGGACGTAGTGATCGGCATGCTTGATGTACTCTGAAAAGTTACAAGAACATTTTCAATGTACAATGAAATGGTATCAACAACTTTATTTTCCCATGCAAACAATTTGACTAAAAACAAACATTTAGTCCCATTAAACCATTTCTATGTTGTAGAATGCTGTGGTCCAATGGTTACAGTGTCCGACACATGTGTGATGGTACGTGGGTTTGAACCCTGATGGGAAACATGGTGTTTATGTTCTTGGGCAAGACACTTTACAATAATTGCCTCTCTCAACCCTGGAGTATAAATGGTTACCGGTAAGGACAAAGACTAGATTGTACTGATCTTAATTAAAAACAGAAAACTGGTCTCATGGCCTGATGAACAGAGGTGAAAATTGTGAAGTGCTTTGAGACATTGGAACATGTATAAAATACTGTAGCAGCACCACTTTATTAACCCTCCTGCTATTTAAACAGTCACAGACAGTCAAAATTTCCATCTCCCACAATGCACTGGGAAAAATAACTCTCCGTGGCAAACTCTTGGTGGTGCACTGCATTGTGAATCGCCCGAATTGATAAGCACTTTGATACATGGTAAAAATGAAATATCAAGTACTATAATTATTCCAACAGAATTTTTTTTTCTCTAAAGGCACGAATGGTGTACAATTTCTCAATCTGTAAAAATGTCTCCATGGATATTCACATATTCTAATGACTTCTCACTCACCAGCATTAGCTGTCAAATCCTCCGGCGTTACCATGACGACAAAACGGATGGCTTTCTCATTACGGAATACTTCAAATGCCCAGCGTCGCATGGAGCGCATACACTTCACTGCAGCAATGCCGTTATTGGCAATAAGGATCTGGACAGAAATTCAGTTATGTTTCAATGTGTCACACTTAATGCAAAAGTATTTTAAAAATGAACTTATAACAGCATTCATATTGTCACACATAAGACCTAGAGTTATTATTATTAACTGCTGCAGACACATCTGCAACAAAGTGCACAAAACATTACTGGTACAATGGCCCGTTGTCTTGCATTTTTTGTGTGTGAAGCAACAAAAGTGCTCAAAATCTAAAGACGGGTGTTTAACAACTAATCTGGGTAAAGCGTTAGCTCTGTGAATGCTGTGTATTTTGAGATAACACAATATTCTAGATTTCAATTTCAATTTGACACAATCCCGAAATCTGCATTCGGGACGTGATTCTCATTCAGCCAAATTTTTTTAACTGTGTGGTTGTTTTCGTGTGTTGTTCTGTCTAAGGGCCCGTTCATACTTGGCATAATACATGTACACAAATTCCAAACCCGAATTTATGAAGTCAAGTCAAATTTTCGTGCTGAGATATGTGGGAATTCGTAACAGTTGTACACATTTCACCTCCAACAAACATGACCTCATTATTCAAGATGGTAATGAAAATTTGTGCTTCTCATAAATTTCAATTGTAGTTTTCTGTGAAACACGCTTGTAAATTCTTTTTCACTGGACAGTCATCAAGGATGTCAATGTGACAACAAAAAGCTTTTAAGCTTCAAGGCTAAGTGCTAAGTTGCATGACGTGTGTGTACAGTTTTTGCACACCCCTGTCAGCTGTGGATCAGAACACTCATATTCCAACCCGATCAAAGTACCCACTCCACATACTACACTATTGTAAACTTAAGGCCTAGAAAAGGACATGAGTACAATACTGCTGATTAGCATAGAGTGTTACAATGTACTCTACCATTTTGGGTAAATTTCATATAGACATTAAGTACCAAAAATTGCTGAGCCAAACACCATGCAGTGTATGTATTCCTGCTCATGACTGGATCAGAGCTTATATTTGCTTGGCTCATAATTTGGCTGAGATATATTTTCTGCTTTACTGGTAGCTCCCCCCAAAAATGTGGGTCCTCGGATAGCGAAAATCCTTAATAAAATCTGAGAAAATCTGTTTAATGAATGCTCAGATGTCACTTAACTATCTTTTGTCACAGACAGTCAAAAATTCAATCCTGTTCCCCTGCCATGCCTATTACACAGGCTAGTCACTAACAGTCAGATCATATTTCTTGTAAGCACTGTGACAGTCAAATTCCATCAACAGACAATAGCAAGTGATCATGACTGGTAGGCACAGCTTGCTTATCAATCTCCTACAGTCAAACCACAGCTATATCAGGTTTCATAATAATCACAGCCAGTGAATCCTGCTTTATGAAGGCAGAGAGCACTCAACTGTTGAAAACAGTCACTTGATTTATTTTGACTGCTGGGCTGGCCTTGTCAAAATTGCCAGCCAGGTAGGGAGGGTTAAAGGAGTAGCTAACCCAAGTAGAAAGATTTCAACTTTGACATAAATTGAAAAACTACTTGCATCAAGAGGTCGTACCGGTAGGTTAATCCACTCACCTTGTTGATGACGTAGTCACCGCCGAATTTCTTGACAAACTCGGTCGGCGTGGCAACAGACATGTCTTTACTGTCACGCCTCCCGCGTCGCCACTCGCTCTTATTAATTGGCTGGTTGCCAAGCTCCACCAGGTTCATGCCGGACATGGTGTGGCGAAAGCTAAAAATAGATTGCAAGTTTTAACTTCAAATTATAATAGGGTACTGAAGTGTGACGTCATCTGTCTTTGTTGTGGTTCACACCATTGCTATCGCGTTGTTGTCAACACACACTTAAGCTATGTGTGTGAAACAGAATACGCAGGAACACTTCAGTACTCTATTGAAATCTGCACATATTTTTTTAAGTTAGTAAAGCCACAAAATTATATATCCATGCATCTACAATAGAAACATTCTCAAATTCAGAATAGGAAGGGTTAAAATAATAACTGGGGAAAAAACAATTTTGCAAGAGATGTTGCGAGATAATTGCAGACCAATACTGCATGTACAGAAGACAACCACTTGATACAAGTTTGTCCCATTGTTAGCTCTACATTGTATGTGTGTACATGTATGTATGCAATGGAAGTTATTTATTCTCAATGTGCCTTGTGCCCATCAAAAAAATGAAAATGTACTTCAAAATGTGATCTTGAAATAAGCCTAAAAATACTAGTACAGTGGAACGCCGCCATAACGAACATAACGAACATCGCAGGATCCACAGAAATTGTATATCAATCGTTGGGTACAGCGATTTTAAGCTGCCGGTATTCCTGTACTCACTTTAGCACCCTTCAGAACTTCACCCTGCACGCCCTGGTAGTTACTGAAAGATGACTTTGAACAGGTGCCAACTACTGAATTATGTAAAACACAGTTTTTTAGCTTTACTACCTACAGCAATGCATGGGTGGCTTTCTCCTTCTATTCCTTGGGGAAATAATAGCCACTTGTCGATCGCTCTGCTGTTGACATGTTTCAACAACAATGTTTGGTATATTCTGTTCACAAAATCGGGAGCCAAGGACGATGTTCCTTTTGTTCGGTATAGCCGAATGTTCGTTATACATGTAGCAGTGTTTGGCATAGCGAAGTTCCACTGTAAAATTTTACAAGGCCACATTATATTTCTTGCTTTCAATGGAAAGAAATTGTTGACATTTACTAGAATTACCGGTATCACTTCAAAAAGGGTACATGTAGTAATTAACTACTATGATTATGATTATTACAATAAGGGAGTGCTCTGCCAAAGACTTTCTTTAAATCACTCTAGAGTACTGATTGTTATTTTTTTCGAACGATTAGTGTCAAAAACTTCATTTAGGATCCGTGCAATTATGACAGTGGACAGTTGGAATGGTGGGTGATACTTACTTGTCAAAGGAGGATCGTTTATGGCGTAATATGGAAGCACTAGGACTGGGCACAGGGTCAGAGGAATCATGGGATTGATTACTGCGGAGTAGAAAACAGAAGGAAAACACACCATGCAACAAACACACAGGGCACACCCAATGACCAAGGCACGTACTGTACACCGAGAACTTCCCGCTTGAATGCTTCCAAATCCTGTTTTCCTGGATTCCTTTTTTCCGGTCAGGTACCGAGCCAAGGCCACCATTATGTGACCGTTCGTTTGGTCCGGGAGCCCTCAGTGGGAGTTCTCGGTGTACACCGCCAACACACAATAGAAATACCACCACCATGGTCACAAAAAATCAATGATTTCAACAGCAATTGGAAGGTGAATACCGGTAGGTGAAAATAATGAATATATATATATCAGGCCTTTTGATCTGTATTGATTGGATTGCAATTCATTGCAATCTGTCAAGCCATAACTCTTCAAATAGAAACTACATATATTACATTACTTTATTTCATTTCTACCAACATGACCAGATTGCTTTGCTTTTTTTTTTTTTTTAATACATACATGGCAAATTGTCAATCCAATATACCCATACAAAACATTATTTAATTTCCAAGTTGACACAATGGTTCTACATGTACTTCCAGTCTCACTTTTGGAAGCAATTGTAAATTTTCTTGGTCATGTTGGTATGTTTGTTTTTTGGGGAGAAATAAAAATTGTCTGCATACTTGCTGTGCCATTTTCCTGATAGATACATGTACAATGTACCCTGTATGAGCATTAAAAGCTAGATTTTCTCTAAGTGCAAAATGGAATGGACATAAGGCCAAGTAAAAAAAAAAAATAGTTTCTGGTCTTGGCTTTTTAAAACGAGAAAGGAGGCGGCACTTTTTTCCCTATTTTTCCCCCAATATGGCAGATTTTCCAAGATCGGAGATTTTTTTCGACCCTTTTGCTGATACAAAATTGTGTCCAAAGGAGCTGTAACCCTTTCTACCATGCCTACAAATTGACAGTATATTTGCAAAATATATTGCAAATAGGGGCCTTTGTATGAATTTAAAAAAGAAAAGAAAAAAGGAGGCAGGCAGAAAAAGGAAGTGCAGGCGGGGACGACAAATATTTTTTTTTACTTGGCCTTAATGGTTCCCATTACCAAATGTATGCCCATCACAGTATGTAAAAAGGATTGTGTGAGTGACTTCATTGTTACCATGGCAACTATGATGTTGGGACCGATGATTTTCTTTTTCAAAATTTTCCATTCTTATTCCCTTTTCCCCAACAGAACAGTAACAAAATCTACTTCACACTTCATGATTTGTGCAATTAACCCTCCCTCTATTCATGGAGTTACTAGCTCCATGCTCTATTTAAGAGGTCACCATGGTCAAAATGTTTGTATCTCACCTATTTGTGTACAAACCAATGGGGGTCTTGACTAATATTGACCCAAGTAATAACCAGGCTGACAATGTATGTTTCCATTAATGCAAGTGCCTAGTCAAGTGAAAATGGTTGATCAAATCCTAGCTCCATGATCAAATGCTCTTTTCAAACAATCTCTGCGAAATGACTTACATTATAACAAACCCATCACCAGCTACACTGCTTGCTTCATATTGCTTGGAATTAGCGTGTTTTATCTCTTTAACATTCTCTGGGTTCACCATGACCTTCACTTCAAAAGCGTGAATGTTAAAAAGGAATTTTGTTTCAATAGTTCAAACTGTTTTCATCGAGCATGTTGAGGCAGAAAATAATTGGACATTGAAAATACAGTGTACAGCGTACCAGTGTACAATGTATTGTGAATACATAGAGTTACGCAATAATGTGTATAGTTCAATGACCCTGAAGTTATCAGCCCCTGGCTGGGACCATGTCAGAAAAGCAAATGAATGGGAAAACAAACAAAAGTTGGAAAATGGTGTGATGCTTTCTAAAATAGTCAGGAGACCTAGGCCGCACCAATGGCACTCTAACACCAAGGTTACTGATTGTTCATGCAGTTACACTATTTTTAAACAACACAAGATCAAACAAGATCAAATTAAAAGTATTTGAAAATACATGTTTTTGGTGGTTTGTTTTTCTTCAAGTAAATCAAACAAGTGATTGGTTGATAGCACACAAAGGAAATGGATTCACTGCAAGTGTTAACTTGTTCTTTTCCTCACAACCCACTTCTGCAAAAGCTAATCCTAACGATCCCCATCCAGTCAAACTCCAACACCAGAGTTTGTTGGAATCTGTTAGGATGAGTACTGCACTAGTAAAATGATTGTGCTTTACATGGAGTTTGGCAACCACAAATAAACATAATCCAACTGTTTATGTGCACAGTTTACCATATGGTGTTGGAATTTGCAAGGGTGAGGAAGGTTTCTAGTAAATCACCCTAGGAGGTTAGGATTATTAACAGTAATTTCACAGAGAAGTCACACAGAGGTGTTAAGCTTTATTTCTGCTTGTTTTGAAAGGAAAACACTGAAAAGATGGAGCTTTCTTTTCCCAAGTAATTTAAGAAGTTACACTTTTTGCCAGGTACATGTATTTTAGAAAAAATAGTGCATTCGATTCTTTGCAATCAGGTGAGACTGTGAATCTATTGGGTTGATTTACACTGAGTGCAGTAAAGGCACTGCAAACGGTTAAAGGTAAGCACCGTCGATACAGCAATTTTACTTGATTATTCGTTATTATTTTGATATCGATATTGCTGATAGCAATTTTTTAATCATATCGAAATATCAAAGTTTTCGATCAGATTATCGTCAAAGTAAATCTCCCGTTTGTGCTTTCATTCTGTGTTTAATGTTTGCTGTATAATGAAATAAAAATTGCAGTTTTTCCATTTGTTTTTCTTACCGCGCTCGTTTCAACTCCTTCGCAGCATCTGCTTGATTCATAAAGACGTCCCCGTTCGCCATCTCGCCGGCCACGTCTTGACCCTCCTCCTCCGGACCACCAACGGAACCCTCATCGGCTGTGGAGTCCTCCGACAGACGGAACACCACGCGCTTGTTGCTGTCCCGTCTGGACTTGGACGACCGCCGTCCGTTGGCGCTGGTTGACGTCTCGTCGGTTTGGCGGTCCCCATTACTCACCGTGGCTGTTGATGCTTTTTTCGCATCAACGTCCGTTTCTTTTTTACCAGTTGACATCGTGGTTGCTTGCAGGTTACTCAGTCAATAGTAGAATGCTTCTGCTGCACGCATTTCACTCATAAACATGATAAAGATGTGAACACTTGATGTTCTGTAACACGATATTGAAACAGTGATTATTGTTTTATACTAGTGTTAGAGAACAGGCTGCTACTGTTAAATACATGTATGTAGCCTACAGAGTCAGCACCTGAACGAGGATCAATTTCTATCCTGTTTGTCTGACAATATATTACATGTACCTACATTGTACATAATATTCAAGTGTGTATGGGCAAAATCTGTACATTTACTGTGCCCCTACCAGTAAAGGTTTATCTGATAATAAACATCACCTCATACACAAAATACACAGTCAGGCAAGGTGTTTATCAGGCTCAATCAAACCATGGAGCCTGGAGGTAGAATATGATCTGATACACCAGAGACATGCACACAATAGGGAACAAAAGATTACTATACGTCAAAGGCAATTTCTATAGATAAATACATCTCCATAAGGTTTTCACGAAATAGTGTATATGGATTTTACTCAAAAACTAGGAATTTCCATGGTGGGTTGATCTGTCCATGGAGGAATAAGAACACTTCTGTCACAAATGGAAGAGTTTTAGAAAAGGGATATTACCGATAAGTCCCAATTTCAGCCACGAAAATTAATTCTGGTTAAAATAACCTGTAGCATTTTGAAACTACACTTTCAAACTCGAAAACTTTACTACACGTACACGAGAACAAAGAAACGTCTCCACAAGGATACAAATTTCAGTATTTGTGTACTATATGTATACATGTACACTCAACAATCCATCACCAATGCACATTGTAAATCTGCAGTGTCCATACAGGTGTAATACCCAGGATCACATTGTTTATCACTGTGATTATCTTTTTTTTTTATTCAAACAGTCAGTGATTATCATAATTATTATGAATATTGTTTTCACACACATATCCATCCAGTTCATATCATGTACAATACAAGAATGGGACCTTGAGTGCATGCTGCAAACATGCAAAATGAAATCAGGCCAACTTTACTCACTCTGTGACCGACAAAATTCTCCAAAATTTTCATGAGGCAAAGACAAAGTCCTCAATATTCATGATATTTCACCAACCAAGTTTGAAGTCTCAATTCAACTTTTAAAGGAGACATTTCTTCAATACTTTACACCTGAGAGGGATGTCAAGAGATATCACTTTGAGGCCAAAGGGTCTAGACCAGAAATACATGTACATAGGCACTAGCCCATTAAATGTGGTCAAAACAATACTGGACTACATATGTACCTCCGTAAATAAAGCCCACACTTGGAACATGTGCCCGAAAATGTAGAACTTTGTCAAGATTTTATTTTCACATTTTGACTCTGTTTGTAGTTTATAATATGCGTAAGAAGCACACACACCCTCTATAGAGCGATAGAAAACTAGTCCCCCCCCCCCCCCCTTTTCAGACATTTATATTTTAATAGTGTAATTTCATGTTAGAATTTAGATACGCTAGGCCTAATGTGTGCAAAATGAACCTGGAAATTACACAAAAACATAGACGTCTGAAAAAGGGGGGACTAATTTTCTATCGCTTTAAAGAGGGTGAGTGTGCTTTTAAAGCAAAAATAAACTAAGCCTAAATGTGAAAATAAAAACTTGACAATGTTCTACACTTTTGGGTACATGTTCCAAGTGTGGCCTTTATTTACGGAGGAAACTCCAGTAAATTGGCCACATTTATGGAGCTAGGCTGACTATTGAGACATGTGTAGAAAGAGAGACCAGAACCAGACATGCCAGATGTTGGGCTTTGGCACACTTGATTGATGCAGCACTGAAGGGTTGTTGGACTGGATGTTTCAGGTGCCAGTCTATTTTTTTGGGTGCATACCTATGTTCCCCAATACCGATATTCCCCAATACCACTGTTCCCTGAAATCCATACCATACATGTATAACCCTTACCCTAACCCTAAGGATTTCAGAGAACATCGGTATTGGGGAACATATGGGGAACATCAGGTAGGACCCCTATTTTCTTGTATTGCATGTTTTCATTAACCCTATTGCCATTGGGGTCTAGGAAATTAACCCAAGTTCAGATGCACAGGTGAACAGCCACAATTGAACGTTAATCAGTTGCGGTAACTTTCAACCAAATTAATGGCAATCATGCGAATGCAGAGTTATAACGTTACAGTGTACAAACAACTTACAAGAAAACATTTCACAAAAAATCAAGATGGCATTTTTCTATCAAAAACTGTTGGTAATCTTGAAAACTTGGAGGAAAGAAGATTGCTTGGCGATCGTGTAGTGTAGGGCCCGGTTCCTAAGGCTAAGCGGGAACAAAATCCACTTTAAAATTATTGGACCGACCAAACTAGTTGGCGACATTCTCAAATAAACAGCTGCAGGTACATGTATGTGTTTATAGCTCCATGGTCATAGATAGAGGGCCTGGCAGGGTTTTGATTTTTTTAGGGAAATTTGGGGGTAAAATTACAATGACAGCGCAGCTACAACATAATTGACATGATTGAGGTAACACTAACACTACAGTACAGAATGAATTTAAACGATAAAATTGTTTTAGTGAAGCCTGTCACAGTGTTGCAGCTTTGAACTTAACCGCGACTCCGCGAGGTCTAAACTTCACTAGACACCATGCTAGAATTAAAGCCGCATTCTTTCTCAGCCAAATTTCAATTTCTTATAAACTTTGGCTATATTTAACGATATGTGCTATTCATGACATTGTCTACTCCAGCACTATGCAATAAATGTCAATGTGTACATGTATGTCATGTGTTGAAGTCTTGCACTAGCATAGGCAAATTCCTCCTTGAAAAGGTAATATGTCATGTGTTCTTATTCCTACATGATCATGATTATGTATTGATAAATCACTCTACACTGATCACTATTCATGTCCGGAAATTGGGCAAGAACAACAACAAACTTTCCGTCAAGTTCTGTTCTTAAATTATACAGCAAACATTATACAAACACAGACTTACCTCTGATAAGGCAAATTACATGTATATGGAATGGTCAAAACCGAATCTTGTCTTGCTGCTTTGCTTGTTCAGTGAAAACTAAGGTTTTTGTGCACGGGATCAACGCATGGATCTGGAGCTGGCACATCGAGCAAAAACATACGATGTGACGTCACTCGATCGAGCTCTCATTTGCATCCGGGTCTCTCCGACGACTGTTTTATGTACACCATAACTGTGTGCGTGTAAGAAACTTGTTTCGCTAGCACGCTTTAACAGGTGAAATAGTGTTATACTCGCGACATGAAATAGTAAAGATAATTACTAAAGAATCCGGGACGCTTGGAAAAAGGAGTTTATTGGGGAAGACCCCTTTGCATAGAAAAGCCCATGTGGTCGAGGTCGAAGTGTCAGTGGTTGCCGTGAATGCAGTGACCGGAGAAAACGAATCGTTTTAATAAGTTGCATTGTAAAATAAAAACCACAAAGTTGCGTTCGCATATCCATCCATTTTTTTTTACCTGTGCTGTAGCGCTATAGTAGGAGTTTGTTGTGGAATACATGTAATTAAGTTCTCAGATAAAACCAATCAGCCATGCCAGTTGTCCCGGGTTTTTTTTACCGTGTTCAAAAATAATATTTTTCCCAATCATTTTCCTATTTTGTTCCTTTATTGTGCATTGCATGTCTGCTGAAAGGAACTCCACAATCTGAACACTTTCATCTGAAAATACGATATCAACTTTTTCACGTTTTACTTTTTTGTTAAGAGGCACATCTTTCAAAACCCAGCAGTAAAATACACCTATATAGAGTCCGAGGCATACATATTTAAAATGACAACAGACATCAAACGGTAGTGTAGACTTTATGTTACAATGTTTAATAAGATCTCAAAACTAAGAATCATAAATATATCACAATAATTGTCAAAATATTTGAAAGAGTGATTTTTTTTTACAGGCAAAAAATATCATGCCAGTACAACATCAGAATTTATGGTTTTTACCATATACCACAGGAATTCACAGTCCGTCCCATACTGCATGGGAAATCTGTAGTCTAGTCCTATAGTTTTTCCCGTGTAATGTGGGAATTCATAGCCTACTTTATAGTTTGGGCACAATCCAATGCAAAGCCTAGTCTATGGAGTATCCCCTTGCACAGCAAGGGTCTATGATATGCGCACAGATTTGGCGATTAATTATGCAGAACAAGACTGCGTCTTGACTCGAGATTCTGACCATTCAGCCGGCGCCTTCTATCGGGTCTTCTGTAAACCCTTCGTTCTATTACAAAAACATTGCATCCATGCAAATTGGCCAATCCACAGCTTAGTCCACATTTCTTATCAAAATGACATCACAGTCCCTAAAGACCACTGCGATTGGCTGGCGCGTGGGTCGCATAAAATGTACGTGCTACGATATATCAGACGTTCAACCATTAAAGGGAATATACATCATTTGCTTTTGCTGTAATTTTCAGAAATGGATGGAATTGGGGGGTTGGAAATATAAAGCAAATATAGTTACACTGACTTTTTTGAGGTTTTGGGTTCGAAAATGCTATAAAAACCAAGAAAAACAATCATTTTCCTGTAGTCTGGTTCCCTGACTCCATATAAGAAGAAACAGAGCAGTTTACATACATTGTGGAATTGTAAGGTCAGGGAACCAGTCTAGCTGGCTTGTACCCGTTCATAGGTGTGTAATCGATTGCAAACAAGTGCGATGGTCAATTGGGGCCAGTATTTGGAAAAAAAACACCCAGTTTTTTCCAACGCTGGTCGGCCGACCAGCGTTGGAAATTGATACAAAAATACCACTTTTCTTGAAAATGACAGTATACCAGGTGCCATGATTTTACAAAATGCTTTACACTGTCATTCACCAACAGTCCAGCAAGGTGTTTCAAAATGATTTGGTAGTTTTATTTTTTGATGTTTGCAAATGTTGTATTTTCCCTTTAATGTCCGACAGACTATGTAAGGCCATGCATGCATTCGACTATCAAACATTGCCAGGTTTCTGTAATTAAAAAAACAAACTGGGTCTTCACTTAAAAAGAAAGGGGAACCACCTGAAAAAAACCCAAATACCGAGGGAAACAGAATCAATAAAAAATCTTTCCGTTTGCCTCTACGAAATTACCCAATGGGTGAATTTAGGACGGTGGTGGCAGCAAACACACTGGTCCTTTTTCCATTGTTTGAGTCGCATTCAGCATGGCAACTGAACTCAAATATGTTGTAAACAATTGAAAAGGACCGGTGTGTTAGCTGCCACCAACGTCTCACAAGTCTCCCATTCATCTTTCTTGGTGTGGCAACAGCAGCACTTGGTGTTTGGAAGGTTATTGTTCTGACACAAATTCAACTTCAGCAGACAAATGCCTGTATAAAAATACATGTACTGTATGCTGAAAGTATTGTTTGGTTCATGGTATTGCCATATTTTTTTGGGAGACTAGTTTGGTGTATTACCTGCAATGCAATAAGCCATTTGTGTATAACCTACATGTAGATACCCTTTGTGAGTTAAAGTTGAGTACACTGACTTGCTCATAATGCTTGGCACGTTTTAAACTTTGAATTCTCCAGACCAAAGACACTTGCTATATCACATGAATCGGGGCAAGCTCTTGCATAGTTACGCAAGAGACGCTCAGCATCAATACATTGTTTGCGAGTTAGCCACGCCCCTTAGACAACCCTATGGAGTTTTTGTACACTAAGTTTTGTTTGTCTCAGATTGTGTGCGTTCCATTCGTGTATCATGTCATTGGACAATATTTCACAAGCTGCCTTGACGAGATTCTACCGCGATAGGTCAAAGACACCAGACCATTCCAAATCACGTGATATAGCAACAGTGTTTTTGGTCTGGAGAACTCAAGGTTAAAACATGCCAAGCATTATGAGCAAGTCAGTGTACCAGATGTTATTCAAATTTAACTCGCAAAGGGTATAGGTTATTCGCAAACAGCTTATTGTGTCATTTGCTTGCCCTTGAAGCAGAGGTTTTATTAAAATGGTCTAATTTGAGCTTGTAGTATCACATTTTTACTTGTTTTACCATTTCACTTGCAGTTGGTAGCACACCCTGATACGTCGACAATATTATTTATGAGCAAAAAATAATTGCATTTTGTACCACATTCTACCATGTTATCTGGGTGCAACAAAACAGAAATTGAATGATATTAATTTAAAATGTCAAATGAGATTTCTATAAATCAACACATACATGTATATCAATAAACAAATTAATGAGCACAGTGTCATTTGTCTACAAGAAATCAAGATATTTCAAAGCACAAAGACATGATATTTATAAACGAATGATTCCTCAATACTTTTTAGAATATTTCATAAAATCTTTTTGGACAAAAAGAAACAACCTGAACTACACAATTCATATTTATCAAGCTGCCTGTCACCACATGCAGAAAAGTAACTCCTTTTTTGGATAATTGATGTACGAACTCAATCTTTGAGAGTGGCTACTCTGGGAGTAAAAGAAAGGTTTCACATCGAAAACAAAGTTGGAAAAAAAATTATAAAATTCTCATTTGAAATACAGTTTTGCCATTCAATGCATGTGATTGCCATAGTAGTATAATGAGGAATTAGCCCCCACCTTTTTCAAGTCATCTACATATGTACATGTTAAAATGCAAGAATGACATGATGATGGCCTTGGCCGCTCGCACTGTCACATTCCCAGCTTTTGTGTGATCTTGGCATCTCTGAGATATTACTGTATGGCAAGTGTATGCAGTGCACAAAATGGAGACAGGTGTGGTTTAGTGGAGTTAATATCTGCGTCTGGACTACCGGTACATGTGCTTGGGTACATGTGTGTCACTGCCAACCATAGGCAAGTTAAAGAGGTTGTGGAATGCTTGAAGACATTTCCGTCATTTTTCGGGTATATGTAGCCTAAGGTGTGATGAAATAAAAACCACTGTTTCTGTCATGAAATGAGTACAAAAGGTACTTTTGAGAGCTGTTTTTCAGGTCCAGTTTCGACCCGAACGTGCAACTGTGTAAAAGTCGTCGTTGCGGGCAGCAAACAAAACACAGTAAATCGTGACGTAATAAACAGGACTCCCGATGCGCAGTGGCATACACGAGTCCTGTTTATTACGTCACGATTTACTGTGTTTTGTTTGCTGCCCGCAACGACGACTTTTACACAGTTGCACGTTCGGGTCGAAACTGGACCTGAAAAACAGCTCTCAAAAGTACCTTTTGTACTCATTTCATGACAGAAACAATAGTGGTTTTTATTTCATCACACCTTAGGCTACATATACCCGAAAAATGACGGAAATGTCTTCGAGCATTCCACAACCTCTTTAATATTCGCCTGCACTGCAGCCTCCATGTACATGTACGCATGACAGTGGCAGCTGATTTTCACAATAACAAAGAATACTCCTACATTAAACTTCTGTGGTAAATCTACATATCCAAGACATCAGTTCTACCTATTATTAATTCATTAAAAGTATTACAAATGATCCCTGATTTAATTTCATTGAATTAAAATGTGCACTTTTGCAAACAAATCTTAAACCAAATTGGTCTCAAATTCCAAAAAGAAAACAGCACTACAAATTCGTTAGGCCTAAATCTTCCAATACTACAATATTAACCAAAAAAAAACATTCACGGAAACATCAATTTACAATTCACTGTACATTTTGTAATCTCTCACCTTCCTACATGTACATGTATGAAGTACCTCTACACGAAACTGATTTAATGAGCTTGTCTAAAATAGAACCCACCACACAACTTGAATGCAAACAGTTGTGTGTTAAGCTTTTTCATTTGACATGTGGAATATACATGTAAATAGTTGCCTACATGTACTTGCCTAGGTACATTCATGTAGTCACAGTGTAGAGTCAAATTTGGACTCTACGATGTATTGGTTGAATTGCGCATACCTCATTACATGTAATTAGCACTGACGTATGTGAGGTAAACGAGATCAGACATTAGGCCTATCCGGTTCGTTAGTGTGACGTCATCTCAATTCAACCATGCTTACTTCACACGGTGTAGCACAGCACGAATGGAACCATAAGTTAACGCACCTCGAGCGTTTATCCAATGGGCGCTAGAAATCAGTGGTACGCGTGCGTGTATGACATTTTTACTAATGAACCGGATAGGAATCCACATGTCATATACCGGTAACAACATGATATTTACCTCTCACACTTGAAACTGAAAGCCCTTAGAGTGTACAGGTTCCCAAAAATCACAACCGAATAAAATACATGTACATGTTCATGAATGTACAATGTATGCGATTATAACATCACAATTTTTGACAAAACTGTATGCTGAGGTTACATTGTACATAGTGTACATGTACAATGCACAATGTACGTACCGTACATGTACATGACACAGACTTTCGCCTGAACAAAGCAAACTGCTTCATTCAACAGCACATGTGCATACATTATTGTTGTAATTCACTCTTGGGTGGTTGAGGGGGACACTACATAGTCAAAATGGTTGATGCGGGCGTAGCGGATGCCAGCCAGTCGTAGCTGATTCATGCTTGGCATCCTCAACCCACTGAATTCACTGTAACTCATTAAAAGTTTGTACGTTGTCATCCCGAATAACTGGATGTACTTTACAAAGTTTTTATATGCAGTGACAAAAAATCTTGCTAGTCAATCTGTGTACGATCCCACTAGGGTTCGGATGTGGTTTTGGAGCCTAATGGTGACATAACATTTATACTATCGCCCTTTCCAATTTGAATACAACATCTCATCCAGCATTATTTTTTAAGTGTGAGGTGGCTTCGCTTTTCATTATTCTTATTCTTCAACTACCGTACTTGGTTGTTTTAAACCACAATCTTTTACATGTAAAAATGTCACTGTTCATTGCATCGTGCACATAAACAAAAGAAAACACTTCAAGATTTAGCTCTTTCAAACTCTATTATCTAAAAGAATCCAAGATAGACTTGGGAAAAAATCATTACACATGTATTACAATGTAACTCAAAACTAATACAAGCCACATGATGATCGACAACATTGTGAACGTACATGTATTAAAATAATCTCAATGTTTGCATTATGACAGATCTACATGTAATAAATAGTTTTCCTGAAAAAGACATTATTTACAAATTTTGTCTACAATAAATAGTAAAGGCCATTGTGATGGTAAAAACATTCTATCTCTACAATGTACAGGTGGAATGACAATTAGAAAAATGTACATTCAAAATTGAACTTGAATATCTTCTGAAAATGGCTAAAATAATACATCTGTGACCTGTAGTCTCAAATGTGGACCTCAAATATTGCCATCTGACAACAACAGCGAGAACTTTAAATTTGGGTGTAATTTCATGTCATTGGATGAGGCATGTGTACAACCTGAATGTGTTCACGATAATGCCAAACTATCTGATACCCTGACTTGATGTGTATATGTACACATTAAAACTACCAAACGAGTATGGACTTGCTGAGGACCAGTCTCGGTTACAGTTTGTTCCAAGAACGATGTTCAATAAAGCTTTGGCATTTGCTTTTTTCGTTAACCCTATAAACTCCCTACTAAGTTTTACTAAGTTTTTCGATCATGTCGGTGAACATTCATCACTCACTACGCTTAACATACTGCTTCAGGACCAAATCCGTTGAAATCCACCTCTGGTGCTGGTGGACTTTTTTATGGGCTTGGTACACATGGCTTATCTGCCAAAGTCCCCCAACATGGGGGAAGGGGGTTGATTTTGATGGAGTTGGTAAGGTAAGGGTTTAGACATGATGGAAGTCTTTCCTCACTGTCATGAGACAAATTTACCTTTTCACCCAAACCACAGAAAATAGAAACTACAAAAACCAACAAAGGACTGCCTGAAGATGACTGAAGATATGAACCTAAAGTTCTCGGGTTTCAACCGCAAGTTACCGCTTGTTTAATTTTCCATAGTCACAATTAAACATCTGGGAACTCAAGGTTTACCTCAAGGTTTTATGAGGTTGAACATGGTTTTACGGGGTACCTCGGGTTTCAACCTCAAGTTACTGCTTGTTTCATTTTCCATAGTCACAATTAAACATCTGGGAACTCAAGGTTTACCTCAAGGTTTATGAGGTTGAACATGGTTTTACGGGGTACCTCGGGTTTCAACCTCAAGTTACCGCTTGTTTAATTTTCCATAGTCACAATTAAATAGCTGGGAACTCAAGGTCTACCTCAAGGTTTTATGAGGTTTAACAGGGTTTTACGGGGTACCTCGGGTTTCAACCTCAAGTTACCGTTGTTTAATTTTCCATAGTCACAATTAAACATCTGGGAACTCAAGGTTTACCTCAAGGTTTTATGAGGTTGAACATGGTTTTACGGGGTACCTCGGGTTTCAACCTCAAGTTACCGCTTGTTTCATTATCCATAGTCACAATTAAACAGCTGGGAACTCAAGGTCTACTTCAAGGTTTTATGAGGTTTAACAGGGTTTTACGGGGTACCTCGGGTTTCAACCTCAAGTTACCGCTTGTTTCATTATTCAGACTGGATTTGTATTTTGCCTTCTCTTATTCAGCCAGTCCCAGGCACTGACGCTGACTGGCACTGCAGTCAAGCTGCCATGGTGGTAGAGGGCTCCATCAACAAGATGAATCAAACCCAGTCTTGGGAACTTTGGCATCCGGACCCAAGAGTGCATACCTCACACGCCCCGTATTCAGGCAATGCAGCCGTAATGGAGGTATGCACAGTTTCTAGGGTCCAAGTGCCAAAGTTCCACAGACTTGATTTGATTTATAGCCTAGACCTAACCAGGGAGCAGCTGCATTGGGAGAACAAATTCCAAATGTACGGTATGTCCCCCAAAAAGTGTCCGTCTAAATATTTCTTAAATAACAACAAAACCATAAAGTAAATTTTGAAAGATGGGTGTACAGGGACGCTTCCCACAATGCTTCCCATTTCCTTCACAACATCTTGTGAAAGAGATTGATCTTCGCTAGCATCCTGGACAGCATGGTGAGTACAGGCAAGACATCCACTGATGTCAGACTTACTGTGTACTACGACTCTGTCTCCATCTTAACTTCAGGTTCAAACACCTCCTGACTTTTGGGCTCCGTCTCCTGTTCCGCCTCTTTTCCTGTTTCCGCTTTTATTCCTGTCTCCGCCTCCCCCTTTTCCGCTTCCTCCTCCTCCTTGACGTCCTCTGTGTTCTTCTCCTGATCTGGGTAATACATCTTGTGCCTCATGTGCCAAGCGATGCTCACACAGGCCGACGTGGTCTTGAACTGGTGAACGACGTTGCGCGGGATGAAGTAGAGGTCGTTGTCGCGGAGTTTGATGCGGGCGTAGCGGATGCCATCCCGTCGTAGCTGATTCAGCTTAGCATCCTCAATCCACTGAATACACTGTAACACATTCAAATGTTGTACATTGTCATCCCAAATAATCAGATGTCCGGAGTTTCTGCGTGTGTTCAATTCAAATCTACTTGTAACTGAATGCATGGGTGGTTACAGTGGTAAGTGGACAACACTGTCCATGAAGCTCTGTACATGTACAAACTGAAAGAGTCGGTTCAGTCTGACAATCATTTCTCTTGTCTAAGATGTTCATTTTGGAAGTCGGTGTGAAGTAGGGAAGATGGGGACGTGCCTAACAGGAGTAAGGTTATTTGATTTCCCAACACCTCTATTATATTACCAACTTTAAAAAGTGCGCGAGTTTAATCATAGCAAGAATCACAACGTACAAATGTACAGTTGACGCCATTTGTACATAACTTGTTTCATCTGGATTTTGCTTGGTAAAACCAGTCCCATTAATTTTGCACATAAATGCATGATCAGGTCCGAGGTGTTTATGTTCACTATAACCAGATTTTGTTGTAACCAATCGAGGGCCTTTGAAAATCAAAGCAATGGAGGATTTTGTAGGATTGAGGGCATAACACAATTTTGCCTCTGGAGGATAATGGAGGATCCAGGTTTAGCAGTCCCCAACTGAGGCTGGAGAAATTGGAGGAAGCCTGGTTTTGCCAAAAACATGATTCAGGATGTTACATTTGTACTTGTTATTTATGCATACATTGGGCAAGCATGAGCCTCTTGACTCCAATTATTTAAGGCCTTGGCATTGCCAACCCACAATACAGGATAACAATGGAGGATTTCAATAAGTTACACAGGCTTAACGAACTCATAAGAGCATTGAAATGCGATTACGCGATTACATGCCAGCACACCCCATGGAGGATTTCAAAGGATCCAGACAGAGGCTGGATAATTTTTGAAGGATTAAAGTGCTGAAGAGTTTTCTACTCTCTGCCGTTGGAGGATATTGGAGTACTCAGGTTGCTTCTGGGCAAGAGAGCTTAGGGAGTCAGGGTTAACAATGCGAGTCAACTGTACCTTTACCTCTGTGGGGCCCTTCACTGACAACACTATTTGAATTTCAAACGGATCTCATATCATCATTAGGACAGAACAGGCCTGTCAGTTCATACCTGTAACTCTTGTTCAAGCACTGCCATGATATCGGTCTGCGTCTACAATAACCTTAATACTCTCCTAGGTCCTCTCAAATCCCCCGGGAGGCTTCGAAGGATTTGGAAGGAATGAGGGATTTGGAAGGTAGAGCCCCATCCAAAATTAACCCCAACTCCCTAGGCATTTTTGCCAGGATGCAACCTCAATCCTGCAAAATCCTCCAACTGCCTCCATGTAAAAATTGCATATACAGCTTCTCAATCCTACGAAATCCTCTGTTATTTCTTGAATGTGGTCCTTAAAGGGGTGACAACTGCCCTAATCCTGCAAAATCCTCCAGCAATCACTGTCAATACGTTGAGGCAGAGCCAGCGACATCCTGGAGCAGTGCGGAGGATTTCAAGTATAATCTAAGCCTAAATTTATGCAAGGTTGAGCATAAACAACACACGGTTCGGCCCAAGACCTTGACACAGTGCATCCTCCAAAATGAGCTGCACATTTTTGCCATATAGCCTCAATCCTGCAAAATCCTCCATTTTGCAAAGAGGATTTTTGAGGATTTGGGAAAGTTAGGGTTACTTTACATGGGGCTGGATATCCCATGAAAGTTTTACGTACAAAGGAAGTGCCATTAACTGCACAGTGGAGGATTTGGGAGGATTCACAGGTGTACCTAGCACAAACGTCCAGAGAGTTGGGGGGAGGGATCTAACTGAACTAACCTGTGAGACAGGTGGCTCATGCAAGTCAAGTTGGAGACCCTCGACGACATCAAAGAAGTTCGCAGCAGAGAACGCTACTACATCTTTCACTTCCCGATCAGGACCACTGTTAAAAATAAATAAAAACTAAAAAATGTACGTAGTCTGATATTAACCCTAACTCCCTATTGTCTTTTACTAAGTACTGGACCAAGTCCCTCAAAATCCATCACTGACCCTGCTTCACATAATGCTTTAGGACCAAGTCGGCTGAAATCCACCACAAGACCACCAGTACTATAGGTGGATTTTGATGGACTTGGTACTCATGGCTTGCCTTCCAAAATCCCTAAAATGAGGAATTGATTTGGGTGGAGTTGGGAAGGTCTGGGTTAACTGTACCCCATTGATTGACAAGCAGCAGCTTTTGGAGCTTGTTGTTCTGTGCAGGAACATCACTGTTCGACTGTTATGGCGGCCACAGGTCAACCTGCGGTTTGTGTATGCAGCGACTGAACTACCTACTGTGAGGGTCTCTGGCCGCTAAAATCATAAAACATTTGTTCTTCCCCAACTGATTTGCACATTGTAGCCACATGAGGTCGCTGTTCGCGCTTCGCACAGTGCATACCGCTCGGCTAGTGTTTATGTTTTTAGCAGCCAGATACCATCACGGACACTATCCACGAACGCCTCGCCTAAGGCTAGTTCAGTCATGGCGAAAGTAAATCGGAGGCCAACCTTAGATCTATTGAGATTCCCAAGGCTTCAAATATTTGTTATAACAGAGACACTACGAAACTGATGACACAAGATTGCGGTTTGGTCAAGTGGGTAATGGGGGTGGGGGTGGGGAAGTGTGGGGGGTGGGGGGAGTGTGGGGGGGGGGGGGGGGAGTGTGGAGGGGGGGGGGTGGGGGGGAGTGTGGGGGGGGGAAGTGTGGGGGGGGGGAAGTGTGGGGGGGGGGGAAAGTGTGGGGGGGGGAGGGAGATAAATGGACACCATGGTTATAGTACATGTAGTAAGAGGCATAGCAGGCATCTTCTTTCTAATAGAGACTTGGAGATGAGATGTGAACTACTTGTTTCGTTTCAGAATAGGAAAAACAAATGAGACAAAATGGCTTGTGCTAGACTTTACCCTTCATCCCCAGCATGCACTGCTTTGAGCACTCCCACGGCAGCTGTTGTCATGCGATCAAATCCCTGACCGACGTGATCAGCGTGACATCGTGTCCTGTCTTCAACCAACATCTCTCGTGGTTCTGACGCCCTGGGCAGGTACTGTAGGTTTCGTAGCTCGTTGACAGCAGCTCTGTGTATACAATAACGCAGCAAAGAAATGAAATCTAATTAAAAATTGAGTCAAGAGACACATATTAGAAGGCCATGAACATGATGGATGCTCACACAAACATTTTAGATCCATTCCGAGGCATGTAGAATGAGGCACACATTTGAACTAAGTTAGGTAAAATGCTATGATGTGATGTCCCCATTTAAATATTGGTTTTGGTTTGTAACATCAGCTGATGTTTGCCAAAAATGTTCAAGCATACGTTCTAGACGATACATGAAGCAAAACAAAGCTTTCTGCCAAGCATCTAGTGAATTTTTGTAGAACTGTAACTTGAATGTAGATGTAACAGAACTGCTCAAGTTAAAAAAAAAACCTATTTAAAAAAAATTTTTTTTATTGTGTTTACAAATTTCTCTGCATCCTTTCAAATGTTTACCTTCTTTTCTTCATGGGAGATTTTGGCATGTCAGCAGTTGGAACCATCTGTTCTCCTGGCCTTATCCACAAGATTGGTCCGTCATTGCTCTCTGTCCGTTTCTCCATCTTAAGGACAGATATTGGTCCCCAAGGCATGACATACTTCAAGAACGGGTCCTGCTCCAACATGTCCACAAACTCCTCAAAGTAATCCCCGACTTCTTCGTTGACAGTTCCTACCAGGCTCACTTGGAGTAGCGGACCTGACCGGTAGGTCCCGCACCGATATGTCCGCCGGACGTCTTTGCGAAACTCGGGCATGGTCGTAGTCAGAAGGTCCGACTTTCCCATGAGCTGGCTCTTGACCGACATGTTGGGATGGTTCATGGCGAAGTAGTCTATAAGATCCGGAAGGTACGCCGCGGCACCATGGACAATCCCCATGACGTGGTTGGCAACACCAGGTTTGTTCTCGCCGTACACATTGTCAAAGAACTCCTTGACGAAGCGCTGCATTTCTTCGTCGTGGAGATGCGCGATTTCCTCTGAGTAAACATGCAGCACCGAGGCACCACCATTGGGTTGATGCTCGACGTGAATATACCTGCTGAATTCGCCCTCTTTCTCAATTTCTCCTGAGCCGCATTTTTTCAGTAGCCTGTCTCTGTCAGAGATGTCGGACACTCTCCGTAAGGTTGGCGGGGTATCAATGTGAACATCTGATACTGGCACATGGCTGGCCTTCTCGCGATGGTGGTGATGGTGGTGGTGGTGATGGTGGTGGTGGCGCTTGTGCTTTTTAGGCTTCCGCTCATAATCCACTTTCTTGATGTGCAATTTCAGTTTTGGGCAGCCAACCTTTTTGACGATTCGCGGCGAGATGCACATATTGCCATTTTGTTGGCCATCGCCTGAAAGGACAAACATTTATCACTGGTTTTAATTGTGTCTCAAATGTGATCAATGATCATTCATTTGTATCACGACAGTATATTACTCGGAATCTCCATTGAGGTCTTCATACATTGTATACATGCACATTATTTGTAGTATAGGCAGGCCTAGGTACAGTCAGAAATTTGGGACTCTCAATAATGTGTATGAGAGTCCCAAAACTTAAGATACAATGTAGTAAAAACATGTGCAGAAAAGAGTACATGTACATGTATACTGGCTACATATAAATGTAATGTTTTCTTTTCTTTTATTTAGTCCTAAATATTTGTTGATGAAAATGCATTTTTTGGCGATGATTTTAAATTTTATGTACATTTTTTTTGAGCGGCGATTCTGTAATGCAAATTAAATGCCTAGGCTACTCGGCGGACGGAACTTGCTTGGTACCAATTCCAGACTTTGTCAGAATTTTTAAAAATATGATGTACATGTAGGTACATGTACATCACTGCACTTAAACCATTGCTATGACATCACAATATTGTTAAAAGTGTGGATTCGGATTTACAAATCTCTTACACTGGTCACAAAGTGTGGATTCGGAACGACAAATCTTTAGTAAAGTGTGGATTTGGAATTATGAATCCACATTTTGAACACGTCGGACAATTGTTCTCCATAATGAGCATGAATAGGACCGTCTGCGTGAAAATTTGCTTTCCGAAAATTACCAATGCATCTTCACTGTCAGATTCTCTGCTATCAGGAAAATCTACTTTAGTCAGAAAGAAATCGTCGTCTGTACTATCCATTATTCACGTAAGGAGCCTATACACACAAAATGACTTGGTTGTACGGGTGTGGCGATACAAATGCTAAACACGCCAGGAAAAAAATGTTGCAACCTGCCGCAACTTTCGAGCTTGTGTACAAAGTCTATGGAGAGTCATTTCAAGTATTTCCTAACAAAACTGGAAACATTTTGCAGTCCCAGATTGATTCATGTATTATCATCATTTTTGCAAGGAGTGACCTTCATTGCGATGATATATGAAGAAAAAAGTGGCGTCAGGTTGCAACATTCTTTCCAACACTTCTGTTGACGCAATGGTTCGAGTCGAAGAATACACTCGCAAGTGTGGATTCTTATTTACGAATTCACTCGGCGCTTCGCGCCTCGTGAATTCTTAAATTACGAATCCACACTTTCTCGTGTATTCTCCTTAACGTAATTTTTTGTACATGTACAATGTTTAGATGTACGTTACATGTACATGTACGTTACATGTACTGTACACCAAAGCATTTAGACTTGGGGCCAAAACAAAACAAACCAAAACAAAACAGCGACTCGCACCCATCAAATTGTTTTCAACCAGATCATGATAAAATACTATTTTCCAGGGCCTTATTTAATTATGTAAAAAACATTTGTCACCTTTCAACATGCATGCCATGCCAAAGTAATTGGACATTAGGAGACCCTCTTTTGTCAGGTTCATTATTTCTTTAAAATATTATTAGAATAGTCCTTTTATCCCTTTAATCTTTGTTACTAATTTTATGAACTGTCTGTCTAACAAGTAACATGAGGAGAGTGGCCTGCTTGTTTGACCATTCGCTTTTGAAAAAATGTTGCAACCTGACGCCACTTCCTCGATTGTGTACACACACTACAAAGTCTATGGAGAGTCAAGAATTTTTTTCAAGTATTTCCTAACAAAATTGGAAATGTTTCTAAGTCCCAGATTCATGTCTTATCATCATTTTGCAATGAATGACCTTCATTGAGATGATTTATGAAGAAAAAGAGGCGTCAGGTTGCAACATTTTTTCCTTCGTTTCTTTTGTTTTGTCTCTTTTTTTTCAATTTCCATTTTTCTATCTTCGTGATCGTATTTGTTTTACCTGTCATGTTTGTCATGTTTGTCGTATTTGTTGATAGGCCTAATGATGGTGTTATAACAGGAACAGCTGCAGGTGAGTTACCGTTGATAGGCGGATTGTCAATGTCATCGGAGGCCCGGCCCGGTGAGTAGGACCGCGTTCGCCTGGTAATCTTCACCGAACCCGGACTGGGCGACACATCCGACTCGCTCGTGCTTGAATAACGCTGCCTGTAGCCGCTGTACATCTCTTCCAAATATCCCGAACTCGAAAGCCTTCGATAGTCATGATGCACGCGCCTTCTCTTCCCAATTTCTGGACTCGTCGGTGGAGAGCCTATTGGAGGTTCTTGAACGACTGTTCCTTCGACGGGAATTCTCGGCAGAGTGTTCAATTCAGACTCGTTTTTGTCCTCAACAACGTGCGTTGTTTGAATTTCGTCAGCCATGCTCATGGCAGCCATGTTGATATGAAAACTTCCCGGATGTGGAGTTAAGTTGTTGGCTTTTAATTAATATACGGTGGCCTCGAATGGACATTGCTGGAATCCCGAACGTCAAGTTGAGTACCGGTGTGGAAGGTAATTCTGTCCCCCGGTAAAAGTGTCCGGGGGGGGGGGGGGACAGAATTACTTAGGTAAAAGTGTCCTCCCTGGCCCGTTAATTCTGTCCCCCTCTAGGTAATTCTGTCCCCTCCAGGTAATTCTGTCCCCCAGGTTTTTTTGTCCCCCTCTTTTGAAACCCGGAAAGTTATTGTTTTGATGAATTCACTCTACAAGGTATGCATTTTTATACATTTTGGACTTTTAGTCTGCCCTTCATGTGTATATAAAATAATTAATTTAGTCTATTAGATGATACGTGAACACATTGTTTCGATTCGGAGTACAGTACGGTGAAGTCTATCGCGATTCTACCGCGATAGGTCAACACAGCGGCGATGCATGGCGATGGCCCTCGTCTCATTGATAGTATGATACAACGTCTCCTTGGGTTGGTCTGTGTGCCCATCATAGCGCGTAACGAAATTTCCTATTGGACGAATTTCCATTGTAGAGGGAGACGCATGTGAACACATGTTATAATCACTGCCTCAAATCTTGCAGCATGTACTGGCGCGTGCGACACGCTGCTGCTCTCAGTACATACTGCATGGGGACACATTTACCAGTGGGACACTTTCACCGTTGGGCAGGGGGATATTTTTACCTGGAGGGGGACAAATTTACCTAAAAGTAGGTAAAAGTGTTCCCCCGGACACATTTACCGGGTCACGAGCCAGTAAATGTGTCGGGGGGGGGGGGGGGGCACATTTACCAGGGGGGACAGAATTTCCTGTCACACCGGCGTGCAGAATAGCGCCGTCTTTTGGCATATGTTGTTTTAGCTCATGTTTTACGTTATCATCAAACTTACATTCACACAATACTCGAAGTGCTTCCAGAAAAAAATATCCATGTATGTTACAGTCTCACGTCCTTGTTTAAAAAAACAGTCTTATTCAACGTGGTGTAAATTACTGGAACAGTCTTATTTATTTGGTATTGTTATGTCTTTGCACCTGCATACACACTCAATTGCTGTTGTAGTTTTTTGTCCTGTCCCATTGTCTGTCCCTAGGTTAGGGCTCAAAAGCATTTTTGCTTCACCCAAACCTAAATGTTGACCTTTGTGTACAAATTTGATATTAAACTTAACCATGTATTTCAACTTATTATAAAAACTGTACATTTCCTTTTCCAGGGACAGCATTGAATAAATGTACTACATTGTATTCAAACTTGTACGTGCAGCCATTCTCTGTGGCATATGCCGTATATTCTGCTTGGCGTCCCTCTTTTATGCTTGTCTAACATAACTATCAAGCACATTTGCAGGCCCCAGCAGTATGGTTAGATTGTGAGATGAAACTAGCCCGTCTCAGTGGCGGATCTAAAGGGGGTGGGGTGGGGGGGGGGGGTTCACCCCCTCCCCTTGGGCAGCAAAAACAACAGGAAACTCCCACTTGACAGACCCCCCCCCCCCCCATTGAAAGCTGGATCCGCCCGTGCGATTAATTATGCAAAACAATATCGTCTTGACCTCGAGATTCTGGCAATTCAGCAGGCGCCTTCTATTCAGGTCTTTCGGTAACCCGCGTTGTTGTATTACAAAAGCCGCATGGCATTCAAATTGACCAATCAGAAGCTCAGTCCACATTTCTGATCAAAATGACGTCTCAATTTCGACTGGCGTGCGGGGTCACATAAAATGTGCACAATTTGCATACGACAGAGAGGTTAGACGGAGAAAGAGCTCCGTTGGACATCTGCATGGTGAAACTCAGACTACCAGATTGTACGCAGGCCTGCGCATCTTACTCTTCTTCGAGATTTTTATTCTTGATGTGTTTATTAGGCACCGTTACAAATTGTGCAAAACTTATAGAAAGGTATAATACATCTCTGTGTAATTTTTTTTTTTGCGGAATAAAAATAAAAGTTAGACACTATTCAAAGTTTGCTCTTATAAACATAATAAGATACATCCATTTTAATTGATATTAAATTATATACACGAATATATATAACCATGAGAACATTGCTCACATAGTGTTCAATAATGGATACAATTTCCAGTTTCAGTGCTAAAATACAAACATTAATAATTTCTGTGTAAATGTTTATCAATTAAAAAACACACCCGCACTATAACCCTTTGCATATTTAAACAATTACTATTTAAAACAAAATTAAATATAAGATTCGTTGTTCTTTGTTCGATCTATTTAAAACTGAACGAACAGCTGAAATACCTCAACAACGTTATTATACAGTTTGCTCCCTTGAATAAAAATAATAAACGTTGAATAAAGTAACAAAGGTTTCGAAAACATTCAGTTCATTTAGAAACATGGCCATAATGTACGAACATGGCCGTATATACACCAGTGAAACGCCGTTATAATGAACACCGCTGTAACGAACATTTGGCTATTACGAACATCCCCTCCGGCTCCCACTGAATAATAAATTCTTTTATAACGCACAATCACTATAGCGAACGACCGCTATAATGAATCTTTTTATGGACCACATTGTGTTCGTCATAACGGCTTTCTACAGGTACAGGGTTAGACAAAATAAAGGAAACCCAAATGGCAGGACCAATTTTTTAATGAAGTTCTGCATATTGTTCTTGCAAAATCTAGGATACTAAGCCCAAATAATAAGCTTTCTTTTAGTATAAGAATTATTCAAATCAATCATGTACATTTCATGGTACGGAATTAATTAAATAGCGATGTATGTAAATTGTTTTTGTTTTGCTGAAAACACTTAACTTTTTTGTGATCCGTAGACAGGACTATAAATGGCGTTTGTGTTACTCACCCAGTAAAAATATTCTGCTTCATTCAACTATCACAGTGAATTCTGATGCGTGCTATAATTTTCATCCAAAAATCTGCAGCGTCCGCCAAGTTTGCTGTAGTCTATGGAACATTTTGCAAAACAAAGGTCTATGATACGCGAGCAGATTCGGCGATTATTTATGCAAAACGAGACTGCGTCTTGACCTCGAGATTCTTACCATTCAGCGGGCGCCTTCTATATCGGGTCTTCGGTAACCCGTTGTTGTATTACACAACTTGACATCCAATTTGACCAATCAACGGCTTAGTCCACATTTCTGATCAAAATGACGTCACAGTTTGTAAAAGTCGACTCACATTGGCTGACGTGTGGGGCCACATACCATTTGCATGTTAGGATATATCAGACGTTCGACCGTGGCTCTGCACACATGAATGTCTGATCCGCAGACTATAATTATTTTCAGCTGCAATTCAGCTGGAAAAAAAAGCACCCCAACGGTTTTTGATTTTCGAGGACAAAAGGTCTTGCGCGATTATAACGTGAAAAGTTGAAAAACAATGTCAAGGTATTTTGTGTGCGTGTTTATATTCTACTTTTTTCCAACCATTATCATTTTCATTGTGAACGCGTTATTGAGCCAAAAAAAGTCGCATTCCAGTCAGATGAAAGTCTCCTTTAAGCTGACAAATCCTAACGCAATTCCTAGATGAATTATGTGCTATACATGACACCTCGTTCCGAAAAGTGGCGCCTGACTTGATTTAACGTAATACTTTTATAAGAACATTTCTGAAGTTATTGCATTAAGCTTGATCGTGCGCGATATATCTCTGTTGGTGGCTTTGGCACGCTTCGAGGATCAAAGTGGGGTTGGATCATAGGTGCCCTGCTTGAACGGGCACCCTCCGAGGATGAATGCTGAGCGGTCTCGCTCTGAAGGGTAAAGCTGAAGAAACTCCTCCACTGCTTCCTCACTTCAGCCCTTCTGACACCGTAAAACATGAAGATGAAATAGCCCTGCAGCGTGTTCAGCAGACAGAAGACTAGCTGAACGGGGAATGATATTGCTTGGACGAGATTCAGGTAGCCGATGGACCACGTTAGCCCCATCAGGGTCATTACAGTCAGGGCGTTCTGCAAACGCTGCTTGTGCAGCTTCCGTTTGGACATATCGTCCCTGTTCCTACGGAGGTCGTTGTTGGATGTCTTGATGAACTGCCGCATTACCAGCGAAAAGACGACAATGTTGAAGAGAAGGATGAGGCCGATTGGAGCTAGGAGACCAGCTATCAGTGGAATCTGCTGCAAAAAGCAACTGTAAAAACAAACACCAAACACCATGAAAGCATGCATGGTTTACATATAATATTGACAGAGAAAAAAATGTAATGGTATAAAGATAAAATTTAATCTAATAACGAATTGGAAGTAGCTTACAAGTCCGTTCCAACGTAATTCTGCCTGGTAGCCCCAGCTGTGATTGCCACAATAAACACAGGAATACCTGAAAAACCAAAAAAGAGAAAAATGATGTTTTCTTTAATCACTAAGAAAGCTCTATCAAGGACAATTTTAGTAATCTGTGGGGGGGGGGGGGGATGGGCTAAGCATCCTTACTCGCAGCTGAGAAGCTGAATCGCGAAGACGCGGCTACAACGTGGTCGAGCCGAAGGCATGTAAAGCCCGTGGACCTATATACTACATTTCCCAAGTCAGATTTTCAAAAAAGAGTGAAACTGTTACGTACCCCAAGCAGCCAGTGATGCTTTGAGCATGAATTTCGGCACATACACATTGACCACTCTAACAAACATTAGATACATGTTGAGGCCCTCCACGCCCATCCAACAGAGCGACGTCAGTGTGAAGTAATGCAGGAAGCCGGCCAGGACGCAGCACGGCAACACATCCAACTCGGCAACGCCTCGCTCTGAATCCAGAGCCGTGGCAACCACAAAGGTGATGTACAGACACAGCAAAGAGGCGCACAGACTCAGCAGAATCTTGTTGGCAAGACCGCTTCGAAGTTGTCTACATATTAAATAAATAGCGATACAGAAAAATATTTCTTCACAGACATAACAGCTATTCTTTTAAAGGCATAGAGGATAATTTGCATTTAAAGTAACATACCGAATTATTATCAAAACGTTTACTGGGATTAAAAGATGGTACTAAACACCCCGTGAAATTAGTCCATCTGGCTTGCTGGCATTTAGAAGAAAACAAGAATTGTAGGTAATTTCCAACGATCAGTCAATTTACTGATTTTATTGGAAATAAAGAGTGCTATCGACGAAATCGTGTTTTGGATCAAAAGGTTGTGCATGCTTTTTCACTTTTGTTTTGTCAAAAAGTATAATATCCACTTAGCTGAAACAAGTTAGGTTATGAACGTTCGTCTTTTGATTTTGAGTGGTGTTCTTATTGAAAACGAACAAAACGCATGAAAAGCAAACGATCCTATATGTTTCTTAAAGTGTTAAACTCCAACATCACACTGACATTTCCGTAAACAGACTGAAGAAATGTTTGGATACTGGCCACTTTGTTTGCAAGCTTTAGTTGCAAACTGGTTAGTATTTAAAAAAAAAAATAATACATCTATATGAGCAAGGCATAAAACGCAACCAGCTTCGACTCCATGGGCGCGTACATGCGCGTTCCTTCACGAACAGTGGGAGATATAAATTTCACAATTCCAGTGGTTAAATCATGGAAGAACCCACATGCCGTGGCAAGATCGTACCCCTGGAAACGAGGTTTAACGCAACACAAACCTGTAACTGAGGTAGGTCACCATTATGATAAGCAGTCCCAGAATTGACATCCCGCATCCAACCAGACTCAACAACTTCAGGATGAACTCCTGAGTCTCGGTCAAAGGTGACTCTGAGTAGATGTCCTGTCAGCAAAATGTAATGAGGACTTCCAATGATCAAAACCACAATCTAGAGTAATCTTTTTAAATTCGTGTCCGTGTCTCTTCTATGCGTTTTTGTGCCTTCCTTAATTTCAAGTCTCTTCCGATGTTGTGACCCAAATCCCTCTTGATTACGGACCCTTGTAGTCCCTGATCTCGTAAAGTTCTTTTTAAATTTGCAATATTTTCCCAGCTGCTTTACAAACAGCAGAGCTTTCAAACAGGGCTACCCTGTGAAAATACCGGGTAAGCAAAAAAAGCAGAACCCAAACTCCCACAAATATATTTCATATTTCAAAAGAAAATGTGCCACCAAAAATAATAAGGACTGGAAAGCCAATTCATATGCTACTTTTAGATGAAAAAACCTGAAATTACTCAATCCGTTTAAAGAATATAACCATTAAAACGCAATGGCCCTTAAACCTATTTCGTCCAGAAAAAACCCCCAATTTATTGTGTATTCTGACTGTTTGGAACAACAAAGAAAACGACACAGAATACGTGTTTCAACAACTGTCATATTATATTTATTAACAACCCTGGTTAGGCAAACAGTATGATTTATAAAATTCATTTTTTTTTTTAAAGATTATGGGCCTTCAAAAGGACTTTGTTGAATATTTTAACTTAATAAAGCTGAGGTTTTGTCGCTGGTGATGTTAGAAGACAATTGTGACAACGATTCTTAAAATCGCATTTTTGGACAAAAGAGGTTTCAGGGTTATTGTGTTTAAATGGTCATATTCCTTGCACAGATTGCGTAATTCCAGTAATTTGTTCATCTAAAAGCAGCTTATGAAATTGGCTTTCCAGCCATTATTATTTTTTGTGATACGTATTTTTTAAATATGAAATATACTTTTAGGGGTTTGGGTTCCGCTTTTTTTTACCCAACCTATATGACTATACAATAAAAAATAATAAAATATCAGAAACCTAATAGAATTATGAATCAATATAAGACAGAACAATTAACTGGAGCACTGGTTGAACCTACTAATCAAGAATCACGAGTGACGAAGAAGAAAATGTAACATAATAGAAAATGAAATCAAAGAAATAATATCCATTTCCCTACCGTCAGAGCTGCAAAGTTTGTCAAATGGTCACACTGACAAGCGAGATACTGATCTGTGACGTAATTTTCTCGTAAACGACAGCCTTCACTCGACCATTTTTCCTCATCGGCGTTCCAGAAAACACATCGCGTGTTGTTACTGAACGAGGCATTCTGGCGAGAGTCAAACAATTCAAATTAACAGAAAATCGTGTTGTATTGAAACAATAAGCCATCGTTCACCAAACGTGCACAAAAATTGACGACAAACAAATTCACCAAGTATATATGCGGTTGGAGTATTTTCAAAGTTATTATTGTATGGAGGGTTGTCGGCACAAGGTACACAATCAGTTAAAGTGGAGTGTCATGGCCTAGCGGTTAAAACCCTTTCATGCCCACATTGTTTATTGACTTGGCTCTCCCCAGGACCAACTTGTTTGCTCAGTCATGCGGAAATCACTAGAGCGTGAACAAAATGAGCAAGAGTCAAAAACTCACTTTTTTTCAACCCAGATTTTCACTGCCAAGGAGTGATTAAAATCATAGGTGTTGTGTGTAATGTTTGTTTCTTGAACCTTACTCTTTCATGTGATGTAAACATGAAGTCCATACGTGCAAATTTAAGAAAGTTATGCCTTTTTGTTCATCTGGTCCCAATTATCAAACTGCAAGCCATTTCACCACATGACCAAATGGCACTCCATACCTCAAATTGTGCGTGGATACTTCTGAAGCACTTTTCTCTCTTTTTTTGTAATAGTAACACTATGAATAAACCACACCAATAAAAAGATCCGAAAACACTCTTTCAGCTGGTATATAGTTGATGTATGGGCGGCCAAACATATCAACATGCCGCCTTTCTGAAAAGTAGTGAATATGTCTGTGTTGATGGTGCTTTGTGTGTGGTTTCCTGGTCGACTAAAGTCGCCCATGGGAATCAGCAGGGGGGTAGTTCTTGTCGACAAAAGTCGCCCATGGTATTAAGTGCATGGCAACAGTGGCATTAAAAGCAACAAGTGGCGTGGGTTCGAGCCCGCCGGGTGGACACTTGTGCCCTTAAGCAAGGTACTTATCATTTATTGCTTCGTTAAGCGCCACTTAAGAGAAGGGGTTTGCCGCGGTGTTTCTGGCCTCCTGTTTAAACTTCCACGCGGAGTATTTAGGAGAAGAACCAAGAACCAAGAACCAGAAAGCACATGGCTAAATGATGACAAACTCACATCAAGTTTGCTGAGTAGTATCGTTACAGGTTCATTCAGGTTTGTGATTGGTTGGCTTCCCACGGTGGCCGACATGACACGCGTGTTGATGGTCCGATTGAATCGTTCCTCTCCCTTGTTAAAGTCTGCCAGAGACAGCGACTGGAAGAGACTTCCCTTCCTGAAGACGGAAAAACTCACGCGCACACCGCCACTATCATCACCTGGAAAATAGAAAAGAGGTCGTCATATCTGCGGGAACAAGTCGAGAGTTTATACCTCAGGTTCTTTTCAGAACCATTCTCTTAGTTGAGAAATTATTCCCACATGGTGTGTCCGCAAACCTTTCATTATTTAGTATCTCCACCCATGCAAAGCCTCAAATCTTACTTAAGTCGAGTCATGTACCTCCTTTGTTGACCAGAACTATGCTGGCTTGTGCTGGTCTTAGATGTGAACAGGCTATCAAACAATTCGCGAAAAGGTGCCAAGAGCTGTGGTCAATTGGATTGCACCCGATATTTAGGGGTTGATTGAGACTTGTACGTCGGCATGATGGACATGAACAAAGCATGGAGGAAGGTCAACCATGCCAAATCTGCGCTCATAGCCAACGGTTACAAAACATGGATGTTCAAAACTCCAAATCCAAAGAAAAAGAATCTAAGAACGGTGACGGTTAACCGAGGAAAGTAAACATCGTCCTTCCGTACATCGAAAGGGTTTCGGAAAAGCTGACCAACATATTCCGCGACCACGGTGTCAACACCTACCACAAGCCGGCTAATACTATCAGGTATTTTCTTTGTTTACACATTTAACTGCCGCGAGGTAGGGATACATACATTTGGGAGACCAGAAGATCTCTGGGGACCAGATTGAAGGAGCATGCAAGATCAAAATCCCCCTCACAGCTGTGGGGGAACATTTACTTCACCAGAAACATAACATCACTTGGGACAATGTACAAGTCATAGCACGAGAGGAACGCTTCTGGAACAGAAAGATCAGGGAGGACATAGAGATCAAGACCCAGAACCCAACACCCAACAGGGACGCAGGGTATGACCTGCCCGCCATCTATTATTTGTAGCTCAAAGTATTTTTTTTAAAAAATAATTACAAACCATACAAGCAACTTGAAACTTAGCCTACGTCTTGCCAGAATGTTGACTTCAGGAGGCAGCATGAGTATGGCGTGGGGCATCTCCGAGACACCACCTTGGTATCCTAGACTGATATCCTCCGAGTCCATTATCGTCAAGCTGGACTCTTCAAAAGGATACTCGGTGGAATTCAAGCTGGTGAAGCTCAGACCTCGCAGGAGGGTGGCCTCGGGCACCGTGCGGACCTCGACCCCGACGTTCGGACTAATTTCGCGGAAATCTGGAACCGTCTGAAGTTGTTGCTCCAAACTTCGGGCGATTCGAGTCGGAGCGTGGGTTTTCATCTGAACCTCCCGCAAGAGTTCGTCATCAATGTCGATGAGATTGCTCGCAGTCTGAACTACAGAGATCGTTACCTAGAAAATCCAAAAGATTTTCAGAAGATCAACCGGTATCGCAATAAAATCAAATTCTCATATCTCGAAAATAACGACAAGCATCTTATAATCAGAATAAACGTGTCATAACACGCAAATGAGATTGAACACACACTTCTAAAAAGGCTGTGCCTACGAACAGTGGCGTTCTCACGATAGGGGTGAAGGGGGGAGGGAAGCGGGGGGGGGGGGGCTGGATGTGATGTTACAGTGGCGGGGGGGGGGGAAGGGGCGCAATAATGTTTGCGTCTGTGTTGAAAGGTACACATGTTATTTTCACCGGTCACCCGGCCTCCGAAAAATTAAAAAAGGAGGGGGGTGGGTGCCTAAACAAATTTCGAGCAGTAACGTTACCTGCGTATTCGAGACATTGACACTGGCGATATTTTCCACGATGGTAGCAGTTGAGTCAACTCCTCCTTCACCCAGCATTGTAGCATTATCAGTCAGAGACACAACTCGAGACGCCACCACCATCACATTCTCCTCAGTGACAGGCACCTATACCACAAAATGTATTCACGCATGATCTATTTGAATTCAGAGATGCATTGGGATTTGGAAGCCACTTAGAAAACTTCAGGTAGATGGGTCTGTTACGGGAGTCAGGTGAAGGCCTTTTTATCTCTGTGACCTGTGCCGGGTTCAAATCCTACGCGAGCTGACTCCGTCACTGTGGCTTTTCCATGGAATAGAGGTAGGAGGGAAAGCCTTTTTTTCTGAGGAAAGTAAGGGTTTCCCCCCACCTTAAAAACGGAACATTTCGCATTTCTTTGTCGTCTTCTCCCTGTATGTTTCTCCGGGCATCCGAGCTTCAGAGATTGTGCACTTGCAAACATTTCCTTGGTTTCATTAGCAGAACAAAAATAAATAATTCAAGACAAAGGGTGACTTTGTAATTATGGAGATGATACAAAATTCTGAAACTTTCCTGAATGTAGGAATAAAAAAAAAACCCGCGAGGGCACTAAGTGGACGTAATGCACGATCGGCTTTTTTTGTCTGATAGGTAGAAAAATCTGTGGGGATATATAGGGTGTTTCAATAAAAAGGAAACCCAACTTTGAAAAACCAGTATGGACAGACTAAATGTTTACTGGCTATAAAACTGGTAGCATCTGAAAGCGTAATCTCTATGCTTTTCAATGATACCTTGATTACATTTCCAGGGTCATGCATTACTGGGCATCATTTTCTTGAAAACTGGATGCGAAATTGCAGTTGGTTCACTTTCATGTCAAACACAATAGGCATGGTGTGCATGAGAATAAGTATTCAAGAAGAATTACCACGGGTGCATAAAGAAGAAACCAAAAACAAGTCGGGTTGGTTTCAAAACTGGATTTTATTGTTTGTCATCAATTCTCGTTTGGATCAAGCCACGTTCAAAACAATCTGCCATTTTCCCGAGGATTGACATTCAAGCCATTTCACAGACCTTTCCGTAACAATAAGCCCACTGTGCCAAGTAGGTTTTTTTTATGAAAGTGAACCAACTGCATTTTTGCATTCAGTTTTCAAGACAATGATGCTCAGTGATGCATGACTCAGAAAACCTAAACACAGTTTCATTAAAAAGCACAGAGATTATGCTTTCAGATGATACCAGTTTTAAAGCCAGTAAACATATCGTCTGTCCATACTCATTCTTTGAAGTTGGGTTTCCTTTTTTTTTAAACACCCTGTATCATAATCATCTAGTTGGATCTATTGTCAAACTCATAACCTCTAAAATTATCTAAACAAAATGTAGAATGACAAACATCTGCATGTTCTACATATTTGAGAGCAGCTACTAAAGAATTGTAAGCATGAATCGATGAAAGATCCACAAATAATCGTTACCTCGCTGAGTAGGGCTAATTTTTCATCGATTGTCAGATTACGACCACACATCAACTCAGGTTGGTTCTCCGGGAACCAGTAGGCCACTGAAAAACCGTCCCCGAGACAAACAGCTCTAGCAATAATCTGGCCACCTGTCGAATCAATCAAAATCAATTACAAAGACACCATTGATTTTGTTTTTATGCAACACTGGGTAAAAAGTCATCAACTTTACGGGGTCTACCAGATGTTCCCCAATACCTATGTTCCCAAAAATCCTTAGGGTTAGGGTAAGGGTGAGGGGTTTAGGGCTAGATGGTTAAGGTAAGGGTTAGGGTTTTAGGGTTAGATGGTTAGGGTAAGGATTAAATTATGGTTACGGTTAGGGTTAGGAAACATAGTTATCGGGGAACATATGTATTTGGGAACATAGGTATGCGATCAAACTTTACCGTTGATGGTATAATCAGGACAGAGACGACCAGGGCTGGATTCTGAGTAGAAACCGAGAGATCCAGCTGGGAAAGTGATCGGTCCATAAATGGACGGCCAGGTGGACTCAACACAGCTCCCTGCAAACCAAATATACATCAGGTGGTAAAACTTAATCAGGAAACTTATCAAATATTGACGGGACTCTATATACAGTCAAGCTGGTACATATAGTGCTTAATTCCACACCTTTTATGTCTGTGGGCAGGGTTTTAATCCTGCCCTAGCCGACATTTGGATTTGGCCTGCATAATAATGTACTTTTTTCCTCACGTCTAAAATGAGCTTCGGTGCAAAAGGTGCATTTGAGGAATTCTTAGTTTCAGCATGATTATATGAATAAAAAAATAAGTAAAGCAATCCCTAGATCTCTGAGAATCAAATCGATTACCGTATAGTTTGCTGCCACCAAAGTCTAAGCTGCAGAATTGGCGTACTCTTCTACAAAACGGTATGATAATTAGCACAACAGGCTTTGCATTTTGATGGCGATTCTTACCACTGCTCTGGATAGAGATGGAGGAAAGCTCCAAGAAACCATCTGAAGATGCCGCGAGCTCCTGGAGAGTTCCATGGATCGATTGCACCCTCTCGCGATCAGAGGTCATATCGGCCTGCTCTATCAGGATCTCTGTGGTTGCAAGCACACTGCCGCTACTCAGCTCCTTTGTGAAAACACTCGCGGGAATCCCTCTAGACAGCAAACCTCCCGTGAGCTAATTAGTTCAGGGCAGATTGGACCAGACAGGTTGGTTATCAAACGATGATTTTTGATCAACTCTACAATGATTCGTATTAAAAGGCGTTTTTTTTTAGGTCAGGGGGTCAGGTCTTGTCATCGGGTGTCACCCAGCTATGCATTATGTCCTATGATGCCTGTTGATAACTGCATCACAAACAAGAAGCTATAACTGCATTACTCTTGTAAACGTAACATCTATAGAGGCATATAGGCTCCTTATCTCCACTTGTTATTATTTTGTGGGCGTGGTTCATGACGTCACCCTTAAAGCATTGAACCTTCCTGATCACAAAATTTATAAGTGGGAACAAAACTTTTAAAGTGGCGGGGAGCCCGATTTTGAAAGAATATACCTAAAGCAACGACTGAACAGAACAGTTAGGGTTTGAACTTACAGTAAATGGTTAACTTACAAATGATGTAATTTGGGCAGAAGTATTTTGGAATTCCTCTGAGTTTTTGTTCTTGAGGCTGTCGACAAACGTCAGAGTTGGATATCTTGTATGTGCGGTAAAGGATGAGACACCTGCGAAATTTTTATGGGAATCACAATCAGCAGAAAAAGGGTAAATTAGAACTAAGTGAAACCAAAGAAAAACAAAACATAGGCCTACCAAATTATGCAGATTGTCATCAAGACAACTTTGATGTTGCATAAAGTACCAAGTAATCTAAGTTTTGTCCTTTGTGTATCTATATGACTGACCGCGTGTCACTTGTGACTAAAAGACTGGTTTTAGACTGGTGAAAAGAACCGGGCGGTGTTATCGTATAGGATCTCACCGTACGCCAATGAATGGGCTCAATCTGACCCATGGTGTAGACGTAACGGTCGTTTTCATCGTCGCTTTACCCCAAAATGTGCCCCCAAATAAAACCACGCCCTCTTTGCACGGCATACGTGTTGGTTTGTTATGTCGCTTACTAGTTTTGTTAGTCCAATAACCTTAACGTGGGGCCCTACACTATATACAACTCCAATTCATTTACTATCTACAGCGCGTCCCAAAATACCCCCAACATTTTTGGCGAGGCTCTAGCGTCGCCGCGGAAACACTTACCAACATTATTTTTATAACATTTTAAAGCTTGGAATCTAAACTTTATCCCTGGTAAGTATTGGTTTCATTTTCAAATGGGTTTTGAAAATATCTGTGTTCAAACAAAGGCATGTAAAAACAAACGCAAAAGATTTCAAGGAAAAATCAATCATGCGCTTTTTTTTCTAGCGTGGAAATGTTTTATGTTCATGCTATGACGATCTCGTTGCCTTTTACTTTCTGTGTTTCCTTTTGTTGTCGAGGCACGTAGACTACACCTTAAATAAATTTACACTATTGCTGATCGTTTCAAGTTCAATGTGTGTTTAATATAAATCAACTGGTTGTTTTTTTGTTACTGCATCAGCTTGTTGACTCGAGTTTGCATCTGATGTACCGCATCATCGATTTTCCTTGAAATCGGTTGAGTTTGTTTTCGAAAAGCCTTATTTGAACACAAACAATTTCAAAACTCTATAAGTAACAAACCAATACTCGCCAGGGATAAAGTTAAAATCCCAAGCTTTTAAATTGTATAAAAACAAAAACGGTATATATTTCCGCGCCGACGCTATAGAGCCTTGCAAAAAAGTTGGTATTTTGGGACGCATGAAAATACCACATGAGTAACCACTCTGAATAAAATGAATAGAATTGTGTTCCTCTGAGAATGGTCTTAGTAGGCTTCTTTTACCTAGAATAAGAACCAGAGAAGAGTTTGTCTGCAATGTAACTCCTTGGAAACCACGTCCCTGGCACCAGTAGTATCCTCGATCGGTCAAACTGACTCCAGCGAGTGTAAGGAACGAGACCCCCGCTGTACCGGGCAGCATCTCCCCATTTTTGTACCAAGCGAAACTTGCCACGTTCTCAAAGCCACATTCAAGGGTGACCGTTTGGTACTTTCGAACTGTCACTCTTGGGGTGGGATGCACGGTGACTGCAGGCGCTCCTGATGTAAAGAATATAAAAAGGCTAACTGGTCTTCACTTATTCACGAATTCAGATGGAGGATTAACAAATTTTAAGTTGTGTAAAAAATTAACAAATCTTCAGAACGTTTCAAATTAAATCAAAATAAGGGAAAACAAACATATGGCCATGGTTATGACCGTTGTCAAACAAATGAACAATAATCGTGCCAAAAGTCAGTGAGACAACGGATTATCTAGCAAGTATTAACCGTAACAAGAATTTTAGACCAAGGATAGTAAAATATATGTCTTGCCTTGAGGTACCACTCTGATGCCACAGTTGACTCCTGTAAAGTCCTCTGTACACACACACTCATAGCTGCCACTTCCTACGGATGAGGTGCACTGGCCTTGATTCAAGCAAGGTCCACTCTCACATAGATCAAGAGCTGGAGGAAAAATAATCCGTTAGTACAGGGTGAGTAAAACAAAAGAAAACCCACATGGCAGGACCGTTTTTAATGAAGTTCTACACGTATCACTTTCAAAATCTAGGATATAAAAGCCCAATTAATAAGCTTTTTTTAGTATAAAAATCATTTCAAACACTCATGTACTTTTCAACTTTTCAATTCCATGCGACGTTAAATCGGTTCTGCGTCAAAAAAATTATAGGCATGTTATAGTTTTATCAAGAGATTTATCGTCAGATAATGCCATCACATACTTTTATCATACGTCAACTTACGAGTGCAAATTCTGCCATCGCCATGGTAACCTTGTGTCTCTGAGCACATGCAACGGTAGGCGCCAGGCTCATTGATGCATGTAGCGTTGCTATGACAATCGTACAATGCTTCATCCTGGCACTCATCGATATCCATACAGAAAAATTTACTGGATTCAGGCTGTCCGGTGAGTGTGTATCCATCTTGACAATGGCATCGGAACGAGCCGTGAGTGTTCGTACAATAAGCCATTGCTGGGCACACCGACTCAGAACTCTGACATTCATCCACATCTGTAAGAGCAACTTATGCAATTAATTTAATAACCTAAAACGGCACATCAAAAGAGCAAGCTACGGAACTATATAACTGAGACACAGAAAATATTTCGTATGGCAGGAAAACAGATTCGTGCGCTAAAGCTCTCCCTAAACTCACCTTCGGTGCCGCTGCCAATTCCACTATCGCCAGATGCGCTTCCGCTTCCACTACCACCGTCCAAATCTCCAGATGCAATTCCACTACCGCCATCCAAATCTCCAGATGCACTTCCACTTCCACTTCCACCGTCCAAATCTCCAGATGCACTTCCACTTCCACTACCATCGTCCAAATCTCCAGATATGCTTCCACTTCCACTACCACCGTCCAAATTCCCAGATGCAATTCCACTACCGCCGTCCAAATCTCCAGATGCACTTCCACTTCCACTTCCACTGTCCAAATCTCCTGATGCGCTTCCACTTCCACTACCACCGTCCAAATCTCCAGATGTGCTTCCACTTCCACTACCACCGTCCAAATCTCCAGATGCGCTTCCACTTCCACTACCACCGTCCAAATCTCCTGATGCGGTTCCACTTCCACTACCACCGTCCAAATCTCCTGATGCGCTTCCACTTCCACTACCACCGTCCAAATCTCCTGATGCGCTTCCACTTCCACTACCACCGTCCAAATCTCCTGACACGCTTCCACTTCCACTACCACCGTCCAAATCTCCAGATATGCTTCCACTTCCACTACCACCGTCCAAATCTCCTGACACGCTTCCACTTCCACTACCACCGTCCAAATCTCCAGATGTGCTTCCACTTCCACTACCACCGTCCAAATCTCCAGATGCGCTTCCACTTCCACTTCCACCGTCCAAATCTCCAGATGTGCTTCCACTTCCACTACCACCGTCCAAATCTCCTGATGCGCTTCCACTTCCACTACCACCGTCCAAATCTCCAGATGTGCTTCCACTTCCACTACCACCGTCCAAATCTCCTGATGCGCTTCCACTTCCACTACCACCGTCCAAATCTCCAGATATGCTTCCACTTCCACTACCACCGTCCAAATCTCCTGACACGCTTCCACTTCCACTACCACCGTCCAAATCTCCTGATGAGCTTCCACTTCCACTACCACCGTCCAAATCTCCTGACACGCTTCCACTTCCACTACCACCGTCCAAATCTCCAGATGTGCTTCCACTTCCACTACCACCGTCCAAATCTCCAGATATGCTTCCACTTCCACTACCACCGTCCAAATCTCCTGACACGCTTACACTTCCACTACCACCGTCAAAATCTCCAGATGTGCTTCCACTTCCACTACCACCGTCCAAATCTCCAGATATGCTTCCACTTCCACTACCACCGTCCAAATCTCCTGACACGCTTCCACTTCCACTACCACCGTCCAAATCTCCTGACACGCTTCCACTTCCACTACCACCGGCCAAATCTCCAGATGTGCTTCCACTTCCACTACCACCGTCCAAATCTCCAGATATGCTTCCACTTCCACTACCACCGTCCAAATCTCCTGACACGCTTCCACTTCCACTACCACCGTCCAAATCTCCAGATGCACTTCCACTTCCACTACCACCGTCCAAATCTCCAGATGTGTTTCCACTTCCACTACCACCGTCCAAATCTCCAGATGTGCTTCCACTTCCACTACCACCGTCCAAATCTCCAGATGCGCTTCCACTTCCACTACCACCGTCCAAATCTCCTGATGCGGTTCCACTTCCACTACCACCGTCCAAATCTCCTGATGCGCTTCCACTTCCACTACCACCGTCCAAATCTCCTGATGCGCTTCCACTACCGCCGTCCAAATCTCCTGACACGCTTCCACTTCCACTACCACCGTCCAAATCTCCAGATATGCTTCCACTTCCACTACCACCGTCCAAATCTCCTGACACGCTTCCACTTCCACTACCACCGTCCAAATCTCCAGATGTGCTTCCACTTCCACTACCACCGTCCAAATCTCCAGATGCGCTTCCACTTCCACTTCCACCGTCCAAATCTCCAGATGTGCTTCCACTTCCACTACCACCGTCCAAATCTCCTGATGCGCTTCCACTTCCACTACCACCGTCCAAATCTCCAGATGTGCTTCCACTTCCACTACCACCGTCCAAATCTCCTGATGCGCTTCCACTTCCACTACCACCGTCCAAATCTCCAGATATGCTTCCACTTCCACTACCACCGTCCAAATCTCCTGACACGCTTCCACTTCCACTACCACCGTCCAAATCTCCTGATGAGCTTCCACTTCCACTACCACCGTCCAAATCTCCTGACACGCTTCCACTTCCACTACCACCGTCCAAATCTCCAGATGTGCTTCCACTTCCACTACCACCGTCCAAATCTCCAGATATGCTTCCACTTCCACTACCACCGTCCAAATCTCCTGACACGCTTACACTTCCACTACCACCGTCCAAATCTCCAGATGTGCTTCCACTTCCACTACCACCGTCCAAATCTCCAGATATGCTTCCACTTCCACTACCACCGTCCAAATCTCCTGACACGCTTCCACTTCCACTACCACCGTCCAAATCTCCTGACACGCTTCCACTTCCACTACCACCGTCCAAATCTCCAGATGTGCTTCCACTTCCACTACCACCGTCCAAATCTCCAGATATGCTTCCACTTCCACTACCACCGTCCAAATCTCCTGACACGCTTCCACTTCCACTACCACCGTCCAAATCTCCAGATGCGCTTCCACTTCCACTTCCACCGTCCAAATCTCCAGATGTGCTTCCACTTCCACTACCACCGTCCAAATCTCCTGATGCGCTTCCACTTCCACTACCACCGTCCAAATCTCCAGATGTGCTTCCACTTCCACTACCACCGTCCAAATCTCCTGATGCGCTTCCACTTCCACTACCACCGTCCAAATCTCCAGATATGCTTCCACTTCCACTACCACCGTCCAAATCTCCTGACACGCTTCCACTTCCACTACCACCGTCCAAATCTCCTGATGAGCTTCCACTTCCACTACCACCGTCCAAATCTCCTGACACGCTTCCACTTCCACTACCACCGTCCAAATCTCCAGATGTGCTTCCACTTCCACTACCACCGTCCAAATCTCCAGATATGCTTCCACTTCCACTACCACCGTCCAAATCTCCTGACACGCTTACACTTCCACTACCACCGTCCAAATCTCCAGATGTGCTTCCACTTCCACTACCACCGTCCAAATCTCCAGATATGCTTCCACTTCCACTACCACCGTCCAAATCTCCTGACACGCTTCCACTTCCACTACCACCGTCCAAATCTCCTGACACGCTTCCACTTCCACTACCACCGTCCAAATCTCCAGATGTGCTTCCACTTCCACTACCACCGTCCAAATCTCCAGATATGCTTCCACTTCCACTACCACCGTCCAAATCTCCTGACACGCTTCCACTTCCACTACCACCGTCCAAATCTCCAGATGCGCTTCCACTTCCACTACCACCGTCCAAATCTCCAGATGCACTTCCACTTCCACTACCACCGTCCAAATCTCCAGATGTGTTTCCACTTCCACTACCACCGTCCAAATCTCCTGATGCGGTTCCACTTCCACTACCACCGTCCAAATCTCCAGATATGCTTCCACTTCCACTACCACCGTCCAAATCTCCAGATGTGCTTCCACTTCCACTACCACTACCACCGTCCAAATCTCCTGATGCGCTTCCACTTCCACTACCACCGTCCAAATCTCCAGATGTGCTTCCACTTCCACTTCCACTACCACTCATGTCTCCAGACGTGCTTCCACTTCCACCACCTCTGTAATCTGCAGATGCTTTTCCATTTCCACTTAAATCTCCAGATGCGTTTCCACTTCCACTACAACTTAAGTCTCCAGATGTGCTTTCACTTCCACTACCATTTAAGCCTCCAGGTGCACTTCCACTACCTCCTAAGTCTCCAGATGGGTTTCCATTTCCACTACCACTTAAGTCTCCAGATGCGCTTCCACTTCTAACACCATCGTCCAAATCTCCAGATGAGCTTCCTTTTCCACTGTCACTGTCCAAATCTCCAGATGCGCTTCCATTTCCACTACCACTTAAGTCTCCAGATGCGCTTTCACTTCTAACACCATCGTCCACATCTCCAGATGCGCTTCCACTGGCACTGCCATTGTCCACATCTCCTGAGGCGTTGCCACTCCAAGTGGCACTGTCATTTCCGCTGGCACTGCCACTTTCTACATTACCAGAGGCACTGGTATAAGTATCAATGGGGGGATCGGTTGTGAATCCACGAACATGTGACAGTTGAGATGTCACCATGACAACGATGAACATAACCGAACAGGGCCTTTGCCTCCATGACTGTTGAGTGGAATTAGAAACATTCGATGATACATGATTAATCAACTTTGCTACTCAACATTGCTCAACAAAATGTGATTGACAAAAGGGTAAACCTATAAATTTAGGTTCGATTTCTTTCATGTCCCTGCTGAACCTGATCTCTACAATGGCATCCAAGAGTGATTATGAATGGCAAACTACCCACCCAACAAATAAAAACAAATGTTTGAAGTCATTTTCATTGATATTTGATTGTTAATAACAAAGCACCACTACAGGAAAAATGCCACACTTTTGTACATTTAGGGCGTCCTTTTTATTTCTTTGGTTCTCATTTCCGACCAAAACCTATTTCGAGCTCCCAATCCAAGGAAAAAAAACACTTTTTTTTTTATTGCCGCCGACGTATCTGGAACCCCATTAACAAATGAAAAAAACACAGAAATAACAAATGAAAAAAAAAAATGAATACCAAATTAAGGCTATCTTGCTATGTGTTATTGGAAAAGCTATTAAAAATTAACGTATTTTTTTCTTTCGCGAAGTACGGCGTATAGCAACCGGTGAAATCACACTGAAAAGGAAAGGATGTTGCCTCTCATTATTATAGGTGTGTACAATATACCTTTACTGGTATGTTATGGCTGCCACTAAAGCCAACACATTGCCCGATAGTGATCTGCTTGGTGCAGATATAATGTCAAAGTCAACTACATCTTGTTGAAATATGGTTTTATTATTTAATTCAGTATATAAACTCGTGATAAACTCAAAAAGACGAAAATAGAGGCAATACGCACTTGGCATCATTTCCTTTAGCCATCTAACCTATACGGTTGCAAATGCAATTTGTTTTTCTTCAGATTTTTTTCGCCCGACCGACCGACCCTACTTCAGAGGCAAACAAAAATACGAGAACCATAGAATATAAAGGGGTGCCCTTATAGAATGGCATACAAAACGTCAGGGCTGTATGTGTATGCATGCGAGTAGGATGTGCTGTGAAATTATAACCTTGTCAAAGCGCATGCGCACATATAAGTTAGATTACAGCAGATTGCATTTGCTTCCATCTTAGTAGTTCTTAGTTTGTCTTGCCATGCTGTTGTCTTGCCTTGCCCTATCAGGATGCACCCAATTAAATAAATTCCCATAGACAACAGTGATAAATGTCCATACTTCTTTTAAAATACTCAAAAATGTCACAGGTGTTTAAGCTGCACAGAAAAATGATGATCAACATGTTATCTTTCATTTCCTTTTCTATTTTGGTGGGTTGACAGAGTCTTTTGGAGAAGTTATCAACCAAAGAAGACGACTCCTAAAACGAGTGATAGGCCTATTTCCCAAAGTGGAAATTAAGTACCATCTTAAATGCGGATCTCGTTCATGGCTAAATAGCGCCAATTTCGAGCCCAATTGCAATCCCATGGCTCTCAGAACTCTCTAATATAAAAAAAAATTGATTGTATATAAACTTTTAATCATGAGCGCGGCGGACGGATTTGGCTTATTTACAGGGTGCACCCATCAAAGGGCGCTATAGTGACCGGCGCCAGTTTTGTAGTCGAGTCACTTGAGTCGAGTCCGAGTTCAAGTCACGAGTCATATTTTGATTGAGGTTCGAGTTTCAATAACAAACACTTTGTTTGCAAAACCCACTGGAGAGTGGTGAGGTAATCTCGCTCCGAATTATGTTTTGAAAGGGCTTTTTGGGTAAAAGAAATACGTGACCTACGAGTCATTAGCTTGAAGTTCAAGTCATGATGGTCCCTAGTCGATTCAAAGTCACCAAGATTGTGACTCGAGACGAGTCCGAGTCCTGGACCCGAGCCCTACTACTGACCGCTAGTCTCCTGTACGAAAATTGATTAAGGAAACCCACCCAAAGCATTCTGGAGAACTAAATACCAATGATACATATTAAACGTGCGCACCAGTTGCTGGCACGCTTGAGTATTATATTGATCCTCGGACACTGCTTTTCAAAAACCTTTTCGACGAAAATTCAAAGAAATATGAGGTCACCGGTACCGTATACAGTAGCCTTGAAAATGGCGTAACGAAGAAACTTTCAGGCTGGTGGGCCCTGGTTCGGTTGGATTTAATTGTCTGTCCGTGTTTGACCGCGTGGCTTTTCCTAAAAAAATAAATTCTGTTGGTTTCCTCCCACTAAAATAAATGTCATTATTTTTGTCTGAAATACGATAAAATGAACGCTCATCGACGACAAATAAAGTTCCATTATCAATGAAAGTATTGTTTGCAGATTATTCCATGGGTGACGGGTGTAGGGCTAAGGCTGTTTTATTTCCAAACTTTCCACACAAGGACGCTGTCTAAAAGTGAGTGTTTTTGTTTTAAAAATAGGCTCAACACTTCTGAAATTAAAGATGACAGTCTGTATCTTATTCGAATGTTCTCCTAACAAATCTGCAACTAACAAACCTTCAACCTCCAATTTTTAAGGGGAAAATGCATTTTGTTATTCTTTTTTTTCGGGGTCTGGAACCCTTTGAAAGAAAGAGTTTGTATTTCAGGCTGCTTTTGCACAGATCCGACCTGTAAGAAGACTGGTTTCTAGTCTGCAAATGACTCGAAAAATGACCAAATTCTATAACTAGGGCCTAAACATGATTTTTTTTTTATTTCTTATTCAAAAGCGAATGCCTTTTGTACTTCAAGAACCCCCCCCCTTCAAAAAAAAAATTAAAAAGATAATAATATAATGAGAATCTGTTCTCGATGTGAAACTGAAATTTATCACGTTGACATCTTTTACGTTACTCGTCGCCTGTCACATAGACTATTCTGAAACTGTTTAAAGAAAAAAACTTTCTAGCCCAACCAACCATTTTGTTTGTTGATTTCAACCAAATTGTCAAAACGAACCCAGCAGAAAGTACAGTCTCTACACTCAAAGCACGGGAATCGCTCAACAAACTCTAAGATCAAGGTCAAACGATTCACAAATTTCATGCTTTCAATATTTTGTTTGGTCACTAAAATTCAGGGATGAACGATTACACCATCACAATGTCGGTGAAAAAAACCCCGTTAAGTTGAGTAATCAAATTAAAAGCAGCTCTTGTTTGTTGTGAAAGAACGACCTTGGACTGGTCGTTGTAGTTCAGGTAATCGTGCATTATAGGCGCCATTTTCACCATGCGCTTTGACAGGACTTAACAGGCATGTTTGCTGTATTATTAGACTGTCAAAACTTCTATGATATAAGTAAAGACAGTGTGTCATGTGCCATGACTTGGCCCATCAGGCCGGCGTTTATGGATGCTAGTCCATCGCGGGTTACTCTCCAACTATACGCCGGTACTCATTATACTCACAGGTTGAAAGTGGGGTAACGTGGCTTGCCCAAAGACACAACATATGGCCATCAGTTGTATTCGAACTCTAACCTTCTGATATCAGGAACCCTAACCACTAGGCCACATGAGCTTTCTGTTTTTCCCTTTTGCAGCCTAAGGGGTGCGGATGGGATTAAAACCGCCTATACGCACCCCCGATCCGCCAATGACACGTCATGCAAAAACTTTGCTGAAAATGATGCCTTATTGTAGGTTACGATCAAAATATCGTTTAGATTTATTTGGCGTAAAAAGTATGCATTGAATTTGCTGAAATACAAAATAATTTAACAACAGGCACTGATCAGCTGTAGACCTTACCTTCAATACATTCTTCATCCTGATATCAATGCACTCATAGCACGATGGACGACTTGGAAGAACTCAACAATTTCCAAACGCATGTAGGCCTAACATCAACACCGACCCATTAATAATCAAGAATCGTCAGCTCGGCATTCCATCAAACCACTTTCAACTTTGTTGCCCTCAAGTCTAGTGCTTCGATTTCTCTGCAGTCATTGGAACTAAGTTGGCGTCTAAGAATTCAGCAAACCCGTCAGAATACCCGTACACAACTAAGCTGTATACCGTCAACCAGGTACATGTATATTTAAGTATTTTGAAAGGTCCACAATAGTTTCAGATTCGGCATGAGACACCGTGCCGTTTCGTATGACTGAGCGCCAGAAACGATAATCGGGGTCTTTGTACATTTATTCGATTTTATTACTACAGTATAGGTGACCTGAACAGGCTGCGCTTTAGCAGCACGGCATGCATCAGCGAATACCAATGCAACTTTAAAGTGAACAAAACTCGGATTTCTACATATAATCTACATATAACTGAACAAAAAAATAAGGTGTTGGGTTATTTTTTTTTTAGGAAAGGGCTAGATTTATTTCAGTCATCGCAAACAGCGGCGGCGGAACAGGTTTGAAACTGGGGGGGGGGGGCATCACCAAAAAGGGGCACTTGCTCAGCCTTTTGGGTTTTTTTTGCACATCGGTGCTGAAAGGTCGACACGTGTTTTTCACCGGACACTTGGCCTCCGAAAAAAAGGGGGGGGGGGTACCATCTTCAAACGTAGGGGGCGCTCTTCAAAACTGGTGATTAGGGGCCTATATGCTAACTATACATTATGTGCCCATTTTCAGGGCGTATTGTATGGGTTTTGGGGATTGGTTTTCATATTCCTCGTTTATATCAAAACTATCTATACCATTATTGGTTACTTCTAAGAAATAGTAAGATACTTTAAGGGCATTTTCTGAGGGGCACTTTTATGCGCGAGGGGGCACATTTATGGCCGCAAAAGGGGCACTTGGGAAAATTGGGGGGGGGCAATCCCCGGTTCCGCCGCCCCTGAATGCGCAAATGATGTGAACTTTCCTGACGTCGCCATGATATATTAAACGAGAAGTGTAGCTGTTTCTACACCAAGGCTGAAAGGTAGAGTAGACCATCTGCAACGATAAGTAACTTACGAAATGGATGTTGAAATGCATACCTACTTGGTTTAAAGATAGTAATGGCACTAAACTCATTGTGAACTTATTATTTCTGGCATGATGTCATTTTGAAGAAAACAACAAAAGAAGGTAATGTCAGCGGCAGAATGTT